CGCCTAGGGTATCATTGAAGGCCGAAGTATACTTGTACAGATCTGCTGCGAGCGCCTTCGCATAGAAACTGCTGCTATCATGAAAGGAAGGCTCGATCTCATCGTCGACCGCTTCAACATCTACCATAGGCTTTCTGTCGCTGCAAAGTGCACGGCCATGTGATTGGCCAGCGGCTCGCCTTATATGAAATTGTCAGAGTAAAATGCAGGCGTTAGAAATTTGATCGATTGCAACACTGTATACACATCAATCTTGCCCACATTTCATCCAAGTTTGATTACCATGTTTCACGCCATTCGTCACTACGAAACACAACGTCTGGAATTTGTAGTCCGTGAGGGATGAAGGAAAATGAAGGCTTGTACATACAAGAGTAAACTCCCATTGCGTCCGATCTCAGCCTTCCGCAAGCCCACTTTCCGGCCGCCTCCGAATAGTACCGCTTGCCGAAATCTCCACACATCGTGTCCGACTCCCGAATTCCATCGCGGCTCTCTAATTGGCAGAGGGCGTTAGCGCCAACAAGCCTGGCCTTGAAGTCGACATCAGGCAGGAAGCCTAGCTGTTCTGTAGCAAGGCCTCCAAGGATACCGTTCAGCAAGTTGCCAACTCCGTCGACAGTGCCTGCTATGGTTCCAAGAAGCTTGCCGAAGTTGAATGCTTCAGCGTTAAAGGTCAGGCACAGACAGGCCAGCAGAGTCAAAATCGCTCCGGACTTCATTTTACGTAGGATGCTTAAGGAGTGGGATAGATATACAGTAATACGATGTGAGCTTTCTGAAAGGAGAATCTCGTACAGGACACACCGCAAAAACATTAAAAAAATCGGTCTTACATAGAGGAAAAGTTGGTGAAGTCTTGTAGTCGAAGTGTTTTTGTTGCAAAAGGATGATGGCCAGAGAATCAAGGTTGAATGATGAAATGGAAAGCCAATTCCGTTTCCGTTTTTATACGTGATGAGTACTGCAGCCGATATGTACTGAGTATGTGCTACTGGTGCACATAATTTCACCAGATCCATACTTGCAGCATGCGTTTCTGACCATTGTCCGTTCGTAAGCGCTTTTTTCACTTGTCCTCTGTTATCTCTTCGTCCTTGCAGATCAGATGGCATAAATGGACGTGGGGAAGCATGGGCGCAAAGATGGAGAGTAGTCCTTCTTGGTGCATGAACCACAAACATTCATAGAAGTCCATGCCACAGCCTGAGAGCCAAAGCGAGAGAGTAGTCTTGCTTGGTCCATGAGTCACAAGCATGCATAGAGGTTCATGCCACAGCGTAAGAGCCAGAGCGAGAGTGTAGTCCTGCTTGGTGCATAAACCACAAGCATGCATAGAGATTCATGCCACAGCGTGAGAGCCAGAGCGAGAGTGTAGTCCTGCTTGGTGCATAAACCACAAGCATGCATAGAGATTCATGCCACAGCGTGAGAACAAAAGCGAGAGAGTAGTCCTGCTTGGTGCATAAACCACAAGCATGCATATAGATTCATGCCACAGCGTAAGAGCCAGAGCGAGAGTGTAGTCCTGCTTGGTGCATGAACCACAAACATGGAGATTCATGCCACAGCGTGAGAACAAAAGCGAGAGAGTAGTCCTACTTGGTGCATAAACCACAAATATACATAGAGGTTCATGCCACAGCGTAAGAGTCAGAGCGAGAGAGTAGTCCTGCTTGGTGCATGAACCACAAACATGGAGATTCATGCCATAGCGTGAGAACAAAAGCGAGAGAGTAGTCCTGCTTGGTGCATAAACCACAAGCATGCATAGAGATTCATGCCACAGCGTAAGAGCAAAAGCGAGAGTATAGTCCTGCTTGGTGCATAAACCACAAGCATGCATAGAGATTCATGCCACAGCGTGAGAGCAAAAGCGAGAGGGATCAAGCCCACATGCGATAAGGTGAATTGAAAGCACAGGACAAGTAAGAGGACAATCGCGATTGCACAAGGGCCAAGAATACAAGGCATGTGGAGATTTTGTGAACAAGTGCACGGGTTCTGGAACTTATTTGCTCAGTGCCACCATAAAATAATCATCGCATATAAATGCAGTCTCTTCTGTTCCAGCATTTAATTTCAAATTCCAAGGCCTTCACCTCAGCTCCACCTCAAGCACTGAGTTTCTAAACCGCAACCAGCACATCTCCCACTCTCAGAGTAAGGCAGCGTGGCATTTCAAAGTATAATGATTATCCTTATGCGTGGAAGCTAATATTGTTTTACGATCGTACGTAGACTCACCAAGTATGCGTATCAGGGCAACTGTCATATTGCTGGCTACATATCTCGCTAACCTCGGACAAGCTTATACAATCGGAAGACATGGCGGCAAACAAGTTACACACACCCGTGTTCTTCATACGGTCAGTTCCGTCCCGTATGCCTGCAACGGAGATACTGAATGCAAGAGGCTGCTTGCTGAAGCCAAATTGCTGTGCCAGAGGGATGATGAGGATGCCGACTACTTGTGCGTCGAATATGGAGCCAAATGCCACCCTGGCGTAGAAGGATTTTGGGGTTGTGCAGTCGACACCGCGGATAGATACTTCTGCGCATTTGTCCCAAGTTAGATAGAGCTGTAAATAGCTTAAATCAAATGGCCAGGCACTTCGAGTGCATTCCCTTGTCTAGTCTCTCAAGTAGCCACTGCACTTGCAGGATTACATCGCATTTGTACATTTGCTCATTGAATGATGAACTTGAGGCTTGGCATCCAATTTGTGTTTGTGTTGCACATCATGGTGTACTGACAAGAGGGTCACTTGTGAGAACAATAAAATCTCCGGTCCCCCGCTCAAAATGCTCTTCCTGTTGTCCACGAGCATGATAAGCAGGACTAACTTGTGGAGATCAGTGTCATACCCGACGATGATATATTTTTTTTTTATTTTTTTTTATTTTTTTTTTATTTTAAATGTTCATTCACTAATGTTCCGATCGGCCTTCAGACTCCTGTCCTTCATTCTCTTGATTCGTGGCCTCATTCATCACCACTTGCCCTTTTTTTTTCTTTTTTTTCTGTATGGACCGACATTGAATCATCCCCAGAATTGAAATGCCTGAATCGGCTGATCACTTAATTGGAGCGTATGCATCCTGGTTTTCCTTTTCAACTTGCGGGCTCTTTTTAGTTTCTAACTACCATTCAACCTCCATGAGATACTCCTTCGAAAATCCTATACAACCTTCTATCAAAGTTTGGAGTTCCTACTCAAAGTTTTTTTTTGACTTGTATGCATGATTTTATGTGGATTTGGCAAGTGGCAAGCTGTTTTTTTGTGCAGCCTCAATGCACTTTCTACAGGCAATCCGAAAGGTGATCTGTGTATAGGACATGGTAATGTTAGCAGCCTTGAGCTGTCAAGTGCGTGAGAAACGATTCTACGAAAAGGCACAGTGGAATACTTTCAGGAACCTGTTCAACGATGTCTGTTTTGTAACAAACCCTTTTGTGCCTTCCACAGCATCCTTACACACGCCAACCTCTATTCCGACGCTGAAAGTGGTGTGTGCGAAATCAATCATCATACATACTACAGGAAGCGTTCGAGCAAGCCTAATGTATTGTCGATGGAGCATCGAACACGTTCATTGGAAAGACAAACAAACGCAACATAACCATGCTGAATTTTCGTCAGCGGCTAATACCACTTTGCGAATGGATTTTGTTTATTGGTAGCTTTACAGCAGTCGTTGCAATAGAAGACAGAACGCTTGAGAGGCAGTGAGAGGATGAGACCAGTCAAAATAAGCGAGGAGAAAGTGTAAGATTTGGTTTATCTTGTTTTGATGATTGGGAGATTTATTGCTCATCGCATTGTGAGGAGTCATTCGCCTTCAATTTTGATTTTTGAGATTGCTGGTCTTCAGAACGTCGCTTGTGTCCTTCTAGGTAGTCCAGAAAATCGACGTAGCGACGTAGGAAGATCTTCGGAAAGTTGTTGTCATCGATGCCGATGGACACACGTTGGAGGCCCTCAAGTTCGGTCTCAGGATCAGGCCAAACAACTTGGAAACTGACACCCTCAGCGGGGTAGGTGCTGATGTATATCCCAATGGAACTGTAGTCCTATAATTGTAGTGGTTGCTGTTGATCGGATGGGACGCTTGTAGTCCAATCCTGTTGCCCCTGTTTTCGTCGCTTCTTCTGTTCCTTTTCCATCTTCTCCTGCCATTTTCCCCTGTACGGCGTGGCTGCTCACAGCTGCGAGCGCATTCTCGACATCGCTGGGCTCAAGAACTTGTCGCAATTTCAAAACCGGGCAAAGCAGGGTCACACGTCGCCATTGATCTTGACGAAAACATGACATCAAGTTCGGAGACATGAGGTGCTGGGAAATAAAATGGAGGGATATCTTGATCGTTCTGTTTGGAGTCGTTCTCGACGTGCGCCTTCATAAGATGCTGTGTGGTGATGTTTTTCTGTGAGATGGCGAGTTTTGATTGCTGATCGCCGTATCCAACAGTCGTCACATCCTCGGCGAGCTGGTCCGGAAGAGAAGTGTTGGTCATCAAAGGCCATGACGACAACAGTCGACTTTTGAACGTCTCGGGCGGCACGTCTCCCATGTGTTTTCGTGTACCGAAGGGTTGTCAAATTGTATCATCGCTCGTTCTGCCGCTGATACGAGTGACGCATCCTTCTCCCGGAAATAGTTGATGGCCGCTTTCGAGGCCAGTGGTTCATCGAGAACGGTTCTTGTGACACCTCCAAAGATCTTGATGCGACCGGACGCTGCCTCCGCTAGGTGCACTTCATTCTCAAGCACAGTCGACGGAGCGTCCAACAGATGACGGCGAAAAAAAAGAATAGTCCAAGCGATTCCTTGATAGAGGAGCATGAGGTGAAAAGCTCGGGATGGTTGGCGATCTTGGTCTCCAAAGTAGATTAAGTATTGAAAAAGAGGCAGTAGTACATTAGTAGAAAATAAGGTAGCAGCGAGCAGTGACATGAGAACATAGGACAATTCAAATGAGATGATAAGCAGGACAACTTACCGGTTGAATTCTCCGCACAAGTTTCCTCGGCGCTCTCGATCCTTCCAAGATGTAATCATGGTCTCGGTCTTGTCGATGGCAGCATTCCACTTCACGATCTCGAGAATTCCTTCGAATAGCCGTGACGATAGGTCTGAATCTGCCGGCGAGTCTTTTGTGCAACATCTCTACTGCGACGGAGGGTATAAGGAGTCCGCCTGTCTTTACGAATCGTCGTCCGGTAGCTGCTCCTTGAGGCGATCGACATACGCTTGTACCATATCGGCACCGGTCCATCCTGGAATCTCAATATATTTGGAAGGTGTTCGAGCCATACTCCTTGATGCCGTCGCCGCTGCTCATCGCTCAATGGAGAGTTCGGGTGCTCGGTCCTGTCCCACAGTAGACGATCGTAAGCTCATTTCGACTGCCTGCTCTTGGAAAACCGTTCAAGATCGGGGATAACATTGGTCGCGGATTGGTTTCCAGGTAAGACGACTGGAATTTTGTACTGCCCTTGTCGCTCAGATCCTGGGCTTTGTCCACGACCAGCCTTAGCTTGGACTCGCTTGAGAAATTGGGATAGGCATGAGCAGCAAGACTCTTTCGCACTGAAAGAAGTTCGTGTCGGACAATAGGTCTCAATGCTGACTCGAATATCGTAAGTCCTTCCAGCTTGTTATAGAGTATCGAGAGCAGTTCTGAGAATACGTCTTGGAACATGTGAAGACAGACCTGGAGTAAGGCCCAACTTGCGCTGGAAAACGTCTGGCGGCAATCGGAGATCCGCAAACAGTATTTGAGGACCAAGAGTCGGGAGAGGAAAAGCAAAAGGGTCTTGTTGCATGCGAAGGCGGTGTTATGACCAGGACCTTGTTCCTCCATTGCTTCGGTGCCAATGGAATCGGGAAGTCGACTGAGATCGTTCAATCCAAGCTCATTCTTTGCCGCATTGAGATATAATCCCCATTGAAGGCAGAGCATCCCTAACACCGAACGAGTTTTCCACATCCTACAAGATGGTAAGACATCAGGAAGTGTATGTTAGTCTACGGAAAGGCGAAAGCGCCGACATTGACAATGGATGTACAAACTCATGAAATGCAGCAAAGTACGTACCGGATACGCCAAATACCGGAAAGTCTTGTGATTGCATGTCCTCCATTCTTTCCAGTGGCATGTTCGATCTAAACTTTTCGGTGGAGCTGATAAATCCAAGAAAAAGAGCTCAGTCTCGCTTCCGCTTTTTTTGATGACGCCTCGCCGTAGGACTTTGGCAGCCGCTTAATTCCCTGTTGTCGTGGTAGGTAACGACTTTTCTCCATTCACGAAGCGTCCAGAAAGAGAGAGGCGGGCGAGCCAAGCGCGAAAAACTTGTTCTCGATTTTTGTTGATGTTGGCCCCGAGATCACCTGTTGAGAGATGAACCAGTTAGACAACGAAGCAATCATAACAAACAGGGAAGAGGGCAAGAAGCGGGGTCGACAGAACTTACCAGAGAGAGGGGTGCTGGGGCGAGATTGATCCGAGAGTTGGCTAGGGAGAGTAGGGGCTGGAGCCAGGGACAGGTGGAAGGACTATGTCAGTGCAATTGGATGAGAGGATAAGTTAGTGAATGCATAATGGACAGAATACATGTAAGGTGTGAATGAAAAAGCATGTGTGTTTGTGCATTACCTGGCGGAGGTCGCTGGACGATGCCGTGGGCCGTCTCTTTAGGTAGCTCCCAGGTAAGTGCTTTGGAAATACGCGTCGAGAGCTCGTCGTCCTCGTCCGTGATTGCTACGGAGACACGCTAAAGGGTGAGCTGGTCTGCATCGATGTCACTAGGCCATGGTCTTTTTGGCCATGATGAGGTTTGGAAGATCATCAATAGTGTCGCTTGAAGGAATCTTGATAGAGAACGCATTGGAGGTATCCTCTCCATCAACAAGACAGAACAGGGTCAAGTGGTTGTCGGCCATGGCGTTGCGAAGCTCGCTATGTGTGGAAGTGTGGAGGTGTGGAAAAGTGTTAAGTGAAAAAAAAGAGGAGGCCCTCCCACTTTTCTCTTTTTATTAATTCCACGCCAACCAGCCTTCAAAAGTGTGGAAATCAAAGTCCTTTCATAGTCTGGACAGGATTGGTACGAAAAAGATTGAAGGCAGGGTCTATCGCATAATGAAAGAAGAAAATAAAAGAAAAAGCGGATGAGCCAATGTAGATGATGATAGGGCAATACAATGGTATTCCGCGGAGTTGAGTGAACAAACAACTCACAATGGGAAAGGAGCTGGAGGTGATGCTGTTGCCTGCTTGCTTGGCGTGTTTGGGTGCTGGGTGGTATGTGCATGCAGAGTGTCGGTTAATGGTTGTCCGCTGTAGAAGAAAATCGGTCCGATAAGGGCAGATGCTTGGAAGACTAGAAAACGAAAATGACCATGTTATTGTCAGATGGTACGCGCTAAACAGAATATGAAGAGGTTCTTCTTGCACGCAGATACGATTGTCCAAGTACTCGCAACGCATTAAGTGATGCATTTTTTTGGTGTGTTTTGTGTTTTAGCTGGATGGGCGAACGACAATTAAGCGGATAGAGTGGCTAGTGGTTAAAGTTGAGGTTAGGAGGTGCTCGACGGTAATACACGTGGTATGTGGGGTGGCATATAGACGCGAAGATTGTACCTCTCCAAGCTTCGGGTGCTCGGTACTTGATAGGTACAAGACGAACAAGCACGCCAAAGGGCCCTTGACCGAGCGCGGAGAAGGTACAGAAAACTGTGAAAGAGAACGTTGGATGATGGAAAGATGTTGGAAGACCAACAGGTGGTAATGTAGGTATGGTGTAATGGGAGACAGGAAGACTGATGGTGAAGATGACGATTAACTGTGGTGGAGAGTAGTGACGAGGGGAGCAAGGTGAGTTTTACAAGTAGAATGAGAGAGAGAGGGAGGGCAGAAGGAAAAAAGTAAATAGAGAGACGCCCCATGGTATGCATGTGGGCATGTTTTGCTGTTTGTCTTGTTTGTTCTCTGACAGGGTGCGCCTTTCTCTTCCTTGTCCCTGTTCCTTGCCATCTTTTTTTCATTTTTTCGTACCATAGATCCATCCGCCAGAAAGGCGCTTATAACCGCCATGGCACTTCGTGAAAATGACAGGGGTACGTTTGGAATAGACCATCAAAATAGGTCCTCGCCAGTCAAACAGGTATGCGTTAATAAAAAATCGAATTACTCAGAAACTGCACGCTCAATCTCACAATGGTAGTTCGGGCGAAGAAAAGGCACAAGATGCTCATCTGCCAGATAGTTTGTAACCCTGAATTCAGTTTGCACACATGCTTGCGTCCTTATTCAGATGCTAGGATAGTGCGGAGGTGTGGAGGTGTGGAAGTGATAAAAAATGGTTCGTGTTTGTCAGTTCCTCAGTTCTTCCTTTCTGTTTGGATGGGTTATTATTATTTGCCTTTTCATTTTGTGGACTCGCTTCTATACGTTTCATATTACCAAGGGTTTAATTTCTTTTTACACTTTTGAAGGCTGGTTGGCGTGGAATTAATAAAAAGAGAAAAGTGGGAGGGCCTCCTCTTTTTTTTCACTTAACACTTTTCCACACCTCCACACTTCCACACATAGCGAGCTTCGCAACGCCATGGCCGACAACCACTTGACCCTGTTCTGTCTTGTTGATGGAGAGGATACCTCCAATGCGTTCTCTATCAAGATTCCTTCAAGCGACACTATTGATGATCTTCCAAACCTCATCATGGCCAAAAAGACCATGGCCTAGTGACATCGATGCAGACCAGCTCACCCTTTAGCGTGTCTCCGTAGCAATCACGGACGAGGACGACGAGCTCTCGACGCGTATTTCCAAAGCACTTACCTGGGAGCTACCTAAAGAGACGGCCCACGGCATCGTCCAGCGACCTCCGCCAGGTAATGCACAAACACACATGCTTTTTCATTCACACCTTACATGTATTCTGTCCATTATGCATTCACTAACTTATCCTCTCATCCAATTGCACTGACATAGTCCTTCCACCTGTCCCTGGCTCCAGCCCCTACTCTCCCTAGCCAACTCTCGGATCAATCTCGCCCCAGCACCCCTCTCTCTGGTAAGTTCTGTCGACCCCGCTTCTTGCCCTCTTCCCTGTTTGTTATGATTGCTTCGTTGTCTAACTGGTTCATCTCTCAACAGGTGATCTCGGGGCCAACATCAACAAAAATCGAGAACAAGTTTTTCGCGCTTGGCTCGCCCGCCTCTCTCTTTCTGGACGCTTCGTGAATGGAGAAAAGTCGTTACCTACCACGACAACAGGGAATTAAGCGGCTGCCAAAGTCCTACGGCGAGGCGTCATCAAAAAAAGCGGAAGCGAGACTGAGCTCTTTTTCTTGGATTTATCAGCTCCACCGAAAAGTTTAGATCGAACATGCCACTGGAAAGAATGGAGGACATGCAATCACAAGACTTTCCGGTATTTGGCGTATCCGGTACGTACTTTGCTGCATTTCATGAGTTTGTACATCCATTGTCAATGTCGGCGCTTTCGCCTTTCCGTAGACTAACATACACTTCCTGATGTCTTACCATCTTGTAGGATGTGGAAAACTCGTTCGGTGTTAGGGATGCTCTGCCTTCAATGGGGATTATATCTCAATGCGGCAAAGAATGAGCTTGGATTGAACGATCTCAGTCGACTTCCCGATTCCATTGGCACCGAAGCAATGGAGGAACAAGGTCCTGGTCATAACACCGCCTTCGCATGCAACAAGACCCTTTTGCTTTTCCTCTCCCGACTCTTGGTCCTCAAATACTGTTTGCGGATCTCCGATTGCCGCCAGACGTTTTCCAGCGCAAGTTGGGCCTTACTCCAGGTCTGTCTTCACATGTTCCAAGACGTATTCTCAGAACTGCTCTCGATACTCTATAACAAGCTGGAAGGACTTACGATATTCGAGTCAGCATTGAGACCTATTGTCCGACACGAACTTCTTTCAGTGCGAAAGAGTCTTGCTGCTCATGCCTATCCCAATTTCTCAAGCGAGTCCAAGCTAAGGCTGGTCGTGGACAAAGCCCAGGATCTGAGCGACAAGGGCAGTACAAAATTCCAGTCGTCTTACCTGGAAACCAATCCGCGACCAATGTTATCCCCGATCTTGAACGGTTTTCCAAGAGCAGGCAGTCGAAATGAGCTTACGATCGTCTACTGTGGGACAGGACCGAGCACCCGAACTCTCCATTGAGCGATGAGCAGCGGCGACGGCATCAAGGAGTATGGCTCGAACACCTTCCAAATATATTGAGATTCCAGGATGGACCGGTGCCGATATGGTACAAGCGTATGTCGATCGCCTCAAGGAGCAGCTACCGGACGACGATTCGTAAAGACAGGCGGACTCCTTATACCCTCCGTCGCAGTAGAGATGTTGCACAAAAGACTCGCCGGCAGATTCAGACCTATCGTCACGGCTATTCGAAGGAATTCTCGAGATCGTGAAGTGGAATGCTGCCATCGACAAGACCGAGACCATGATTACATCTTGGAAGGATCGAGAGCGCCGAGGAAACTTGTGCGGAGAATTCAACCGGTAAGTTGTCCTGCTTATCATCTCATTTGAATTGTCCTATGTTCTCATGTCACTGCTCGCTGCTACCTTATTTTCTACTAATGTACTACTGCCTCTTTTTCAATACTTAATCTACTTTGGAGACCAAGATCGCCAACCATCCCGAGCTTTTCACCTCATGCTCCTCTATCAAGGAATCGCTTGGACTATTCTTTTTTTTCGCCGTCATCTGTTGGACGCTCCGTCGACTGTGCTTGAGAATGAAGTGCACCTAGCGGAGGCAGCGTCCGGTCGCATCAAGATCTTTGGAGGTGTCACAAGAACCGTTCTCGATGAACCACTGGCCTCGAAAGCGGCCATCAACTATTTCCGGGAGAAGGATGCGTCACTCGTATCAGCGGCAGAACGAGCGATGATACAATTTGACAACCCTTCGGTACACGAAAACACATGGGAGACGTGCCGCCCGAGACGTTCAAAAGTCGACTGTTGTCGTCATGGCCTTTGATGACCAACACTTCTCTTCCGGACCAGCTCGCCGAGGATGTGACGACTGTTGGATACGGCGATCAGCAATCAAAACTCGCCATCTCACAGAAAAACATCACCACACAGCATCTTATGAAGGCGCACGTCGAGAACGACTCCAAACAGAACGATCAAGATATCCCTCCATTTTATTTCCCAGCACCTCATGTCTCCGAACTTGATGTCATGTTTTCGTCAAGATCAATGGCGACGTGTGACCCTGCTTTGCCCGGTTTTGAAATTGCGACAAGTTCTTGAGCCCAGCGATGTCGAGAATGCGCTCGCAGCTGTGAGCAGCCACGCCGTACAGGGGAAAATGGCAGGAGAAGATGGAAAAGGAACAGAAGAAGCGACGAAAACAGGGGCAACAGGATTGGACTACAAGCGTCCCATCCGATCAACAGCAACCACTACAATTATAGGACTACAGTTCCATTGGGATATACATCAGCACCTACCCCGCTGAGGGTGTCAGTTTCCAAGTTGTTTGGCCTGATCCTGAGACCGAACTTGAGGGCCTCCAACGTGTGTCCATCGGCATCGATGACAACAACTTTCCGAAGATCTTCCTACGTCGCTACGTCGATTTTCTGGACTACCTAGAAGGACACAAGCGACGTTCTGAAGACCAGCAATCTCAAAAATCAAAATTGAAGGCGAATGACTCCTCACAATGCGATGAGCAATAAATCTCCCAATCATCAAAACAAGATAAACCAAATCTTACACTTTCTCCTCGCTTATTTTGACTGGTCTCATCCTCTCACTGCCTCTCAAGCGTTCTGTCTTCTATTGCAACGACTGCTGTAAAGCTACCAATAAACAAAATCCATTCGCAAAGTGGTATTAGCCGCTGACGAAAATTCAGCATGGTTATGTTGCGTTTGTTTGTCTTTCCAATGAACGTGTTCGATGCTCCATCGACAATACATTAGGCTTGCTCGAACGCTTCCTGTAGTATGTATGATGATTGATTTCGCACACACCACTTTCAGCGTCGGAATAGAGGTTGGCGTGTGTAAGGATGCTGTGGAAGGCACAAAAGGGTTTGTTACAAAACAGACATCGTTGAACAGGTTCCTGAAAGTATTCCACTGTGCCTTTTCGTAGAATCGTTTCTCACGCACTTGACAGCTCAAGGCTGCTAACATTACCATGTCCTATACACAGATCACCTTTCGGATTGCCTGTAGAAAGTGCATTGAGGCTGCACAAAAAAACAGCTTGCCACTTGCCAAATCCACATAAAATCATGCATACAAGTCAAAAAAAAACTTTGAGTAGGAACTCCAAACTTTGATAGAAGGTTGTATAGGATTTTCGAAGGAGTATCTCATGGAGGTTGAATGGTAGTTAGAAACTAAAAAGAGCCCGCAAGTTGAAAAGGAAAACCAGGATGCATACGCTCCAATTAAGTGATCAGCCGATTCAGGCATTTCAATTCTGGGGATGATTCAATGTCGGTCCATACAGAAAAAAAAGAAAAAAAAAGGGCAAGTGGTGATGAATGAGGCCACGAATCAAGAGAATGAAGGACAGGAGTCTGAAGGCCGATCGGAACATTAGTGAATGAACATTTAAAATAAAAAAAAAATAAAAAAAAATAAAAAAAAAATATATCATCGTCGGGTATGACACTGATCTCCACAAGTTAGTCCTGCTTATCATGCTCGTGGACAACAGGAAGAGCATTTTGAGCGGGGGACCGGAGATTTTATTGTTCTCACAAGTGACCCTCTTGTCAGTACACCATGATGTGCAACACAAACACAAATTGGATGCCAAGCCTCAAGTTCATCATTCAATGAGCAAATGTACAAATGCGATGTAATCCTGCAAGTGCAGTGGCTACTTGAGAGACTAGACAAGGGAATGCACTCGAAGTGCCTGGCCATTTGATTTAAGCTATTTACAGCTCTATCTAACTTGGGACAAATGCGCAGAAGTATCTATCCGCGGTGTCGACTGCACAACCCCAAAATCCTTCTACGCCAGGGTGGCATTTGGCTCCATATTCGACGCACAAGTAGTCGGCATCCTCATCATCCCTCTGGCACAGCAATTTGGCTTCAGCAAGCAGCCTCTTGCATTCAGTATCTCCGTTGCAGGCATACGGGACGGAACTGACCGTATGAAGAACACGGGTGTGTGTAACTTGTTTGCCGCCATGTCTTCCGATTGTATAAGCTTGTCCGAGGTTAGCGAGATATGTAGCCAGCAATATGACAGTTGCCCTGATACGCATACTTGGTGAGTCTACGTACGATCGTAAAACAATATTAGCTTCCACGCATAAGGATAATCATTATACTTTGAAATGCCACGCTGCCTTACTCTGAGAGTGGGAGATGTGCTGGTTGCGGTTTAGAAACTCAGTGCTTGAGGTGGAGCTGAGGTGAAGGCCTTGGAATTTGAAATTAAATGCTGGAACAGAAGAGACTGCATTTATATGCGATGATTATTTTATGGTGGCACTGAGCAAATAAGTTCCAGAACCCGTGCACTTGTTCACAAAATCTCCACATGCCTTGTATTCTTGGCCCTTGTGCAATCGCGATTGTCCTCTTACTTGTCCTGTGCTTTCAATTCACCTTATCGCATGTGGGCTTGATCCCTCTCGCTTTTGCTCTCACGCTGTGGCATGAATCTCTATGCATGCTTGTGGTTTATGCACCAAGCAGGACTATACTCTCGCTTTTGCTCTTACGCTGTGGCATGAATCTCTATGCATGCTTGTGGTTTATGCACCAAGCAGGACTACTCTCTCGCTTTTGTTCTCACGCTATGGCATGAATCTCCATGTTTGTGGTTCATGCACCAAGCAGGACTACTCTCTCGCTCTGACTCTTACGCTGTGGCATGAACCTCTATGTATATTTGTGGTTTATGCACCAAGTAGGACTACTCTCTCGCTTTTGTTCTCACGCTGTGGCATGAATCTCCATGTTTGTGGTTCATGCACCAAGCAGGACTACACTCTCGCTCTGGCTCTTACGCTGTGGCATGAATCTATATGCATGCTTGTGGTTTATGCACCAAGCAGGACTACTCTCTCGCTTTTGTTCTCACGCTGTGGCATGAATCTCTATGCATGCTTGTGGTTTATGCACCAAGCAGGACTACACTCTCGCTCTGGCTCTCACGCTGTGGCATGAATCTCTATGCATGCTTGTGGTTTATGCACCAAGCAGGACTACACTCTCGCTCTGGCTCTTACGCTGTGGCATGAACCTCTATGCATGCTTGTGACTCATGGACCAAGCAAGACTACTCTCTCGCTTTGGCTCTCAGGCTGTGGCATGGACTTCTATGAATGTTTGTGGTTCATGCACCAAGAAGGACTACTCTCCATCTTTGCGCCCATGCTTCCCCACGTCCATTTATGCCATCTGATCTGCAAGGACGAAGAGATAACAGAGGACAAGTGAAAAAAGCGCTTACGAACGGACAATGGTCAGAAACGCATGCTGCAAGTATGGATCTGGTGAAATTATGTGCACCAGTAGCACATACTCAGTACATATCGGCTGCAGTACTCATCACGTATAAAAACGGAAACGGAATTGGCTTTCCATTTCATCATTCAACCTTGATTCTCTGGCCATCATCCTTTTGCAACAAAAACACTTCGACTACAAGACTTCACCAACTTTTCCTCTATGTAAGACCGATTTTTTTAATGTTTTTGCGGTGTGTCCTGTACGAGATTCTCCTTTCAGAAAGCTCACATCGTATTACTGTATATCTATCCCACTCCTTAAGCATCCTACGTAAAATGAAGTCCGGAGCGATTTTGACTCTGCTGGCCTGTCTGTGCCTGACCTTTAACGCTGAAGCATTCAACTTCGGCAAGCTTCTTGGAACCATAGCAGGCACTGTCGACGGAGTTGGCAACTTGCTGAACGGTATCCTTGGAGGCCTTGCTACAGAACAGCTAGGCTTCCTGCCTGATGTCGACTTCAAGGCCAGGCTTGTTGGCGCTAACGCCCTCTGCCAATTAGAGAGCCGCGATGGAATTCGGGAGTCGGACACGATGTGTGGAGATTTCGGCAAGCGGTACTATTCGGAGGCGGCCGGAAAGTGGGCTTGCGGAAGGCTGAGATCGGACGCAATGGGAGTTTACTCTTGTATGTACAAGCCTTCATTTTCCTTCATCCCTCACGGACTACAAATTCCAGACGTTGTGTTTCGTAGTGACGAATGGCGTGAAACATGGTAATCAAACTTGGATGAAATGTGGGCAAGATTGATGTGTATACAGTGTTGCAATCGATCAAATTTCTAACGCCTGCATTTTACTCTGACAATTTCATATAAGGCGAGCCGCTGGCCAATCACATGGCCGTGCACTTTGCAGCGACAGAAAGCCTATGGTAGATGTTGAAGCGGTCGACGATGAGATCGAGCCTTCCTTTCATGATAGCAGCAGTTTCTATGCGAAGGCGCTCGCAGCAGATCTGTACAAGTATACTTCGGCCTTCAATGATACCCTAGGCGAGTCCGAGGCCCACACAACTGCTGTCTTGACCACCGCCGTTATTCTGAAAGCGCTTGACGTTGCTGGTATACGCTATCCTATTGGACGACGAGTCTGCCAGTTGTGCAAAGGCACGTGCAACAGAATCATGCCGAAAGACAGCATTGATACGTGCAAGTACAAAGTTTGTGTTGGATTTCTAGGTGGCGTTTCAGTGAAGGACGGGGAGACAATGAGCTGCGAGAAAGTAAGCCGACCCTAGCCCATCTTCACGATGTTTCATTCATGGCCGCCATTCGTCCTGAACCGTGACTGCAGCACTCGAAGCTTTAAAATCAAGTGCTCCTTTGTTTCCAGTATTTTCATCTTCCAAAAACAGACTTTGTTCGTCTCACACTTCACATCCACCATTCTATGAACATATGTGATTTCAAGTCGTGGTGTATACAGCTTTCTTCCACCATATTTCTTACCATATAAACCTATATTGAAAAGCATCCTAATTACGTTATCTTAAATGACCACATTGGAGAGTATGCAGGCCCAAAATCCCAGCATACAGTATGTTTATTACAGTATTTAAACAAACAAAAAACATGCGGATTGGAGCAACACAAAGCACCAAGCGTACATAAACTAATTGCTCATAGTAAGAGATAGCACTGAGCGAACCTACAGCGAGGGGATCCACCTCGATAACATCGAGATACCAGAAGAAGTGATCCTTCAGCCAACACGAGAAAAAACACAGACTACAAGTAACAAAACTCGGCGAATACATTATAGAAGCACAGATCATTGCAGGATCATTCACTAGCAACATCGTTCTCATCCCACGAATTCCACTCTCCTCAAAAGACGACGGCTCCACACCAATTAAATTCACGCGCTTGCAATTTCCAATCCGACCTACTTTTGCACTTACCATCAACAAGGCGCAAGGACAAACGCTAACAACAACAGGTGTCTATCTACAACAACCTGTGTTTTCACATGGGCAACTTTATATTGCACTATCAAGATGTTCAAACCCTAACAACTTAAAGGTCCTTATCCTTAACGCTCCCACAATGCTTCGACCTTCAAACACGCCAACAACACCCTTTACAACAACCAAAGAACATTACACCAGAAACATAGTTTTCAAAGCAGCACTTTAACCAACACCAACTCATTCAAACAAAATTACCACAAACCATTCTTTGTTTACTTCGTATAGTACACCTCTAATAATAAACAGATAAAACAATGCATAAAAAATGAAGAGAACAATTCAAATGGCAATGCCCTAGTGTGCATAAATTGGAACAAATTGCACACTAATTGTCAATTTGATCTTTGGCTTGTAGAGCTGTATCACCAACAGTGCCATATAAAGGCTGTGAAAGAGGTACAAAATCTTTGTTTGTTTGTGTGAACCTCTTGAAAGAGGGAGTTAAATGCCCTCTTGGGAGGATGTGGACATCCTCCTTGGCAAAGAGGGACAAACCGCAAATTAACGCGTTCAAAAAGAGGCTCTATGTTGGGGAAAACACGCGATTCCCAGTCATATCACCACCATAGGAGAAAACGATAGGATATCCTATGAGCGAGCATGGAACCTTTTTTTAAAAAAAAATTATGCTATAGGATAGGAATATCCTATAGAGGATTGTCCTATAGGGGAGTTTCAACTGTATAGTTCTCTTAACTCGTCATCCCTATTCAAAGACCTACAGCAGCACGACGATGCGTCACCTTCATCGGCAAACCCTCCAGCATGGGGAGCGTCACTGACACACCATAAGGTGGCAACTTTGCACTATCCACAAGCGTCAAGTCAAACTTTTGCAGCATAAGTCCTATCACAGTGAGGGCTTCCAGCATCGCAAAGTTCATACCCAGACAGACACGAGGACCCGCATGGAAAGAACTGAATTTTCCCTGCGAGAACTTTTCGCCTTGCAACCAACGAGAGGGTTTGTATTCGAGCACGTCTGGACCCCAGATCTTTTCGGAGCGGCCCATAACGTAGGAGGACCAGGTGAACCATTCTCCGGCGTAAATCTTGGTTCCGTCGGGGAGCACGTCGTCTTGGACGCAGAGTTTGAGGTTACGAGGGACGACGGGGAAGATTCGGAGAGCTGTTTTTGTGGTGAGCGCAGCAAAAGGCAAGGCGTGGAGAAAGATAAATGAGGGACGACAAGAGTTGGTAAAGGAGATCTCGTAGTATCTGAAAATGAGAGGGCCATGTCTAAGCGTATAGGTTCAATTATTTACCTTCGTTGACGCTGTTGGTGCAGTTAAAGAAAGGGGAGAGGAACAAGAATAGAGAAAAGAAGAGGCAAAAAAAGTTAGCAATGTGTTCAATTGAAAGAAAATCCATCACCACAGGAGTGCATCGGGTCTTGTCGTTTCATACCATGCCTCGGCAAACTTATGCCGTTTGTAGGACTCATACGATGGCAGTTCACCCTCAAGGACATCATCGACCTCTCGGACCAAAGTCTGTTTGATGGAGGGGTCGGTACCATCTCGGTTCAAAAGGTAGAACATCCAGGAGAGGGTCTGTGCCGTCGTGTCGCGTCCTGCAATCTGATAACAACGAAGAAGTTGAAAGGAAAACGAAAAGTGGTTAGAGGCATGGTAGTTACTGATACCGAGAAGACCATTAGCGCAAAGTGTTTCAGATAAGGCCATCAATACAGTTCTTTCCATTCATCTCTTTCACACTGCGCACCCACTTACAGTAAAGTTCAAGATGACATCGACAAGGTGCTCATCTGTCAACTCATTCCCCTCCTCATCCTTGGTCTCCATAAACAACTGCAACAGATCCTTCTTAGGCTTGTAGTATACCTCTGCACGACGTTTTTCGATAATCTTGAATGCATGCCCACGAACCACGTTGCGGTCGTGGACAGTTTTCTTGCCGACTTTCGTCAAGGCCTCACGGATCCTCCAGGCAGGATCCATCAGACGGTCAGAACAAATAGAGGTCAACTCATCAAAGGCGACTGCGAAATCGACCTCGGACTCGATATTATCCAAGCATCCGAAGCTTTCTCCGAACGAAACGCTGCAAAAGGAGAAGACAAGTAACATGTGAGTAAAGAATATTTGCGCACATTCTTTTGGCATGTTGGGCAATTTTTAATTATCGCCTAAAGAGCCAGGCGAGGAGAGAGAGGTGCGTGCGCACAATAAACACAACAAAGGCAACAAATACAACAAAAAACTGAAACTTACGTCCCAAAGCTGTCAAGGGTAAAGTGGAGCATAAGGGCATGGAAATCAATTTGGGTACCCGCATCAGCAGCTTTGCCGAGGTAAGCCAACACCTTCTCCGCCTCTTTGTTGAAGACATCGCTGGTGTACTCACGGAAGGCTTTGACGTTAAAGATGTGGGAGGCCATCTTGCGCTGGAACTTCCATTGGGGTCCGTCCGAGGTGATGATACCTAATTTTGGGTGACAGAGAAAGAAATAGAAGGGAAGGGATTAGATAGTGCACAAGAAGAAACAAAATATGATTAAAGGAAAAAGAGAGCGTGTGAATTGCAACTGAAATCTAAACGTAAATAAGAATGGCAACAGCAGCAGAAGAACTCACCTTTGCCAAAGAGGTCAAAGAGTACACCCTTCAGGATAGGACCCTTCTCATACGCCCAAAAGTTGTGCTTCAAGACATGTTCGAGCAACTCGGGAGAGTCACCCTGGACCATACGTCCAATAAAGGGCAACGAAATCGACCAGACAGGTCCCAACTCACGATAGTTCTTCTCAAAGAAATCGTACAGCTTGGTGCCATGGATGCTGGCGAGGAGGGGCATATGGCCGAGAAAGGGGACTGCACCTTTAGGGGCCTTAAGGTCTGGGCGGTGACGGGTACCGACAGCATGAGAACGGTACTTGTAGAGGAAGATGGCCGATATGGCTAGGAGGAGTTTGATGTTGTTTGTGCGTGTTGCATGCTCGAGTGCGTATTTGGCCAGTTCCGTGAGAGCCATGTTGTGTTGTTTAGTGGTAGTGATAGTGGGGTGAAGGAAGAAGGGTTGGCTACGGGTAGGGTAAGACGTAGAGTAGAGTGTGTAGGCTGTAAAGGAGAGACGAGAGTAGGCGAAGATGAGAAAGGAATAAAAAAAAGGAATGATAAACGTGTGGGAACTGGTCACTGTTTATTGAGAGTTGAAAGTGTGTTAATTTGGGATGTGGCGGGATCTTGATATAGGGAGTAAGCAGTGCCGAAAAAGTAAGAATGGTCACGCATAAAAAAACAGGGAGAGGGAGGGATGCCAAAAAAAATCAAGGGCGTGGAGGAATGCCGCCGAAAAGATTGAGGATGTGAGAAAGAAGGCACCCTGAAAAGAGCAAAATCAAGGATGTTGGAAAAAGAAAAGGATGCAGGAAATAGAAAGGGATGCTGGAAAAAGAAAGGGACGCTGGAAAAAGAAAGGGATGCTGTGTAAAAAAATGCTAAAAAAAGATCAAGGGATTCTGGAAAAAGATCAAAGGATCTGCAAAAAGAAAGGGATGCTGTGTAAAAAGATGATAAAAAAAGATCAATGAAATCTGGAGGAAGATTAAAGGATCTGCAAAAATAAAGGGATGCTGCAAAAATAAAGGGATGCTGCGAAAAGAAAGGAATGCTGCAAAAAGAAAGGGATGCTGCAAAAATAAAGGGATGCTGTAAAAAGAAAGGGATGCTGCAAAAGAAAGGGATTCTGGAAAACGATCAAGGGATACTGGAAAAAGATCAAGGGATGCTGGGAAACGATCAAGGGATGCTGGGAAACGATCAAAGAATGCTGGAAAAGGAAGTGATGCTGCGACGATCTGACTGCACTCGGAAAAGTGATGATTTTGATGTGTTTTTATTGTATCGATGAAGTTTGTTCAAACACTGTGCTCTCTTGATTTCAATGTCTGAGATGTTTCCAATGTTAAAGACATCAGAAATAATGAACATTATTAAAACGATATCTATTTTTACATACGCGTAGGGCGCCGAAAAAAAACTGATTATATGAGTATAGCACACAAAAATGGCAAGGCATGGCAACCTTCGAAACTGAAAGTATGATGACCTTCTGTAGGTGTGATGCATAGATCACTTACTTTAGATGCATGTTGTAAATGTAACACCAGTACAACATCCCTTTATTTATTTTTTTCCTGTCTGCATCACATCTTTGCGAATACACAATATATAGAGTCATCTCGCTATTCTGCCTGCTTACTTTGCTTCAATACTATCCGCGCTTTTACTACACTTTCCTCGACTGCATCCTCCTCTATAGTAAACTTGCGCCTATAAATACTCCCTTCTTTCAATACAAAAAAACAGCACCATTTCTTGCCCTTTTCACTCGATCCTCTTGTTTCCCTTGTCTCTTCCTTTGCCTTTTCATCTTATATCCTTGTCTTTCCACTTGTATCCTTGTCTTATCTGTTGCTATTACACCCTGGGTCTTGCCAGCTTCCCTCTTTTTCAGTGTACCATTGACCTTCAGCTGTATAAGGACGTTGCATCTACTCAGCGTCCTGCACCGATCCTACCTTAAGACACTGCAAGAGCCATCGCAAGGACCGTCACAAGAGCTGCCGCACGAACGATCTCCCTCATACGAACTCTCATAAGAGCGCCACAGTCCCTTACCAAGAACACTCTCAGTAACACCTTCAGGAACGCTCACAAAAAGATTTGCACAACCCCCAAGCATATCTGCATTTCTTGAGCTCACTCTGGTAAGGCTATATGGCTGGACTTCAGCTAATTATTACAGGGGTTGTCCATAAAGCACTTACTCTCACGCCGATATAAAGATATATTAGCCCTTCAAAAGGACTAACATCTTTTTCTGCCCTTAGCTATTCTTTCACGACTTAGTAACGCAGCAGCCACTAATAACAACTCGGTCAAGACGAAAAACCCACCATTCTCAATGACCAGTCGTATACCAGCAATGCCTGGCGCAATGTACGAAGCCAACGATCATTTTGAGCGGGCAGAGTTTCAGCGCCTAGATGACGATCACATGCCAGGTAACTTGCAGCAGGAGCTCCATCTGTTGGCGGAAAACTGTGAATGTTTGGATGGTGGCGCTTGTCGGTCAAGAAATCATGCGAGATATCGAGCATTGATGCATGAGCTCACGATGGAGCATGAGCTCACGACGGAGGATGAGCCCAAGAGTTTGTTTATGGATGCTAGTTCGTGCGCGGATTTGCTAGTCGCAGTCGCTCATGCGGTCAATGGTACGAAGGATTCGGTACGCCTTGGCTTGGACGCGATGTGTACCGTAGGCGGTGTGATGGGCCGGGTGTTGGAGGAGCATCCGCATAACATACTGGGTATGATCAGAACGATAGCTGAAGTGCCGAGGACGACTAGTACAACTATGAGCTCCAGAAGTCACCCAAAGCTGCGTCAAATCATGCCTGCAGTTGCTGTGCACGGACCATGGTACCAGTTTTTAGCGATGCGTATCTGTACGCCATGCACCAAGATGCAGCTCGACCCATGGTGGATCTGGGCAAGGAGACGTGGAGCGGATGATCGATGGAGGCTAGGCAAATTGGAAACGACATACGAGGGGGAGCTGCCATGTGGTGCAGCGCATATGGTGGCCATAACATTACTAGCACGGACAGGGAGTCTAGCCGATGGGATCACCGGTGACCATTGCTCTCATGTTGTTATGGCGTGCAAGAGTGCTTTGAATGGTAATACGTTGGGAAGGTATATTAATACGGTCCTGATCCAGGCGGCAGCTCAGTTGGGCGGTGAAACGGGCAACCACGCAGGCGGATGGGGGGCAGCAAGGGTGTTGGCAACGGTGACGCTGCTCTGGGATGAACTATGGGCGGCACTTGCTGCAGAGGGCGAGTCATCGGTACCAATGGCGAACTGTGCGGCCTATGCACTCGCGTCTGATTATGCTGAGAATGTGCACTGCACAGTAGAGGAGGACGGTGAGATGCGATTCATCATGTACGAGGACTCGACAGTGCTACACGATGTGACGATCCGTATGGAATTCTTCCGGCAAGGTGGCCAACCACAGTGGAGTATGGCGATAATCAACATGTGGCGAGACTACACTATGCGGCGCTGGAAAGTCGACAAGGACATGTGCTTTGACAGATATGTGCGAGCATACCTCAAGGACGACAGCGGCATCAACATGAGCAAGTCTAGTTGCAATTTGGCGGGTGTAGGCTGGGAGGATGTCAGAAATTGGAATAACAAAAACAAAGGTGCAAGAGCAGGAACGGCACAAATCCTCACTAAACGCCAGATGTAGGACTACAATTGATAGGAGTTGGAAGAGTGTTTTAGGCAACACAAAGTACTGATCAGCCTGTAGGATGAAAAGCATGTAGCTAATTTCGTTTTTATATACACTGATTCAGTGCAATTGCATTTCTTTGAAACGATGACGATGATGATTGCGAAAGTTCGTTTTATTCAAACTGCTTGTGACGAAAAAGGGGTCTCTATGGTTTAGTTGAGGATGGATGGATGAGAACAAAAAAGAGAAAAGTTCGTTCATCTACTAATACAAAATCGTTATCTCCATCACCTGACTTATCGTAAATCATGTGATGTTCCCTCTTTCTCTTTCTCACGGTGTTGTGGTGTGTGTGGTGTTGTGGTGTGTGTATGGTGTGTATGGTGTATGTGTAGTGTGTGTGTAAGTGTTTGTGTGTGTTGTGTGTGTTGTGTGTGCTGTGTGCGTTTTTTTTAGTTTAAAGTTAATTAAATTAAAATGAGAGATGGATGGGGGTTGCAATCAGAGTCATACCGGTAAGCAGATCTGCCGGTAACCATGTTAAAATGCGACTGCGGAATGAGAGCCACGCCGGTAAGAAGATCTGCCGGTAAGCAGTAAGCATGTTAAGATGCGAAAATGGAGAATGGAGAGAGTAGAGCCGATGACTTTTCTTTCTCTTTCACGGACAAGCATATTTTCTTTCCTTCCTTTCTCTTTTTTTTTTTTTTTTTTTTTTATCTGTCAGTAGCCAGCATACCTTCCACTCGCTCTCACCGTGTCACTCTTACTACCACTTCCACCCCTGATGTCTCTCCTTCTGCGACCTTTACAGGATACAGACGGGCCAAGGCGACCAACTTAACAAGGTCGCTCTACTGCTAGCGCTCCCTCTACTTCCTCCACTCTCCACTTCCTTTCCACCAAATGTACCACCACTATCACCGCCAAACTCAATGCCATCACCCCTTACTCTTCCTCCTCATTCCTCCTCTTCTTCCTCCTCTTCTTCTTCCTCCTCTTCTTCTTTTCCCTCTTTCCCCCCTTTTACCTCCTCTTCCTCCTCCATCAGTAGGTGTGCCAAGCATCGTGGACGTGGGAACGGCCAACAAAGGTCGACAAGTTGTTACTGTCCCTACTATAAAGGAAAACAAACGGTATTTTAGAGTAAACAGACCACAATTGCTCAGATTGCCGCCTCTTTACAGCACAACTCCTAAGTTATAATGGTAACAACTGCGAAGCAAGCTTTGATGCCATTTCAGACGGGGATGCTTACGTTGCAATTGCTGACGTGGTTCAATAGTTCGAGACTACAAGTAGAGCGTCTAATCGAATTTATTCGAATTTCCTATGTTTTGCTTAGGATTTGTGCGCATTCGAAACGGATTAAAAATTTCGACTCGAATGCGCACAAACCCAATGCAAACCATAGGGAATTCAAATAAATCGATTAGATTGGCTAACTACAAGTCAGACAACGATTGAGTGAGAGGGTGAGGGGAGTGAGGATGGGTCATCGATCAGGCGGCGGAGGCACTGGTACCGGGGGAATGCTTCCAGCCTGAGGCCTACCATTCCGACCCATTTAGGTAACATAAGCGACAACGACGACCTGCTGAAGGAGAAAAACCGATTGTCCCAGTTACGCATGATTGTAGCAGCCACGCATGGCTCCAGCCCAACGCCAACCATTCCGACCCATTCCGGCCCATTTAGGTAACGTGAGCGAGCTATTGCCATCGCATTGCATAGTGCTCCTCAGTCCTCTGCTACGAGATGTAATGCTTGCAGACAACTTGGTCACCGTTGTACAACTCATGCGGATTGCCATTTGAGCAGGAAGCGCATAATCGTTGCAGAATCTCTTGCTTCTACTCCTTCCACGGTCCTTGCTACTCCAGCCGCTTCTGCCGCTCCTGTTACCCCTGCTGCTTATGTTACCCCTGCTACTCATGTTTCCTTTGTTGCTCATGTTTCCTTTGTTGCCCATGTTTCCTTTGTTGCTCATGTTGCTCCCGCTGATCTACGTGTTTTTGGGAATAGAGTAGCTGCTGTTAAGGAGCAGGACGACACAGTGTACATGATCTAGGAATTGATGAGCGTGGTCTGCTCTCATTGGGGTGCTTTACATTGGACAGAGGTAACCAGTTACGATAACACCTACAACTATTCTACATTCTTCTTTCTTTTTATTGATGCGCGATTTAATTATTTATTTTGAATACGCAGGAGCGTGTCGGACGTACAGTCGCTAATCCACGCTTCTCTGTGTGCTGCCTAAGAGTCAAAATGCCAGCCATCGAAGCTTCCCTTGCTGGATTGCAAAGCCATTTCAGAGGTATTTCTTGCAACCACCCGGACCTTCAACAGTGTCTTTGCCTTTACATTACATCCTTTGGTACCAGTACAAAGTACCGTGACATTCGACATGCGTTGACCGCCTGGCAGAGGGAAAGCGAAAAGAAAAAAAGGTATTGTGAGTGCGATAGAGGACTTTGGGAGGATGGAGATATGGCACGTACGTTACAAGGGCGACGGTCGAATAGGGAATGATCCAAGGAATAACACCTCGAGAGAGGAAGGCAGGTTTGAGCAAAGGAGGAAAACCGACAGGATTTAGCCCGCCAAGGCAACGAGTCGATTTGTCAAACAAAGTCTGAATGAGGCGGACGAGAGGGTTGTAGAGTACGTTCATGGCAAGACGGTGTTGTATTTGATGGAAAGAAAGGAGACTGCTGCATAAAATCTTTGACCGAGATCTCGACTGACAGAGGGCTCATCAGACACGACAGGTCGCATTGGGGATGCGGAGGGCTGGCTCGGTGCTCGCCACTTCATGGCATTCATGCGACCCAAGTTGTGTATCTATAGGCATTCGAGCTCCCAGGGATCCCGTCTGACACCTCCTCCCCGTGGCTGTGGCTTGGATTAGTCAGGCCTGGCACGCTGGCACGATTTGTGGAATCTGACAAAGAAAAAAAAAGGAAGGGAGGGCAAAACGAAAAAAAAAAGTGAAGACAGAAATAGAAAAGTGAGAGAGAAATGAGGAACTGACAAACACAAATAAACTTTGCAATATTCAACCACCACCACTTTTTTATCAATTCACACTTCCTCCACACCTCCGCGAGCGAAGCCGCGGGTACTATCTCTTTCTCTTTAAAAAAATAACGATTTCTGTATATCACGTGAGGGCGGAGCCCGAACTAAAAATGTTGTGAGGGCCGTGGCCCTCACCAGTATCTTGCGCGTAGCGCCAGCGCGAAGCGCCTGTGTCTTGCGCGAAGCGCCAGTATTTTGTGAGCGAAGCGAGCGATGGTCACGGGCAAGGCCATCAAGAGTATCTTGCGCGAAGCGCGCCAGTGTCCTGTGAGCGCAGCGAGCGTACGGGCACGGGCTAAGAGGATATGAGGGCGTAGCCCGAATCAAGGGGCTTTGAAGAGGATGTGAGCGCAGCGAGCAATGGTCACGGGCGCGCGCCCTGGCGAGACAATCGAAAGTATCTTGCGCGAAGCGCCAGTATGTTGTGACCGCACGGGTACGAAAGGGAGAAGATGATGTGAGGGCGTAGCCCGAACCAGAGGACCTTTTTTGCGCCAAGCACCCGTACTTTGTAAGCGAAGCGAGCGATGGTCACGGGCAAGGCCATTAAGAGTATCTTGCGCAAAGCGCGCCAGTATCCTGTGAGCGCAGCGAGCGTACGGGCACGGGACAAGAGGATATGAGGGCGTAGCCCGAACCAGAGAAACTTTCTTGCGCAAAGCCCCAGTACTTCGTAAGGGCAAAGCTGTAGCTGTCAGATACCTGTTGCCGCCTGCGGCAAAAGGAAGCGACCGCTGGAGCGTGGCCGTCTGGGCCATCTAGCGCAAAGCGCCAGTATGCTGTGAACGAGCCTTTTCGCAAGCCTACTAAAAAGCAAGAAATCCTCTGGCGTGATGTAGAGCAAAGGGCAGTCAAGGATATCTTGAATATACTGCGCGTGAGGGTGACCCGAGAGAATAATGAATACTAACAAGGCCAGGGGGATGGCTCCTCAGCTACTAAGATGACTATCTAATAAGGGACGTCAGCTGGGCCCAGCTGGGACCAGGGATATTATTCTTTATGGCACAACAGGAAACTCCACAGGTATGAGCTCTACATTCCCCAAGCATGCCATTGGCCACAGGTAGTTGTGAAAAATTTACAGTCACACTACACTTGAAAAAGGAAAAAGGTAATAGGCAAGTGGCACCCTTATCTTTAAACGAGTCTTCTTCAAAGACCCTTCAAACACCCTTCAAAGACCCTTCCAAGACCCACACCCCTCACCCCAGACCCCCTTACAGCAACTTCCGGCACCCGTGGCATCGCCCACGGGCAACCTTTCTAGTTCTAGTCTAATAATACAAAGCGACTGCAGCGATCACCTGATTTAGCGTTTCGTAAATCATGTGATGTTCTTTTGTCCAAGAGTGTGGTGTGTGCATGGTGTGTATGGTGCGTGTGTGTGAGTGTGTGAGTGTGTGAGTGTGTGTGTGTGTGTATGTATGGCGAGTGTACGTGTGTGATAATTGCTTTTTTTTTTTTTTTTTGTTTAGAGTTAATTAGAAAATCGATTCAAGTCATTAATTCTGAGCGATGCAATGCGATGGATACGATAAGAGTAAGATGAATATGCATATGGATATGAAAAACGACAAAAATCAAAATGCTCATGGATCAGAAAGGTAAAGTAGAGCCTCTTTTTCTTTTTCTTTTACAAACATGTTTGCTTTTCCTTTCTTCTTTTTTCTTTCTTTATTCTTTATCTTCCTCTTCCACGTCTTTCGTCTTCTACATTATCACACCTGTCACTAAGCATGCCTTCCACTCGCTCTCGCCGTATCTCTCCCACTTCCTCCTCCACTTCCAATGTCTCTCCTTCGACCTTTACAGGATACAGGCGGACCAAGGGTGCCAGCTCAACAAGGTCGCGACCGGCCAAGTCGGTCACATTCTCTCCCCTTTCTGCCAAGCACACCGCTGCCACCAACACCACTGCTACCGCTCCCTCCGCTTCCTCCGCTCCCTACTTGCTTCCCACCAAATACGCCACCAAACACGCCACCAAGCGCACCACTACTATCACCACCAAATCCAAGCCCATCACTCCTTCCTCCTTTTCCTCCTCCATCAGTAGGTGTGTCAAGTATCGTGGACGTGGAAACGGCCACCAAAGGTCGACAAGTTGTTACTGTCCCTACTATAAATGAAAACAAACGGTAATTTTAGGGCAAATAGACGACAATTGCTCGGATTGCCGCCTCTTTGCAGCACAACTCCTAATTTATAATAGCGATAACTGCAAAACAAGCTTTGATACTATTTCAGACGAGGATGCTTACACTGCAATTGCTGACGTGGTTCAATAGTTCGAGACTACAAGTCAGACAACGGTTCAGTGGGAGGGTGAGGGGGGTGATGATGGGCCATCGATCAGGCGGCGGAGGTATTGGTACTGGGAGAATACTTCCAGCCTGAGGCCTACCATTCCGGTCCATTTAGGTAACATAAGCGATAACGACAACCAACTGAAGGATTTTTTTTTAAAATTGAACCTTCCCATAGGAAGGCTCAGTAAGGAGAGAACAGCCCCAGTGGTGCAACAAGCCACCAGGGGTTTTTTTTTATTTCTGAAGACGGTACTTGAGAAAGATATGTGTAGGGGGCAGCGGCAAGACTCTGAATTTGAGGGAAGACTTTGTGCAGTAGAAAAGGGGGGAGCCCTCAACTCCTTAAGTGTAAGATGAGGAGATCATGCGCCAAGCCAAACGCTCTCCTAGGACTCGAACCCAGGACCTCATAATTGTGAGGAGGACGCTTTACTACTACGCCAAACGGGATCCCAAGCCCTCACCTGCTGAAGGAGAACAGCCAGCTGACACAGGTTGTCCCAGTCACTCATGATTGTAGCAGCCATGCATGGTTCCAGCCCGGCGCCAACCATTCCAACCCATTTAGGTAACATGAGCGAGCTATTGCCATCGCATTGCATGATGAACCTCAGTCCTCTGATATGAACTGTAATGCTTGCAGACAACTCCGTCACCATTGCACAACTCATCCGGATTGCCTTATGGGAAGGCAGCGCATGATCGTTGCAGAATCTCTTGCTCCTATTCCTTCCACGGTCCTTGCTGCTCCCGCTGCTCCTGTTACCCCTGCTGCTCCTGTTGCTCCTGCTGATCTAAGTGTTTTGGAAATAGAATAGCTGTTAAGGATTAGGACAATACAGTGTACATGATCTTGGGATCGATGAGTGTGGTCTGCTCTCATTGTGGTGCTTTACAGTGGACAGAGGTAACCAGTTACGATATTACCTACAGCTAATTTACATCCTTCCCTCTTTTTATTAATATCGATTTAATCATTTCTTTTGAAAACGCAGGAGTGTGTTGGACGTATAGTCGCTAATCTACGCTTCTCTGCTGTCTAAGAGTCAAACGCCGGCCATTGAAGCTTCCCTTGCTGAATTACATTGACCACGGTGACATGTCCATATGTGAATTACAAAGCCTTTCAGAGGTGGTACCTTTTTCTCCGGACTATTTCTTGCAACCTTCCGTATCTTCAATAATGTCATTGCCTTTACATCCTTCGGTATTAGCTCAAGAACCGTGACATGCGTTGACCGTCTGGCAGAGGGAAGCAAAAAGAAAAAAAAGGTATTGTGAGTGCGATAGAGAACTTTTGGCGGACGGAGATATGGCACGTACGTTGCAAGGGTAATGGTGGAATAGGAGAGGACCCAAGGAATAATACTAATACCTCGAGAGAACAAGGCGGGTTTGAGCAAGGGGGGAAAACCGACAGGGTTTGGCCCGCCAAGGCGACGAGTCGATTTGTCAAACAAGGTCTGACTGAGGCGGACGAGAATGTTTGTCCAGCACGTACATGGCAAGATGGTGTTGCATTTAATGGAAAGAAACGAGACTGCTACATAATATCTTTGACCGAGATCTCGACTGACAGAGGGCTCATCAGACCCGACAGGTCGCGTTGGGAATGCGGACGGCTGGCTCGGTGCTGGCCACTTCAAGGCATTTATGCGACCCAAGTTGTGTAACCATAGGCATTCGGACTCCCAGGGGTCCCGTCTGGCACCTCCTTCCCATAGCTTGGATTAGTCAGGCCTGGCATGCCGGCGTGATCTGTGGGAGATCTGACGTCAATAAAAAAAAAAGTCAAGGAGGACAAAAAGAAGAAAAAAGAGAAAGCAGAAAAAAGATAGACAAGAAAAGCAAGAGAGAAATAAGGAACTGACAAATACAAATAAACGTTTTAATATTCAACCACCACCACTTTTTGATCACTTCACACTTGATCCACACCTCCGCGAGCGAAGCCGCGGGTACTATTCTAGTTATACTCAAAAGGAGACTGTTCTCGTCACTTGGTCGTCCGGAAACAGGACAATTCATCTATTGGCTGGAACGAGAAATTTAAATAAGCAGTCATAAGATTTGAGTTCTCCAGATATTTCTAAATATGGAAAAAATCTAACACAGTTCGTTTGACGAACTCTCGTGTTCGCTTGATTTGATCCACAAGTGTCCTATAGAGGACGGACTACTTGCATTGTCTACGGTGCCATGGACATATGTGTGTGGGCTCCATGACACGAAGCGAGGGAGCTGGGTGTTGGTCGCCGATGCAAAAAGAGGTTGAGCTGGTGCGGACCCCACCACCGATCCAGATCCTGGAAGAACTGAGGGTGCAAACTCCACTCCAGCTGCTCCTGAAGTTGACGTGAGGGTGGGTCTGCTGGATTGAAGGACGAAGGTACATACGTCGTCTGCAGACGTGTGCTGGTGGCTAGACAGTGTCGCCAGATCCTGTCCGCCGCTTCCATCAAAGGTGCTGATCTCGTTCCGCCGAATTTGTTGATATAGGCGATCGTTGAGGTGTTGTCGATGGCTAGATTGACCATTCGTCCTTGAGTCTCGGGTAGTGTTAAGGCTAGGAACACCGTTTGAAGTTCCTTCCAATTTATATGTTGCTGGAGCTCCTCCTGGGACCAAAGACCGCTCCATGACTTGCTTTCGATAACAATTCCCCAACCCTTGTCGGATGCATCCGTGTAGACATCCAGATCCGGCGGTGTCTGAAGCCATGACATTCCGTTCCATTCGCGTAGGCTCGATATCCACCAAGACAAGTTCTCCTCTGCCTTGACCGTGAGGGTGACTCTATCTGTCCACTGAGCTCCCGACCGGCTCAATGCCGAGTTCTTGAGGGCGAGAAGGTGACGCGTCATAAGACGCGCCGGGAAGACTGCCAGGGTTGTTGCCATGGCCTTTCCGACGAATGAGGATAGACTCCTCAGGGTTGTATAACCCTTGTTGAGCATCTTCGTGGCCTCCCGACGAAGATCCCGTAGCTTGTTCTTGGGAACGGAAAGCGTCATATTGCGGGTGTCGAAGGAAAAGCCCAGATGATCCAGCCTCTGTGTCGGCTCCATCGACGATTTCTCCTTGTTGACGATGAACCCCAGCTCGACTAGCTTCTCCCAGACTAGTTGTGTATTCCTGCGTGATTGCTCCTCTGTCCGTGCCATGATGAGCAAGTCGTCGAGATAAGCGGTAATCCTGATCCCGCGACGGCGAGCCCACCGTAGGAGTGGTTGAAGAACTTTCGTGAACACAAGAGGGGATAAAGACAGGCCGAAAGGAAGAGTCCTGAACTGAAACACCTGGTTCTTCCATACAAACTGCAAAAAGTGACGGTGAGAAGCTGCGATCGGAATATGGAGAAAAGCATCTTTCAGGTCTATGGATGTCAGAAAGTCCTTTTTTCGAATCATCGCACATACCATCTTGGTGCTCTCCATCTTGAATGAGGCAGGCTCCACGTACTGATTGAGTGGGCGAAGGTTGAGCACAGGTCTCAGGTCTCCTGTCTTCTTGACGATTGTAAATAAGCGGCTGCGAAGCGCTCATTGCGGGCTCGATAGCTCTCTTGTCGAGTAGAGCCTGGATCTCCTCCTCGATGGCTACCTCGTCCTGCTGTGACATTGGAGACTGTCGCTGCTGTTGAATGGTGACTGGTGGTGAGGAGTGAAAGGGTATTTGAAATCCTTCTCCTACCACATTGAGAATCCAAGAATCGTCTGTAAGCTCCTGCCAGGCCGGGAGAAATGCCTGAAGACGTCCTCCTACTGGGAGATCTGGCCGCGGCCCCGGCCTCGTCCACCGCGACCCCCGCGAAAACCCTGTGGGGGTTGTTGTCCATAGCCGCCATAGTCACCGAATCCCTGGGGCTGGAAGGCGAAAGGCGGTTGTTGTTGATAATGCGCTGATTGTTGATACGGCGCAGCATAGGGCTGCTGCTGTTGTTGGTAATATTGTGGCTGTTGTTGGTATTGAGGCTGCTGTTGATGTTGACCGAAAAGGCGCCCGCCGCCGCCATGGTCACGACCACCTCAGTGGCCTCTGCCTCCTCCCTGTGCCCCTCCTTGGGTGTTGTTCTTGGGTAGCTAAGCTTTGGCATAGTCCTCTGCAGCCTTAATGTCAGCGGTGATCGTATCCTTGGAGATGGTAACGCCCTTCTTCTTCTCGGGTGCCGGCTGCAATCCTTTGGCGCGAAGGAAATTCTCGCGACGTAATTGTTGAATGTCTCTGGCAATGAGAGCCTGCTGGGAACGGGCGATGTGTAAAAACTCTGCAACATCCGTTCGTACTGTGACATCAGCACATTTGGTGATAAACTCCGCCGCAAACTCATCGATCGGACGGGTGGAGTCGGTAATCCGCTCCAAAATCCTGCAAAGAGCTCGCTCGAAGTGATAGTGGGCTCCTTGTTGGTTCGCAGGCCACGGAAGATCCCAACCTGGTGCAGCGTATTGCTGCAGAGGGTTCTTGGCGCAGTATAGCTCCGCAGTGTAGACATGATCCAATTCGGGGAGCAAGAGTAGGGTCTCCGTTAAAGCAAACTTCCATACCACTGTATATCCTTGCCACAAGGTACATATGCTTGTATGGCACTATGTGTCGAATGTATTCGGCACAAGTACATGAAAAAAGAAGCATACTGTCCACGTTTGCGCTGACACTATACTTCTTGTTGGGGTCTGTGAACGAAACGACAAAGAACTGGAAAAAGAAAAGTTAAAAACAATATAATCACACGCAGTCAACACGCTGCGCCATTGCACACCATTTGTCCATACCTTGAATTGTTCTACCTCCTCAGAGACCATATTGCTGGCAACATCAAATGCCAGCGCCATGGCCTGGCCTTGTTGGCCTGGCCTTGTTGGCCTTGTCGTATGCCGAGAGGACAATGGGCTGCAATCCATGAGTGATCTTGAAGTGGGTGGTCCTGAAATCAACATCTACCACTCCTTGAAGTAGACAAACCAAGTCGTCTGCACGCAAGTCGCGTTCGTATCCCAAGTGTTGTCGTTTCAGAGTTTTATGCCAGCTTTCGACAAGATTGTTGGTATTTGTGTGCTGGTAGTTCTATTTGCATGCATAAATAAGGAATTATGTACGTTTGAGCGCCTTTGTGTGTTTGTTTGCTCAAATATAGAATACACATGATTTAGCAATTCCATACCTCTCGAAGATAAATCACCCATTTGACCAACTTCTTTGGTACCATCCATTGCTTTTTCAGATACGAAATCATCTTGGTGGCAAATGGAAACAAGTTCTGAAAGGTATTCCATTTTTCTTGAAACTCAACCTCTGATGAGGCACGTCGAATGGCAGTAAGATGTCCACGCATAGCAGTGCAGGTGTTATCCTAAGGATTCTCAAAAAGATAATGGGCATTAGCAAATATCAGGAACAGCGTGGAATGTGAAACTGATAAACATTCAATGTAAACTACTTCTTTACTCACATCGTAATTTTGTCGCATGTTCCGCTCCCACGCCTGCCCTACGTGAAAGGAGCAGTAATAGACCTCATGCTCACGAAAGGATTGATTCAGTGCTTCGGTCTCTGCCACAGAGCAGTCCACCATGGACTTGGTAGCCTTAAGCTTGCACTCGTCTTTGAGCCATATTAACCATTTTCTCAAAATGTAACTAGTGCGTAAAAAAATACTATGAGTATTCTTCCAAAAGTCATGAAAGAGATCGGCCTTTCAAGCAAATGAGATACGCGAACTCAGGAACTTACGTTGATTCGGAGTTGCAAACCATGAATGCAATTGGTATTCCTGTGTTCGCTTTTTGATCTCTGACGAGAATGGTGAATAGGTAAGCGGATGCAAAATTTCCGTCTTTGTCCGGCTTCATTGATTTCACTACCCTATGGGTAGAATCCATACATACAATGGATTTGTTGTTGCTCATGACCTAATTGGATTCAATCATCAACAACAAAACAATAAGAGTGTGCATGACAACTCAAAAACAGCACACTCATGTAATTATTGGCGCTCACCTTGAGTTGAAATTTCGTACACCATGCAAACATGAAGTGCCCCGGAAACTCGGCAACCTGATCCATAAACATGCTCTTGCCTCCTCCTTGAACAATGAGATCAAGCCAGATATTTACACTCACACCAACATCGTGCGACTTGCGGGACCCTTGTATCTTTTGACGATAAGCGACCGTTCGGACATCATCATATAACATATAGAGGCATGGAGGGATGGGGCCTTGGCCTTTTTGGTCCTCAAGCTATAAATGTTGACATGGAAATGACACGATGGCGTAGGGAAAAAAAGGAGAGTGAGGAAAGCGACAGAGACAGAGACAGAGACAGAAGGAAAGAGGGAGGGGGAGAGAGAGAGAAAAGAGAGAAAAAAAAGTGATGGGGAGTGAGAATGATACATTAAAGAGAAGCCAGAACATACCAAGTCAAGGGATTCCTTGCTTAGACGCAATTGTGATCGAATTGCCTTCCAGTCTTGACCACTAGCAATTTTGCCTTGGTCCACTCAAGCTCGTTTTTCCCCAGGGGCAGCTTGGATCTTGCCTGCGCCGAATCTGCATGGTTGTGACACCAGTCGTACTCCACCTCCACAACATCACAAGAAACGAGCTTTCTCATTCTGATTTGTGCAGGACAGCCGTTGCCCACAGATTCTCGACCGATGCCCAACTCTTTTCGAGGACGAAGTCGTCTGCAACAGAATCGAAGGCTCCAATCGTACTTCTTTGGTGCACCCCGAGCACCAGGGACTGCTTTGAACACTGGAAGCTCCGTCTCCATGCTCTCATCGTCAGTTTTTATGTCTCGAGAACCTCCTTCCGACCTGTATTCAAACTGCACGGACACTCGTTCATTGTACCAGAATGATCTAAACAGAAGAAAATCAGGGCCATCAGGACGCTCGGTCATCAAAAACCAAGCGAATACGAATACTTGTATAACACGAGCAAATATTCGTACCTGAATTCATCGCCACTCAGTTTGCGTTTCCAGACTCTCTCTTCGCCCGATATATGGTAAGGCTCAACAGCTTGGCGCGGATCAAAGTCGTTGGATGATAGAAATACATCCCTTACTCGCAATCCACTCATGATGGTGGGGAAAGGTGCGAGCTGTATATGGATAGAATGGCAAGGGGACCACCGATGCCAAGATTCTTAGTGAAGTCGACCGGAGACTTCTCAATATTCTTTGCCCTGCCTTTTCCAACAAGGATTTGGTCGAACCCAGCAAGGAGGGAACAGACCAAGAGCCCGACAAGCCCAAAAGTCTCGAGGAACTCAGCGACAGTATCGGCAAGAAAAACGAGGCATTATCGTTTCTGCGGTCGCTCCTTACAGCCATACATTCCACCAAGCTTCCCATAAAAGAAGGGATGGGGTTGCATGTTCGAAGCTTCATCGAACGTGCGCAGGAGTTCTTACCCATCTTTACTGAGGGTATGAGCACAGAGTATTATGCCGGATCTTCATTTTTGAGGTCTGCCGCCTTGCAGTTGTCCGTCGAGTTAAAAATGCACTACAGGAATGGAGCGATCGATCTTTGCAATAAGGTAAAAAAGAGTTGAAAGCTGTAACTTCTATTCAGACATTAGTTTTTAACATGGATCAATAGTTAACACAATTCTTTTCTTTCAAAAACAATAGATCGAAGTCCTAAAGCACAAGAAGGTTCTGCCTCAAGAAGCGAGAGATTACATTGCGCCCCAAAGATCTGCGATAGAGAATTTCATACTCTTGAACAGGGCCTGCGGGAGCCGTCGCTCATTGGTGCCAATATCGCCTTTCGATGTCAAGTTTATTACTTTGTCAGAGCTGGATCTAACCAAGATCTTCTGGCAGCACCCTGTCTTGAGGCCTGTGCTTCAGTCGTACGCCAACCTGGACTTTTCAACTATCGAGTATCCCGAGCAACTCTCGCAGACCGATGTTGGCGAATGGCTGTCAACAACAACACCCGGTTTTCTCATCACGAGGCTACTCACCGATATTGGCCGGTACTCAGCGGATCAACGGAAAAAGCTCAAAAACTACTCCAGATCGACCTTCCTGATGCCTTCGAAGGAGATGAAGAGTCATCTCCAGAATATTCGAGCCGATGACTTTGAGCCTACTGCATACGCCGAGAAAGGCTATGTTCTGCGTGGATCGATTCGGACAGACGTGTTCCGACTCCAAGTGCTTGCTTTCAAGTTGAATGAGCTCCACTCGGTCAAGTACAGACGACTACCCGCGGAGAAGCTGCCTTCTCGACTAACATCCACCGTTGGCGGCACGGATTATTTTTTGACGGAGATCAGGAATGTCGTTTCGGCCAAGCAGGATCTCACCCAGCTCTGGAGTTGCGATCCCAAGAATATCAACATCCTCGGCATTGACTTGGGCCAAGCATTTGTCGTTGAAGCGAATGTGATTCTACCCACTCGCGAGCAGCTGAATGTCAATCAAGGACAAGAGCCTGGCGCCACTACCATGGAGTCGCCTCAGTCGAGTACTGAGGCAAAGGAGGATGAACAGGCCGAGGAACCGTTGCCCAAGTTTTTCAACTTGGCCGTCAAGCAGAAGGCTGTCTACCAACCTACCCTCAAGCATAGATGATGGCTGGAGCGTAGGAAAGGGCAGACAATTGAGGGAGGACCTTCCATCAGTCAAATTGAGACCGATCTACCTCCTCGCCGTGGCCCGGAAGCGAGTATCAGCAATTAAAGTGCTGGACAAAAATTATCACTCTTTTTGTGAATTCAGCTTTTGTTTTGAAATGCTCATTCACCAATGTTCCGATTAACCCCCAGGTTCCTGTCGTGCATTCTCTTGATTCGTAACCTCTTTCATCACCACTTGTCTTTTTCTGCATGAACCGGCATCGACTCTTCGTCGGAATTGAAATGCCCCATCTCAATTGATCATTTTTGTCATTTGCCATATGTGGCGTGTGATCTCTATGTAAAATTTTACATGGGCTTAGCACGGAACAATCTGTGTTTTTTAATCCCACAAGCTCAATAAACTTTCTACAGATAAATCGCAAATGACAAAAATGATCAATTGAGATGGGGCATTTCAATTCCGACGAAGAGTCGATGCCGGTTCATGCAGAAAAAGACAAGTGGTGATGAAAGAGGTTACGAATCAAGAGAATGTACGACAGGAACCTGGGGGCTAATCGGAACATTGGTGAATGAGCATTTCAAAACAAAAGCTGAATTCACAAAAAGAGTGATCATTTTTGTCCGGCACTTTACATTCAGAGTGAGCGGGAAGTGGAGGGCCATCTCGATTCGTTCTATGGCAGTGTGGTCCTGAAGAAGCACAGGTGGAACGCTAGGAAGACTCGAGCAGAGGAGTATAGATTGATCGCCGATCGTCTTTTACAGCTTGTTGGAGGATCGACAGGGGCCAAGAGAGACGAGGACAACAAGGTCGTAATAGGCGTGAGTCTTGGAGTTCTCCTCCAAGATTAGATTATCATCTTTGCATGAGTCTTTCCAGTCATACTTCGTTCAAAAAGTAGGTGTAAATTACAGCCAAACTTTCCTCCTGACGCTGAAAGGGACGCTTATTAATTGTTTTTTTTTGCTCTTTACACCCCTTATTTTTCAGGCCCGATCTCTTGCTATATCGTCGTTGGCGTTAATGAGTATTATACTTCGAAGAAATGCCCGACATGTAGAGAGTTCGTTGGCCAAGTTGACCTCCGCCGACTGTATTGTTCAAAGTGTCAAAAGTACATGCACCGCGACATCATGGCCGGCCACAACATGTGTAATGCCATTCGAGGACACTCGCTCGAGCAACAGCGGCCACTCTACCTCCAGCTCCAAGACAGTGATGGGAACTATCCCTGGATGCATGACAGACGTTCCAGGCCACGCCTTAGCATAGGTTTTCCTATTTTAGATATTTTAGACCCATTTTATGTTTAAGCAAATACATGGGTCGAGTTCGGGATTCGGGAGGGCGAGCGATTTACTCACTTCGGTGACGTAATTCTCGCGCTGTTTCCGAGGCAATACCCGTCAAAAGGTGGTCGAGAGGTCCTTGCTGGTCAAAATAACCGAGCCTATTGCTCGGTTCCGAATTATTTTATCTTTCATTGGTTCGAGGAAGACGAAGCGCGTGCACCGACGACTACCAGCGCGAACATATTGCCGCTTTCACTTATTTTACAACAACTCACTTCCCACCTGTCCTCTGCCACTGTTCTTCTGCACACTATTACACTTCTCTCTCCTTCACATAACAAATCTATAATAAAACAATACACGCTCTTCCGAGTCCTGTCAGGCCATTCCTCTTTTTTATACGTCCCCAAATAGTAAAGGCATAATAGCGAAGGCGTATTAAGATAATAGGATTAGTGAGGCGTAAATAAAGTTAGAAGACGCGAAGACGATAACATTTTATTTCATTTCTCCATTTCGCTGAAGAAAGTATGTTCACAGCTGATTGCTATTGGTATGCATTAGTTTGCCTTTGAAAGGTGAGATTTGGCCTTTTGCTGGGGTGACATGGATTTTCAAATGATGGCGTGCTTGTTCGTCCGTTGGAATGGACTCGATGGAGTTGCCGAACTTGACACAGACATCCCAATTACGCTCTAGGATTGACTGTGTAAAAAAGATTGTGAGTGTAAAAAGACTGCCAGCGGAAAGGAGATAAACATTAACATTAATAGCAAAAGAGTCACCTTGATTGTAAGACAAATCTTCAGATGCACAAGCAGGTTTGCAAGGTAAACATCCCGACGGACATGGTACTTGTCTTGGAATACTTTTCTCATGAGATACTCATTCTCGTTCAGTATGTTGACGGTATAGATGGTAACTTCATGGCCTAGAATATGGCATCCATCAAAATTTATATTAGTTAGTAGTCAGTGCCAGGAGACCCAGATGCAAACAATATTATTAGGGCTTACCAAACACAATGACACAGACGATCTTGTAACACTTGGCTGTTTCGAAAGAACCAGATGAATTGTAGTATCTTTCCAACAAGGCATCTGCGGCATTTCGCCATGTTTTTTCTTTGTCCTCGTGGTGTTTTGAGTGATTGGTACAGCTTGGGGGACCAACGTTCTCAAATATGATGTCAACATACTCATCTCGTGCAAGGTAATAAGCGTCTACATTGGTGCCTTTTGATGACTGGGTACCTCTCGCGAGAGAGCGGCGCCAAGCAGATGGCCCGAAATGGTTTTCATTAATAAAACCGGAGCTTATTAGTCCTGGGACTCCTGTTTGGAGGGCAACAAAATCTGGTGCTATCCAAAACGACGTGTATGTATTCTCGTCCGAGTTTGGGTTCAACCCTGTTCGGAGAAGTTTCAGTCTATTCAATGATAATGATGATATTAATAATAGTAATATACACATAACATGCTGCTTGATGGCAACGCAAAGCAACTTCTGTTATTACCTGTCATAGAGGAGGTCGTGAATCCAATCCTCTCGGAAACGCGTCTTTCTCATCTCTACTATTGTCAGTTCTGTTGACGTCCGAATTTTTGACTTGAACCATTCCCTGGCTTCCTCATACAAGGCCTGATCAATGTCACTTAATCGGAACGTTGTGGATTCGTCTTCATGTTGAAAGGATGCCGCGAGACTATTATATTGATTTGAAAAAAACACGAGTTAATCTAAAAGTTACGATTATCTATATTCAACGAAGTGAAAAGTATCTCACTTACTCTTCCACGAGGGGAATATCCTCGTTGTGTCCCTGTACACCACGTGGGGGTGTCCGAGTCCCATCTTCGACATTGTACTCCGGAGGTTGATAGTTGCCTCCCAAGAAGACTTCAGGAGTAAATCCAGCGTTGCTATTTGACTTGCCATATCTTGCAGTCTTCGATGCAGTATCCGGTTTCCTGGTCCTGCCGCGTTTCAGAAGTACTGTTGTTATGAAGCAGTTTTAAATAATATAGATCAGTGTGATTGAAATTGAAAACGCAGTGCGTGTGAATCATAACAAGATCTCGAACATACCTGGGATGGACGAGCCGCCGTTGCTGCGCTCTGTTGCCGCATTGTGTACATTGGCGTCCTTCGAGATCTATAGTGCGAGAATTAACCAAGGATTCCACATGTTTACTACGATGGTAATAGGGACACAACATAAAAAAAACAATACCTTGTTGCACGTACCTCGTTCGCATTGTGCGACGTCGGGATAGATGGGACAGTGCCACCAGAAGTAGACGAGGCTGCTATGCTTGGTGAGAATTCCGGGCTTGTTCCTTGCTCTTGAGAGACTTTGGGATGTGAAGATGTTCCTACATGCGGCGCTGGTAAATGCAAGTGTGTCAGAGTGAATCAATGACTTCTTGATGCTTGTCTTAGTTTCATAATTTTAAAGTTATCTTACAGCACTTTGATTCTTGGCGCAGACGCATAGCCTCTATACGATCAGATCAAATTGTAATTGGTTAATGGCTTGCTTGGTACTCCCAACCGCTTGCAATTGGTTAATGGCGCACCCTACTTGATACTCGCAGCCAATTGTGAGTGCCCTTACGTTCAGTGTGATCCAGTATGGACGAGTTGACGAGCTCAGAGGCCGAAACGCGCGACAGACTCAGGCTTCCTTCCAGCAGGAGAACATGAAACTCCTTCCGACATTGATCCACGTTAGGTTTGTTTTGAACGTTGAGTTTTCCGTACTTGTTATTCCGACCAACGTATGCCATGTAGCAGCTATATATACTTTCGAAGCTGGGGTGGCAGTGGGAATCAGCGATTGCAAAATCCTTGAACGACTTCATTCTAGAAAAAAGCTCAATATTAGTCTCTAAAGAAATGTCTAGGGAATAAAGCACTTGACATTGCTCCATATTAATAAAAGAATAATTCCCCGCTCTGCTCCATACTTGAACAGCCAACACGGCTCCTGATCCTACCCTCACACGCACGAAAGGAGTAAAATACACAATAAAAAGAATAACTCCCCGCTCTGCTCCATACTTGAGAGGCATCAGATGCGCGACAGTGAACATAACCAGTTGCAGAGAGACTCCTGGCAGAGGCTGAAAGTCCGTACCCGTATTGATGAACAGCCAACACGGCTGCTGATCCCACCCTCACAAGCACGAGAGGAGTAAAAAACGTAATAAAAGAATAATTCCCCGCTCTGCTCCATACTTGAACAGCCAACACGACTCCTGATCCTACCCTCACACGCACGAAAGGAGTAAAATACATAATAAAAAGAATAACTCCCCGCTCTGCTCCATACTTGAGAGGCATCAGATGCGCGACAGTGAACATAACCAGTTGCAGAGAGACTCCTGGCAGAGGCTGAAAGTCCGTACCCGTATTGATGAACAGCCAACACGGCTGCTGATCCCACCCTCACAAGCACGAGAGGAGTAAAAAACGTAATAAAAGAATAATTCCCCGCTCTGCTCCATACTTGAACAGCCAACACGGCTCCTGATCCTACCCTCACAAGCACGAAAGGAGTAAAATACATAATAAAAAGAATAACTCCCCGCTCTGCTCCACACTTGAGAGGCATCAGATGCGCGACAGTGAACAAAACAAGTTGTAGAGGTAAACGTTGAAACATCCGTCCCTGTCTATACACATTCATCCTTGTCCGCCAACACGGATACCCAAATGGGACCATTGAGACTAAGTACAACACTGTACCTTCACGCAAGCGGGTTCGATGAGAGTTGCTATGACTTAGAATTATGAAAAAGAGGAGAGAGCAAAACTCGCGTGATGTGAGGATGATTGCGAGAAAAGATGATGAGGGAGGTGGTGGGTAGGAAAGAGTAAAAGTACGTGTAATGGTGAGGATGATTGCGAGAAAGGGTGGCGAGGGAGGGTGGTTTTTTGGAGAGGTAACAGGACAATCCAGGAAACAAGGCAATGGGCGCGAGAACTACGTCACCGAAGTTACAGGTGCAGGACAATGGACGCCATAATTCTCTTATTGGCTGAAAGAATCTATGGGTCTTTCCTAACATGGATCGAAATTAACTGTCAATTGACACTTTCTCTGGACTGCTCTCCACATAAATGACACACTCAAAGCTCAATTTTCCTACTTTTACTACTTCAGCAAAACCGACTATCCTCATCAAACATTCTTTTCTTCCGACCCCAAAAGCACATGGCCCAACATCATGGGACTCTTTGACTGGTTCCCTTTCATTCGCAGGAAGGGGTACAACCCTGTCTTGCTGTACCACACCATACTCGTCAGCATCACAACTACCGGACGACGCCGTTTTGATGTCCTCAGTACAAGTTTTCGCACCATCGGTTACGCCTACTCCAGTCATCCTCAGGACGTCGCCAATAGAATGCTTCAAAAAGAAGTAGAACGATTGGGGAATCATCTCAATATGATGCTGTACCTCGATGGTCCACAGCCAGTAGAGAAGGCGAGTACGGCTCAAGTTCGAGAAGCGGCCCGAATGAAGGCATTGGACCATCTTTCGACAGACGTGGAAACTTTCGAAACCCGAATGGAGGCGGATCTCAGGATCAGAAAACAGCACTTTATAGCCATCCGGAAGAACCTTGTTTCGGCGTTCTATTGGTCCTTGCCTAGTCGGCAACACTTTGCGGAGTACATGAGAGGTGTCGGCTGGACTGTTATACTTTGCAATACGGAGGCAGATGTTGCTATCGCGCAGGATGCCCAGCCGGAAGACATTGTAATCTCCTCGGACAGCGACATGATGGCCAATGCATCTGTCCAAACACCTGTCTCCCAGGGTCTCATTCTTGTCTACTCTATGCCGGACGTCCTCAAGACTATCGAATTCAGCAGGAACCAGCTAACTGCACTGGCCATCGTCGCTAGAAATGACTACCAAAGGAACATTTACTCCCTTGGTCCGGCATCCAACTATTCTATCATCAAGGCCATTGGACACAAATCAGGTACAGCTTTGTCAAGAATGACTTTTATTTGGAACTTTTCACAACCTCTTTATGTTAGAGTCTAATCTCTACCTTTTCTCTTTTGAAATAGTTGTTCGAGACATCGTGTCGGCGTACCTACGGGATGGCAAAGTCGTAACAAGGAACACGCAGCAGGGAACCTTTGAGGCCTCCATGCGAGTGTTTATCGACCAGCTGCAGACCCGGATCGAACCTGTGGTTTTTCAGATGCCCTCTCAGGTTGTCTTTGATGCGTGCCGGCAGCGTTTCGAGGATCTCATGCAGAGATACAATCTCAGGAAGCAGCCTCGAGGAACTATATCTAGGTAATTTGATATGTGTAATTAGTTTTTGTTCGCATCGTATCGAGCATCATATCGAATTGTGTATCTTACCAGCTATTATTTTCGCTTGATGTAAGTAGGTCCCCCCAGGAGAACATCGTTCGAGTGCGGAAGCCTCAGTCTTTCAATCGGTACAGAACTGTGGAGTCACCCATTCTGGTCTCAGAATCGCCCCCGCCACAAGCAGCCCCTGTCCCACAGGAACACGACACACCCTCCGTTACAGCCTAACAAGACGACGGTCATCCAGCTCTCAACAGGACCAGAATACCCCGGAACCGAGCCCGATTCTCGTTCAAAGAAAGAACCGGGAAAACGGTACATGATCCTCCGCCGAAAATGAAGCAGTTTGTTCTAAAACACTACAAGGAACGTCCTACAACAACCACCAATCAGCCCTCCGACAACAAATCCAAGGCCAAGGCGGAAAAGGACTCCACTATCACCAAGAAGCCACGAGGTACAAAGGGCAAGAATGGACTAGTGCGTTCTATGGCATGGTACCATTCAACAGTGACACTCGAGACTGGAACGCTGGCCGCCAACACCAAAAGGGTTTTTACCCCATCGCCCACGCCTGTCTCCTCCAAGCCAACCACAGCAACGCCCGCACCTTCGACGCCCGTCTTGGACCGCCCTGATCTACAGCGGCTCGTGGTGGAGTGTCTTCAGGAGGCTCCTCGTCTTTCAGCTGGTGTCAAACGGGAGACCCAGCGACTCGTAGGTCAGTTTGTCGAGACCATGAACAAGGAGATGGATGCTGCCGAATTGAGGTTCATAAACAAGCTTCGGTCCACTACGGAATCTATCACCGAGGCAGATCTGGTCAGGAAGCTGGCCGAGGCTAGGAGAGATGCCATATCGGATGACGAGCGCAGGATTCTTGACCACCTCTGCGAACGTATCAAGCCCGAAGAGGACAATAGCGAGAATGAGGGTGATTGCGAGACGAAGAGCGGTGAGGACAACGGCGACATCGATGACAAAGACGGAGGAGAACAAGTCCGTTTTCTCCAGTCCTTTCTCGTGTTTCTGTATTCGGGAAACTATCCCGAAATGAAGAACAAAACAGTGGAATCTCATACCAAGGACATTGGAGTCATCCCCACCGTCAACACCTTCATCGATTGGCTTGTGGACCGAAAGTTGTACAACCCACCTCGGTCGCGCGGCGAGATCGATGTTCAAATGCCCTTTACTCCCAACAATTTGGTGCGATCGGTCTCTGGCCAATTGGCCTTGGAACTCAAGAAAATATACAGGAATGGGACATTTGATCTCTACAAGAAGGTATGCAATGAGATGCTTTTGTACTGTTGCCACTATGTTTTCAGACACTTGTCTTCCAAAAAAAATATGTAATATTAATGTTTTTTTCCTTCTTTATAGGCCGAGGTTATGAAGAAGAAGGGGACTCTAGGAACGACCATCGACATTCAGATTCGGGAGGAAATTTCAGCGGCTGAGAACTTTCTCCACCTTAACAAGCTCACCAACAACAGCCGCAAGATCGCGCCATTCACCACTTCCCAGCAACCCTTTGTAAGCTTCTCTGAACGGGAGCTTGCCTTATTCTTTTGGAAACGGAAGCCATTAAGGGAGAGACTGGAAGAATTGGGTCGCCAGGACCATACCCAAATAACGTCTACGAACGATCTCGAAACATGGATTGGTGGGAAGGAGCCCGGGTACATCATAAAGCACTTCGTCTGTGACGTGGCGCCCCATGGTCTAACGAGTCGCCAGCGGAAAAAGGCCGGTCACCGAGCAGCTATAAGGCTGTTGCCATTGAACGAGATTGGAGCTCACCTGGATGTTGTCAAGGACAAGCACCTCGACCCGTCGCAATACAAGGAACGAGAATACTTGTTGAGGGGTTCCATTAGGGCTGACGGTTTTCGTGTTCAGCTTCTCGCCTTTAAGCTGCGGGAACTGCAGGATGTCCGTTATCGACGTTTGCCAGAGAACCGTCTGCCGCCTAGATTGACATCCACGGTGGGAGGTACCGACTACTACCTTCAAGAGATTCGTCACTTGATCACAAGCAAGGATGACATTGTCGATGCATCTTGCATCCATGGCGTTTTGCCGTGGGGGCCATGCCAAAACCACGATTTTCCTTTGAGTAGCCTCTCTCCCTTGACCCCATGCGCTGATTTGGGAACTTTCAAAGCTGAGGTGCCTCACTGGACCGTGCGCTTGTCGACTTGTCATAGAATTGTTCTCTGTACAACGCATCTTGCAACCATGGCGTATTGCCGTGGGGGCCATGCCAAAACCACGACTTTCCTTTGAGTAGCTTCTCTCCCTTGACCCGCATGCGCTGACTTGGAAACTTTCAAAGCTGAGGTGCCTCATTGGACCGTGTGCTTGTTGACATACAATTTTGCCTTTGCTCTTTCTTCCCTTTGTCTGGGTCTTAATTTTTGCTAACCGACGGTGGACTGTGACGCTTTTCGTTCCTCTCATATCTTGTCTCAACGCTCTTCATTCTAATGCCTTAAATCGATGAACTTCAGCATGGCGACTTTGACTCTTTCAGACAAAGAGATGGCATGGTTCGATGGAGCATTGGATAATGCAGATAAGAGACTAGTTTTTAAAAAATCGCATCTTGCTTGGTGCCTATGCCGCCCCTCCATGTGCAGAGGATATAAAAAAGCATATAAAAAATATCCAAAGCCCAAGGAACGGAGTGTTGACTTCCATAACTGACATATCTCTTCATAGTGGGCAACAGAACGCAGAATAAAATAGCAATAGACAGCACATGTTTTTTTAAAATGTAATCTCTCCCCTGTATTTCGCCCCAAAGATACAGTTGAGAGTACAAGTGCTTTAGATGATCACATACAAGAACTACTCCCCTTAATCTCGCAGTGATGGGTACAGTTTAATAGTAGATGGAGACATTCAAGAGATTGGTGTGCAAAAAATAAGAAGACTTTGTTGTTTGAAGGATATCATGGTGTTTAGTAGGATAGTTAAACAAAAAATGTTACAATGGTTGTCTTACATGCTTGGTATCATATATACATTCTCATCTCATAGTCGCCATGGATATCGTCGAGATCTACAGAGATGTAACAAACACCATATGATAATTTGGACGTGAAAGGCCTCCTATTTATGTTGTATCTCTCTTGCAAATTCGGATTGCATACGTCAACTCGAATGGTACACAGTTCGTTGACAGAGAGTTGGATCCGCGTACTTTGAAGCATTTGACATATCGGACAAACAACGCGGTCACATGAGATATGTTCGACTTGTTCAGACCACAGGTTTGAGCGATCCCTTCAAGAAGAACCTATTGAGCGAGTTCGAAATGTGGAAGAGGGACAAGACACCAACCTTCTGGCTCCGTCGCTCCGCTCGAACTGCAATTGACACCGCCGCAGTGTTAATCGAAGGATCTGTGCCCTATGCAAAGGACGCCATTCTCCAAAATGCGACAGGTAAGAAGCCATAAGACTTGATAGCCAGCTGTGACGAGGTCCAATCCAACCCTCTCACTCACTCACAATCGTGACGAAGGCATCGCAATCTCAGAGCATACTGCACAGCGAATTTTGTCTTTGGACTAATAATTGCTGTCTTGCCACTGTCACAACGTTACTTGTTATTTTTCTTGTTGGCGCAATCCACATTGCTCACTCAATTCCATTGCATTTGCCATTATAGAACAAGTGGCGTCTTCTTCAACAACAAACACCACGTCGTCACCACTCTCGCCGTTCCTCGATGATATCTGCTTTGGTAAGCACAGCTCTGATGCGCGAGTTGAACTTTAATTTGCTTGGCCAATGCCTGTTCTCTTTCAACGCAACACCCTTCTCGCCTTGTACCCGACAGAGGCACCGAGAGTGACATCCGAGGCGACACATACATCCACATCTACGACGACACCTACGGCGACAGGCAGGATACTGAACACTGAACGATCACCAGGTATTTGATTGTTATGCCTCCACCAATTTGTATGTGTTTTGCATCGTTGGACAGCCTTCTCAACAGATTCCATTCCCTGTCGACTTAGACGAGGATCTTGACGACGATGAAAACGGATACGACCCAGGTTTGTGCTGTGGCCTTGAATACCGTGCCTTGAATTGCCCGCTTGTCCTTGTCCCACTACTATCTACTCATATATTCTTCGTTTCCAATGATAGTGCCTGACCCTCATGTTGCTCGTGCACGTACATCCCCATTTTACGAGCTCGTTGACTTTATCTTTAAAAAGGTACGATTGGCTCATCCAGTCCAATCCAAGGCGCAGTTGGTATCTCTCCTGAGCCCTCGGGTGCTAACATATAGGCCATTCGGTATAGTCGCAGGGTCAGGACCCCTCTCTGCCTGCCTTGCCACCAGGACTGTCCTCAACGCATAGCGAGATGTTCGGCATGGCACTTAAGCTCTTACGAGAGCCTGGTGACGTTACCAAGAAGAAATCTGTCTTGTAAGTCACTCACCCCTTATTCGCTCAGCTTTGCCACTTCCTCTAATCATCGAGTCGCAAATGTGTTAATACTATTCCTTTGTCAACATTTCACAATCTTGTACGTCTAGTGGACTTGTCAGTGGAATCGTCAACACTTATCACTTGTTGGTCAGCTGTTCACCCTCTCGCCACTTGTGCAAGAACAGTCTCGTATGGTGTGCTTATCATACAGGTCCAAGACTCTTGATGACTTACGGGCCAATATGCAAGCAGCACTGTATCCGGACCCTGACGACCCTGCAGCCATGTCAGTCGAATCTCTCCAAAGATTTGTTTACGAGTCGTTGCTCCAGTCCATAGACCCTCGTCCCACACGAGCGGCCAAAGAAAAGTACTTGGCCCTTAAGATTGTCTCGCAAGTCCTGCACTGGCTGGAAAATGATAACTTCACCTCGCCCGTATCGGAACATGTGTTTGTCAGCGCGTGGAGTGACATCTTGAACACGCTCTTTGCCCAGTCTGGCCTACGCGGCATTCCGTAAGTGGGCGTTACGACAAGTTTAATTGCATTTCGGACGAACGCGTAACTTATCTTCTAACACTTTTTTTATATATTTATTTAATCGTTCTACATAGCGGTGAACTAGGCAGCAGGACATCACGGGAATCTCGCTTGTTGACCGAGAGCGTGTTCGGAGGGAAGACGGTGACTAGTACGAGCTCGAGAAAAGTGGATTTGACAATCAGGGTCTTTGTCGACAAGTCTTGGGCGGACGAAATATGTGAGTTTGAATGTAAGTCATTGGTTAGCGACTTGGTTTGCCAGGTGCAGCAAGGGAAGAGTGTTCGTCTGAATATCGCCATCCTCCTGGCTCTGGAGGAGAAGGGCCTTGATATCGCACAATACTACCCTATTGTCGCAGAAACTCGTGGCCTGTCCATCGATTTTTACACCCTGCGACGATACGGCGACATCATTGGTTGCGGTCGATCCACACAAGAGAAGGTGTGGCTGCCATTTGGGTACACCAAGCTAAATGCTTTCCTGAGCTCGCGATCATTAGAGGTGCTACTCGGATTTCGGGTAGGTACCCTTTGAAATAACTGCATGCATGTCTTTCGTATTTTCAAGAGCGCCTTCTAATATTGTGACTGTACCTGCATAGGCCCACATGGCTTTGTATGCGAAGACGGCCACTGCTACACTTGCGTCTTCCCCAATCACGCCACACTCGACGCTCCCTGTCAGCGCAGCCCTCTCCCTGCCAGCTACATCACGTTCGAAATCTGTGTCTGAGCCATGGTCCTCGTCGGCGTCGACACCCCTGATCACGTCTTCACAAGGAAGCACGCCGGATATCATAGAGCCGCCACCTCAGAGACCAACAACCCCTCCGCCCCGCAAGCGCGATCTTCCGTTTGTCATGTTCTCCCCTTGCAAGTCTCAGCGACGCGGCAGCACGCCAAGCTCGAACTATGACAGGCCGACCATGCAGGATAATGATAACCCGTTCCTGTAGGTAGCCCTCGAAGAAGGATCCGGAGGAACGGACGAGGACGGGGTGCAGAAATACACACCAAGGATCAGCAGCGGTGTAGGTGAACTAGATTAGCATTTGCAAGCAGTCCAACCAACCAATACAATAGTATTTCAGACCAACATTTGCAAGCATGTCAACAAAAAGGGCTACCACAAGCCAGAGTCTCCGGCGATTTAGTGTTGTGCAACATTTTTTTGTTGCAGTAGCTATGCGTTAAAAGGGCGCTATCATGGTTAAAGTTATTGAGGGCTTTCATTTCTAGGGGTTTCTACAGTTTACAAATTAGAGCAAGCATGCAAAGAATCCAAGGGACAGAAAAAAAGAGACAGAAAAAAAATTATTTAGGTCTTCTCTCAGGGCACAGAAGACCCAAAAAATAGAGTCTGTCGATGCATCCCCTGTGATTACAAAAAACAATACTGACAGTGGACCCTTTTTCTATTTTGGTATTGGAGGTGACAACAGGACTTTTTTTTTGTCTTTCTATTCCAAGATGCCATGGGACTGACGGTCGAGACAGCCGGCATCCCTCCTCCTCCACGGTGGGGGTTATCGCTCTATTTATGTGTGTTGCCTGGATATTGCGTTCCTAGAGACAGTGGTCTTGTAACGGGGTTGGACTACACTCCTTTTTGCAGAATAATGCACTTTTCATAGTGAAAAGTGAATGGTTGTTGTTTAGGAGGTGTGTGCATAGGATTGGGAATAGACAACCGAAGAAAAGCGTCGTCCTCTGGATACCTCGGATCGGACATGGCGGACTGCAAGTCCGACAAACGATCGGCCTGGCTACTGAAGAGTCTCCTTAGTTTGGAAAGTCTCCTGAAGACGGGCTCTTTGGGTTCAACACCATCGAGTCTGTTAGAGGCGTCAAGGTCTTTATGGATAATGCCTTGCCCAGCCTTTACTCTCGGTCTTTATCCCGTCACAGCGTCTTTTCAACGGTAAGGTCGGCATCGCCTTCATCGAGCACTAGGTTCATCTTGATACCTTTCCCCTCTTCTCATGCTGCATGCAAAGTAGTGAAACTTATCTAATGATGTCCTTTTCTTCTGCTCAAAGGGGGCAGATCAGACTCCCTGGAGATTAGCAAGAGGAAGGGGAATGTGGGAGATAGACCAAGAGAGACCAAGGACAAGGTTGAACATTCAACCCGAGACAGTTCATTATTCTCTTGCTTCTAATTCGATCGATCACAAGCGGGCAAGACAATTCCATGGGCCACATACGCACACACACATGGAAAAATATCCCGGTTGAGCACACTCTTCTTTCTTTTTCAAGTGTTTATGGATGAGTCTGTACTTCCAACAAGGATACAATCGGCACATGCTGCCTCGCGTGGTTCTCCTTGGCCTTTTACCACCATCAATTGAGAGAGAGAGCAAGATAGGGGCCAGAGAAAAAAAACATTAAAGAGAGGCAGAGAGAGTGACAAACAGGTTTTCTTTTGACTTTTGACTTTTTACACATCCGACATCCGACGATAGCGACGATAGCGTATAAAAGACCCTCGGCTCGACAACATCCTCCCTTTTTCTCACTACTTCTCCAGCTCATACTCATCCTCATTCACTCTCACCCATCAAGTCTAATTCACCTTAACATTCACATTCAACTTTGTCTCTCGTTACACCAACACAACAACAACAATGGCTTCAAAAGTTGTAACAATGGCTCGTCTGTTGGTCCCCAAGGTGCCTTTGCTAGTCTCAACAACCCTGGTCCACTACGCCTACGGTCCTGCAAAGCCCTCCTGGTCATATCGATTCTCAGTCACCATGGCCCTCATGCGAGCATTTGTCGCCCACCTGAACGAAGTCCCCGTCAGTCAATCGCAAATCATGTCCAAGATGACCGATGAAAAAGCCCCTGTCAACGAAGGAGCCATTGCCACCGAGGCTGTTGTCCTGAAGGAGTATAGAGAAAAGGCTGCCGATATCATGGAGCGACTCTTGAATCTTCAAGGAATCGATTCGATCAAACTTGGATGGGACTGGAAAAATGACCCTGCTGCTGCCGAGCCTCTAATGGGAGAATGGACTGAGACTAGAATCAAGGGTGACAACTACAAGGACGGCCGCACCATCCTCTATCTTCACGGTGGAGGATACTTTCTCGCATCCATTCGTACCCATCGATGGGCCACCTGGCACATGTCCCGCCAAGCCGGCGCCAAGGTCTTTTGTAAGTTATCATCTTATCTCAGAGGGGGTATGGTGATAGAGAGACAGACAATGAAGAAAGAAAGTGAGAGAGGGAGTAGGCTAATGGGACAACTGAGGAATGAAAAAAGGAGAGGGTGAAGAAGGAAAAGAGAGACAAAATAATAAGAGAATGAACTGACAGAGAAAAGACACATGAACTAACGATACCCATCTACCATAAATACAGCGCTAGAGTATAGACTGGCACCGGACTCGCCGTTCCCAGCAGCTGTGCAGGATGCATTGTCGGCCTACTTATACTTGCTCAACCCTCCAGCTGACTCTGGCATTGCCCCTATCGACCCCCAAAACATTGTCATCATGGGCGACTCTGCCGGCGGAGGCGAGTTTCTGTCTTCCACTGTATTTTCCCAATTGCTTTAGCGACAAGCACTCAAATCCATGTTCACAGACTAACACGACCTACAATGGACAACGTTCACACAATAGGACTCACATATGGAACAATGCTGGCTATCCGTGATGCTGGTCTCCCTATCCCCGCTGGGGTTATCGGCTGGAGTCCCTGGTAAGTTACCCTCTTATTCCTATGCTATCTGTGCTAAGGGATCAGCAAGCGTTTAAACTAACAAATTGCGGTGCAAAAAAAATGATATACTAGGCTGGACTTGCTGCACTCGATGCCATCGGTGTTGCTTAACGCAGGAAGCGACTATCTGCCAGCAGAGGGTTTCACCCAGGGCGGACAGGGATCGCTGAAAAGGATTGCCAAATTGGCAGAGGCCGTTGAGGCTGACTATGTAATGCAACACCACCCCGATCTGCCCGAGATCCAGTACTATGCAAGCAATGCTGTGCTCGACTGTACATATGTCTCTCCCCTTGTGGAGAAGAACTTGGAAGGAGTCTGCCCAATGCTTGTGGTACGTTTTCTTTTCAATTGCTCGTGTTTGATATGCTGTTGTTGTAGCTATTGCACCTTTTTATTTATTTGGTATCCCATGATGGTAACAGAGAATTTTTGCTTTCAAACAATACCTTGTTAAAAAACAGATCACAGGAGATGGAGAGATGTTGAGGGATGAGTCGATTGTGTTTGCGAAAAAGAATGCCAATGCATCGGCCCCGATTCAATTGCTCGTCTATGATGATATGCCTCATGTCTTCCAGATGTTTGACTTTTTGCCGGGTGCAGCAGATGCAATCCAGCGTTCGGCCGACTTTATTCGTCAGGTCACTATTGGTGGCGAGGGAGTGGAGAAGAAGAGCAGCTACCGGGTTAATGTCGATGGTCAGCTCCGTGCCCTGGAGGACGATGCCGTCGTTGGTTGGGAGGCCCGCGTCGGCAAGCTCGGCGGCGGTCAGGCTATTCTTGTTCAACTCTAGGCAATAATATACCCCAATTCCTTTTTATTGACCAATTCCAAATGAAGCGTTGCGACTGTTCATCTGGTTGTCGCGTGAGGACCGAGCACGCACGAATGCCGATGAGGTAAGACAACTGTTGCAGTAAGGTTTCCTTTCTTACCATTCAGGCGGAGATGAGTGCGTTATTTGGAGTGGACCAACAACAAGAAAAAAACGGAGCTCAGCTGGGAAAAGGATGCGAAAAGTGCAAAGGGCTAGTGAAAAAGTGAGTTGGATGCAGGAACGGGAAGAAGTGGTCAAAGGGATGGGAAGAAGGGGTCAAAGAGATGGGAAGAGAGAAACAAGGAGGCCGAGGCTTTTTTTTTCTCATGTTTTATGGAGTTAGGTGAGTCTAGAAAGGAGTCCTTTGCATGAATAGCAAGGGCACACTTACAGTGTAGGAACTTGCACCCTCCGATCTTCTCTTTTTCCTTTTTCACGGCTCCTGTGCTCGTATATCCCCCGTTGCCTTCTACCTTTTATTCTTCCCTTCCTTGTTGCTTTCTTTTTTTTTTCTTCTCTTCTCTTTTCTTTAACCTTCCGTTCCTTCCTCTTCTTTCTCCTTCCTCTCCTTCTCTTTTCCCGTCCTCCGGAAAAATAAAAAGAAGAGTCGATCTCCAAGACATGGCTGACAACGAACAGGACCACGAGCACACCCCGCTCCTTCAGGACCAAGACAACAATGACAATGAGCAACACAACCACCATGACCAGACATCCCATCGCAACGTCGTAGAAAACATCCGTAACCTCATCGAAAACGAGATCCCCAACGGACACCACCTCAATTCCTCATCCACTCCCAAGCGAGTCCATGCTCTCCTTCCCCGCCTCTTCACCCTTATCAACTCCCTCGTCGACTGTTCCAACGTCGAGGACGAAGTCGTCACCGACGAGGTTGTCGAGTACCTCTGCAGTCTCGGTCAGGAGGTCGTCTACGGTCTTCTCCGCTGTATCGAGAGCATGGTCGCCGAGGGCCAGCGTGACGTCGGACGCAAGAGACTCCTCGACCGTCGTGCCGAGATCACCCAGGTCGCTGCTGCCGCTGTTACAAAGGCCTTTGTCGACAAGGACCGAATGGGTACTTACTGTCATGTCCTCTCCCGTCCTTACTATGCCGTCGGCGAGGAGCGCAACACTGCCGAGAACGCCATTGAAATCGCCATCCGTGTCCATGCAACAGACTTTATTGCCGACATTGAGGTACAGCGCTGTGTTCAGGCACTTTGGACTGGTCTTATTCTCCAGGTCGAGGAAGATGAGTCTCGCATCCGCTTTGTCGAATACGGCGGTCTCCGTCGTTCCCGCCGCGGTCTGCTGGATTGGTTCGACATTGGTCGTCTTAATGTTCCCAAGTGAGTACTTGCTTTTATTGCAACTAGGTTGGCGCATTGAATTGATAGAGTGGGTGAAAAACATCAGGATATACATGGAAGTGTGTTGGAGGATCATCTCTCTCACCTTCTCTGTCTTTCTACCCTTCCCAATCTCTCTCTCGCTGTTTACTCTGGTATACTATACTTAACGGGATCTACATTCTTTTGTTCACCTAATTTTCAGACTCTAACTCTCCACACTCTTTGTTTGTAACTGAATAGGTACCAAAACAACATGAAGATTGCACTGTTCATCTTCTTCTTGGCAATGTATACGTTTGTTGTCAACAACCAGTCCCCAAACCCCAACATTATCGAGTGGCTCATGTATGTCTTTGTCTGTGGCTACATCTTTGAAGAGTTCCGTCTGGTAAGCAACAAAAACAACACCTTCATCGTTTGATACATGTTTAACATGTATTATCTTGCCAGTATGAAATTGTCAATAATAACCACAAAGTCAATCACTGTGGAATAGATCTTTGAGGGAGGCACGGCGTTTTTCCTTGGCAGCATTTGGCACTGGGTCAACATCATCTCCTACTCCATGTTTATGGTCTCGTTCTCGTTCCGTTTCACCGCCTCTTACATCCTCACCGATAAGTCTAAAATTGTGCAATACAACGATATTGCGTACGATCTCCAAGCCCTGCTCGCCGTCTTTTTGTGGGTCAAGACACTCTCCTTGTTGGATGGCAACCAGTACTTTGGTAGGTTAGGCAGGATCGTATTATACTACAGCCAACCAGTCTCCACTGAAAATTTAACGCAATGACGACTGACGCTCCGTTCCTGAATACCGATAGGAACGATGGTGATGGTGTTGCAAAAAATGCTGAAGGACGGAATCATGTTCTTCTGGCTCCTCGCCTGGGTGTTCATCGGATTCCTCCAGAGCTTCTTCGCTCTCCAGAAAGCGGAAACCAAGGACTTCAACGCGGCCTTCTCGCTCCTGGTGCGTGGTTTCCTTCAGGACCCCGATTGGGAGCTTGCTGAGGTCCTTGATAATAAGTACGGATTCTGGGTCTTTGCCCTTTACCTGTTCTTGACTTCAATTATCTTGCTCAACCTCTTGATTGCCCTCTTCAATTCGTCGTATACCAACATCACCGACTCGTCCGAGAAGGAGTACCTAGCCTTGTTCACCTTCAAAGTCTTCTCGTACTTGAAGTCGCCCGATCAGTTCCCTTATGCCGCCCCCTTCAACTTGATCGAGGTCTTCTTTGTCATTCCTTTCACACCCATTTTGTCCAAGGAGAACTACAAGTCCCTCAACCGTGTCGTCATGGGCATCCTCTTCTGGATCCCTGTCCTGACGATTGCCTACGGCGAACAAAAGCGCTACGAGGAGCTCACAGGTACCAACGATGACGATGACATTCAGGGGGGTCGTCGCCGTTACCGCCACCTGACTCTGGATGATATCAGTGTCGAGGACCTTTTCATGATCGAGGATGTTGATGAGAATGCTGCAGCAGTGTCCGGCGAGACTGCCATCCAGATTGCGAATGGCGAAGAGGGAGCCGTTGTAGATGCTTCCTTCACTGGCTGGAAGTCAAATGGACCCGTCAACGAGACCTTTGCTGACTTCCAGCGTCGCCGTGTCAAGGAGAATGAGGCTCGCGCCAAGGCCGCTGCCGCCGCTGCCCGCGCTGAGGAAGCATCATCCTCGTCGGATGAGGACGAGCGTGCGGATGCTGCTGCTGCTGCTGCTGCTGTTGCCTCGAGCACCTCGGCTGGACCCGCTATGAGCGAAGCGTTGGTTCAGACGCTGTTGGCCAGCATTGCCAGGATGGAGGAGCGTCAGAAGGAGATGGAGACTCTCCTCAAGCAACTCAATGTCCCCACTGCTGAAGATTAATCCCCTCATTTTCATTCCATTTATCACACACCACATTCTACAACCATTTTTGCCACCAAAAAATCATTCTGAAAAATAAAAAAAGGTACACATTCATTTGTTGTTGCGTATTCTTTGTCTTCTGTACCATTCGCACTTCTTCACCAACACCTCCGATAACAACAACAACAGCACCTACTGTCCACTGCCATAACCTGCAGACACTCCAACTTACTGGAATCAGCAACCGCATTAGCAAAAAACAAACAAAGAATCGCCGATCCCTCACCATGGACGACTTGAGCCCTGACATGTAACGCTCGCTTTTTCATGCTCGAAATCTATACAGACAAAAGGAATCAACTCTGTACTGACGTGCACTGTGTGAAACATTCCACTTGACTGTGTGAACTGACATAGGCTGGAGCAGAGCAATGCGTCGCAGCTGAACCAAGGCGAAGGAGAGGAGCAGGACACATTCTCGATTTTGGTGGCAACAGACAACCACCTGGGTTACTTAGAAAAGGATCCTGTACGAGGCGACGATTCGTTCAAGGCCTTTGAGGAGATTCTCAAGCTTGCCGCGGAGTCCGAGGCAAGTGGCCCTATGGCGGTTCCTTGATGCAATCAAATACTTGCAAACGCGTCTTCCAGAGTAACTGCAACGCTAACTCTTGTCACGTTCACCAATCAACTCGGCTACATAATCGCAGGTGGACATGATTCTGCTCGGAGGCGACCTATTTCACGAAAACAAGCCATCACGGAAAACACTCTACAACACGACGAAGCTGCTGAAGCAGTACTGTCTGGGCGACAAGCCCATCAGTCTCGAGTTCCTGAGTGACCCCACCGACAACTTCCCCGAAGGGTAAGCGCGCACTCTTTGTTGTATATTATGTATCCTTTTTGTCCCCTTTGTTAATGCCAGTGTCAATGATATTATTAGAATCGAAAATGTCAACTACATGGACGCCAATCTGAATATCGCGATTCCAGTATTCTCAATCCACGGTAACCACGACGATCCTGCAGGAGATGGAAATTTGTGTGCTCTGGACCAACTCGCGATGAACGGACTTGTCAACTATTTCGGACGCTCACAGGAAGTAGACAATGTGGTCGTCAAACCGATCCTGCTGCAGAAAGGAGCCAGCCGACTTGCGCTTTTCGGCATTGGCAACATCCGCGACGAGCGTCTTCACCAAACCTTTTTACGTCGTAACGTGAAACTAATGCGACCGGAGGAGGACGAGGAAGAGGAGCCCTGGTACAACATGCTTGTCTTGCATCAAAACCGGTAAATCGTCCTTCTTAGGGCCGAATTGGAGATATTTGGTCAAGCATATATAAATGGGACAAGCACTTATTGTGGATACTTAATTTCGTCCGCATGCAAATAGAGTTATGCATGGACCCAAGAGCTATATTCCGGAAGCATTCTTGGATGACTTTATCAACCTGGTGATTTGGGGTCATGAGCACGAGTGCCTTATTGACCCTGTCTACAACCCACAGCAAGGCTTCCATGTGAGTCAACCCGGCTCTTCCGTCGCGACCAGTTTGTCAGAAGGAGAGTCCAAGGAGAAACACGTCGCCTTGCTCAAGATCTGTCGGAGCAAGTTCAAACTGGATAAGATCCGCCTGGCTTCTGTGCGACCATTCATCATGGGAGACCTCGTTCTTGCTGATCATCAGATTGATCCTACCAACCAACAAAAAGTCAACAGCTTGATTTCCAGAAAGGTGAGCGCTCGGGTTGGCGCTGTTTTACGAACATTAAAGTTGGATGGGGACATGACTTGCAAGACCTAATCGCTAACGATCGCTCGCTATTAGGTCCGGGAACTTGTTGAGGAGGCCAAGGCTGACTGGCTGGATAAAAATAAGAGTATTGCACTGAAAAGACGCATGGACCCTGAGGGTGAAAGTGACGAAGACGATACAAATCAAGACCATAGTGGTGACCAGCCAACCGGGATTCCAAAGCCTCTTGTCCGTCTCAAAGTACGATCCAATGTCCCATATCAAATCGGATTTTCCTCACACCTCGTGCTTCTTTTGTCGACATGTAGACTAACCGCGTGCACACATTCCGTATTTTTCATTACAGGTCGAGTACAGCGGAGGATATGAGATTTTCAACCCACAGCGTTTTGGCCAGGAGTTTGTGGACACGGTGGCCAACCCACGCGATATTGTTCAGTTTTACAGACGCAAGACCGCATTCAACAAGACTAGTAAGTATCTCACATACTTGCTACGAAGATACTCAACCTTCCGACTGTATCCATATTCTATGTCGCTTACCCTTGCCTCCGTACCTTGATCACTCTTCGTCAAATAGTTGCGGCAAAGACGAAGACAGAGATTGACCATGTGGAACCGACCGAGAAGCTGGACACGCTGAAGGTGGAGAACCTGGTCCAAAAGTACCTCTCTGCACAGAACTTGAGCATCTTGCCCGAAATGCAGTTAGCCGATGCCGTTCGGATCTATGTGGAGAAGGACGAAAAGGACGCCGTGAAAGAGTAAGTGTGGCGGTCTGGATGATATTCTTCTGGATGCGTATCGAGAGGCATCTGGTAGTATTGTTAACGCCAAGTGTATCTTGACCGTATATTTCTCTAGTTTTGTAGCCAGCTCGCTTGACAGGATGCAAAAAGCGATGCGGACAAAACAAAATATCGAGCTCGAGGAAGCGCTTTTAAAAGAGGCAAGTCTATATTCCAACAATCATCGTCTTGGAGGACTATTGGGAGATACATGACAATGCCTAACGCTTCTGTCTTCTTTTTCGCTATCGCCTTTTCGCGGTACTAGATCAGCAAGGAGAAGGAGCTGCAGGCAGAGAAATATGCACACGACCACCCCAACGGAGGACTTTTAGGCCATGTGAGTCTCTGGCTCAGAATGATGACCTACTTGGTTCATTCAGCGAACAGGGACGAATGTTTCTGACATATATTTGCAACTCAAACTAATAGAAACGGACGGGTCGTGATGACGATGACAACGATATGGATCTAGACCATACAAATGACGAAGGTGAGGAGAGTATGGCGTCAGAGGCGGAGGTTAAGAAGACAAAAGGCAAAGCAGCACCAAGAGCAAGGAGCCCTCGGAAGCAACCAGCGACCAGCACCACAGGAAGTAATGCGAAACGTCCTGTTCGTAAAGCGACAACTCCACCTGCTCCCAGGACCACCTCCACACGGACTCGGACGATTGTGGCAGAAGATTCGCATGAGGAGGACGAACCCGAGGAACAAAGAGGGAATGACGATGATGACTATCAGGAACCGGTGCTTACTAGTACTCGAAGTCCTCGCAAACAGATGCATGTGGTTCTGGACAGCGAAGACGAAGCCTCTGTTGCGAATGATCAAACCGGTGGCGAGGACGAAGATGATAACTTTTTGGTTCCCAAGGCTGGTGCCCGCGCCAAGGGCAAAGCACGCGACAAAAGGTACACGTTCTTCATATCAGTGACATTGTGCTCGGTTAATACGGAACAGGCGATGCTAACTGGTAAACGAATCCTCTTTTTTATCACTTTTTCCTTTATCGCCTATGTAGTCCTCCAAAGCCAAAGGCTGCGCCCAAGCCAAAAGCTGCTGCTGCTGCTGCTGCTGCTGCTGCTGCTGCTGCTGCTGCAAAAAAGACTTCAGCTGCAGCAGCAGCGGCGGCGGCGGCAGCGGCTGTTCAAGATCAAGGCACAAGCGCGAGTACACGAGCTGCACCGGCACCAAAGGGACGAGCAGGAGTACAGAATGCAAGCCAGATTAGCAGCCAAGGATCCAGCCAAGCACCGTCGCGTCTTGTCGCGTCGATTGGAAGTCGTAAGAAGAGACTCTTCTAATCATTCTCGACAACTGTTTTTTTTTTTGTTTTTTGCTCTTGTCCGATTCTTCTGGGTGTGGAACGGAGTATGAGACGTACCGACGATCTACAAACACTCTGAGAAAAAAAAGCAAGAATAAAGAAAAGCGTTTTAAAATATTTATTTATAAGAGGGTCCGGCCATTTGGAAATAATGATGTTCGTGTCTATCCCAAGTAAATACATAGTCCTCTTCCTCCTCGCCGTCACCACCACTATAGTACCGCCTCTTGCTGCGATAGGGAGATTCCGTGGAGCGACGATTTGAACGAGTGCCTGCTGCAAGGTTGAGGGGCGCAGAAGCATTGAATCCTGTGGCCTTTTCCTGGGCCTCCTCTTGAGCAGTCTGCATTGGGTATATAATAGTCATGTTGTTCCAGCTTGTGATGCGCATGGCGGCCAGCCAGGACATGGTCGAACGACGACTTCCAATGACCCAGCGTGCGCCTCGTCCTGTCAGGACTGCAGAGTCGATGAGAGCTGGGCTGAAGGGGCCGAGAACCTTGGAGGCATCGACCAGATTTTCGTCAATTGAGTGATCGAGACGGTACCATCCGTAGCCGTCGATGTTTGCCTTTTCCTCTGCCGATTGTGTGTCTGAGACGAGGACTACGTTGGGTGGGGTCTTGTCCTTGGGGATGGTGGCGAGGATGGCGTCGACATGGCTCTTGTACTCTGAGAGGGGGACGATGCAGTCGCCCTTGGGTTGGTTGACGCATTTGGCTTCGATGTCTCCACGTCGCAAGTGGATGGCGATGTATTCTGGAAAGTCGGGCTTCCTGGACAAAAAGGTCTCAGACGAGTCGCCCTTGTCGAGGATAGAGTTTCCGAGATCCAGAGGCGGGTGTGGGTGGATATGTAAATCCTCCAAGAGTCCGAACCGGTAGGCGATCAAGTCCTCGACATAGGAGGCGAACCTGGGTAAGAACCGGAGGTATTTTCCTGCTTCCTCCCATCCAATATCCCATCGGTTCTTGTTGCGTTGAAACTGGGCAGTGAAGGTGAAGGTAAAGCAGATGACATTCTCGGTCGAGTTTTGGTTGGCGTCCAAGATATCCTGAACATAGGTCACTGTGTCGGTGGGTCCGAACCCTGGAACGGGGATTGGGTCCAGGTTCAGAAGATACTGGTATGCAAAGTCGGCGCCGATCGAGTCCTCCTCGCCAACAAAGTAGTCGTGTCCATAATTCCGGATCACTTGGCAGGGAAACCGTTCCGCCCGGGCCTTCCAGGGTTCCGGAAAGTTGACTCTTGAACCCCCTTCCATGGCCTTGCGGGACTCGGCGTCGATCGTCTTGATGTTGTGCCATTCGACGACCTTGATTCCAGAGTGAGAGGCCATGTGTTCGAGATCCATGTAGTGGCTCCAGGGTTGGTTGGTGCCCAGACGATCATGTCGGTTGGAGGTGATGGGAGGGACGACAAGGGTGCGGTTGAGACGCTTGGCCATGGTGGCGGCATTCTGGAAGGAGTAGAACTGGTTGGAGATTCCCTCGAACGGGAGGTAGACGAGGTACTTTTGTTCTGGGTCCCATTCACTCTTGGGGACGTTGACCTTTGGTGTAAATGGTTGAGTGGTGTTGGTGGTGCGGTTATTATTGGAGGAGGTGGAAGGAGAAGGTGCGTATTGGTTGAGGAGGCCGTCGAGTGTTTGGTGGCGGACAGTGTAGAGGATGAAAAGGACACTAACAAAGGATCCTAGGGCGGCCACGATGGCCAGCTGTCTGCATGTTTGATTCATTAGGGTTGCTATTATGGTTGTTGTCGTTGCTGCATTCGCTTGTGGCGGAAGGAGGTATGAGTGTGTGTAGGAGAAAGGGGAGAGAGGAAAGGCGAGAGGAAAGAGGAGGATTGTCTATGTAGTAGGGAGTGGAGGGGGAAGGAGTGGGTGAATAAAGGCGGAAGGAAGAGAATAGTAAAGGAATAAGGATATTAAAAAAGGCTAAGAATAAAGTCAGGGAGAGAGAGGGGCCTGGACAGGGGGGCGATGATAGGGCTGTGTGGGAGGTTGGAGAAAAGAGTGAGAACGACAAAAGCAAACGAGTAAAAAAATAAAAAAATAGCACGCACAGCTGTTGCACCAGTAGATGGGCATGAAAGAGGCCAACGGCGGTTGTTTGATTTTGATCTTCGGCTATGAACAAGAAGGGCATTAATATCCATTGATTCATAACCAGATAGAACAATATCAATCGGAACCAGAATGCAGAACGACATGCTGTCACTCTCCGTCTCCATCCCCATCCAGGCCTACTTCTTGCTACTGCAAGACACTTCTTCAAGCGTCAAGTCTAAGACCAATAAGCTACATGTGCAGGCTCTGACTGATCAGTGGGATAGCATCTCCAGATCGGGCTACGCCTCTTTCTTTTTAGCGCCACTTTCTACCCATTCTACCCTGGGAGTAAAAATAGAAAAAGTCGGCTGCATGAGTGCCATGCCATGGGCCATAGATACGTGGTCCGTGGGACGTAATGATGCTGTGTTGAATCATTGGCATCCGTCTGTTTCCATAAATTACGTTTGTAGTCGCACTGTACGTGTGTCTTTTTGTCTTATCTTTGAATCGTCATTCCTATCATCATGACACCGACTCCACTCATCTCTTCAAGCAGCTGAACAGGCAAGCAGCCCTTTTGTAAGAAATTTAAAATGCCCACTGTCCCAGTCGTTATTAAACGTCCCCCCCTTTCTCACCTCCCATAATCCCAACGACTGTCTCTTTCACACACACACACACTTCCCCTCTCTTCTCTACCCTTGCATTCCTCTCTCCTATTTCAACAATGGCTTTGATCCTCAAGCCAGCATATGCATTCTACAACCGCCGCTACCAGGCACACCCCATCCTGACCATTTGTGTTACCAACGCCTTCCTCGCCGGAATCTCGGACACCCTCACCCAAAAGTACCTCACCCCTTCGACAACACCAGCTGCAACAACACTAGCAGAGGTTTCGCACAAGATCGACGAGACAGTCGACAACATCAGCACCAACGTCCAAGAGGGTGCCACAGAGCTCGCCCACAAAATCGACCAAACCGTCAACAATGATACCAGCGTCGACTCGACCGCCTCGGCAACACTCGAAAATATCAAGGAGAAAGGAGGACAAGTCGTTTATCAGGGGCAAGAGCTGGTCCACCAAGGGAAACAACAGATCGAGAACCAACTCTCACAATCAGATCTTGGCCACAACAAGCAACAACAGACGATCCCCCCTGCACAGGATTTTGCGAGAACAGGACGGTTCATGTTTTACAACTTTTCGGTCGCGCCCATTATCCACACCTGGTACACTGTCCTCGACAAGAACTTCCCCATAGCTGCCCAGGCTGTCAGCAACAAGCAGAACCAGCAAGCGGCTGCCAAGGTTATGCATACTTTGAAGCCAGTGGTGAAGCGAGTGATTGCCGACCAGGTCATTTTTGCGCCCATTGGACTTGCGATGCTCTTTACTGGACTCACTGTTCTTGAGGGTGGAAGTCTCCAGCAGATCAAGGATAAGCTGAACAACGTATGCTTTGTTTCTCGAAAAAAAAAAAAACTTTGGTGACATGCTGAGCCGCATGCTAAATACACTTGTCTAACATTACCACCATTCTTTTTCTGCACGTAGACATTTATTCCTACACTGCAAGCCAACTACCTAGTCTGGCCCATGGTCCAGCTCGTAAACTTCAGGTAATTCCAACAAGAAAAACCCAAATCTGGGCGTAGTAATGACGAAATCAAAGCAAGTGCATGCTAACAAAATCTTCTCTCCTCTCATCCATTTTATCATGTCCTCCGAATCATGTTTAGTGTCATGCCTCTTCAATTGCGCCTACCCTTTGTCAGCGTCGTAGGGATCGCATGGAACGCCTACCTGAGGTAATATCATTGTTTTTGTATAACATTCCTCCAAACTTCATACACCTAGTGAATTGTAACCTGTTCTCACACCTTTCGCTCTACTTCAATTGCCAAACATAATTAGCCTGATGAACACAAGAGGTCAACAGATGGACAAACAAAACCTGACGGAACACTCTAGAGCTGCTGCACCAGTCATTGCCACGTAGATATATATATACACCGGGTTTTAATACAAATTGCTTCTATTTGTTGAAAGGGTATCCAAACGGTATTAGAATCGACATTAGGCACGACGCTTCATCTCGTTTCTATGCGCAACGGCAACAGAGATGGCCAATCCAGAGGCGAGCATGATGACGCCAGCGGCCACATAAAACACGAGTGAAGGGTAGGTCTTCAACGTGAGGGCATAGATCCAGGCATACAACGATGGTGCAATCACGGCTGCCAATGACTCGAATGTCGCCAATGTGCCCAAGGTCTTTCCAAGCATCTCTGGTGCCACTGACTGGGAGAGGATCCCACGGGTTGCTGGGAAGAACAACGATCCGATAGCTCCCGTAACGCCACCTACACATAGTTTTTGCAAAAAAAAGAAAGAGGAGGATTAGTAACCTCATCTCTTGCGTCTCCATGATTTGCTCAGAAACATGTGTGGTTACATACCAACGTAAAAGTATTCGCCAATGGGGGCGACAGCGTAGATGAGCATGGTCACGGCCTCAAGCCACAAGCCCATGATCATAACTTTGAGGTCAAACTTGATTCCAAGAGCAGGGTTGGTCTTTGCTCTTGAGGGTGCAAGCTTCTTGATGAGGGGCAACAAAACTGTCAGCGAGACCAGTCGACTCAATCCTTGGATGGCGCCCACGTAGCTCAGTTCAGGTCCTGTCCACTTGAACATATAGAGCAGGTAGACCTGCGACTGATACATGGCTCCCATGACCGACATGAGGGTAAAGAAGCAAGTGATCATCAATACAACGATACTGTACTTGCCACCCAGGCGGTGGGGCAGTTGCTCGGGCACACACGATCGAATGACACGGTCGACCCACGTTTGGTGGTGAGGGGTGGTAGCTGGTTTGATGGGTTGGAGTGAGGATTTGTTGTTGGGTCCTACAGAGTTGCTACTATCGATGTCAATCAAGGTCGCCTGGCTCTGTGAGTTGGTCATCGTGGGTTGGTTGTTTCCTGCAAGTTTGGCGACTGTCAGGGACTCGGGGATCATCAACACATACAGAACGTCGATGAATGCGATAATGGGCAGCATCCAGAACACCGCTATCATTCCAAACTTTTTCGCAACCAGTCCTCCAACCGCAGATCTATTTCCATGAAACACAATATTGTTGGTTAGCAAAAAGTGAAATGCGAAGCAATATTTTCTACTACTTATCGCCCAACGGCACATGAGAAAAAGACGTACCCGACTCCAAGACCTGCGTACCATCCAGCAATCATGCGTCCAAAGACAACGGTGCGCTTCTCGGGGCTCGAGACATCAGCCGCATACGAATGCACCAGAGCAATGAGGCATAGGATCGAGCCCGCAGAACCCTCGATCATACCACCAACCCAGAGAACGTAGAGACTCATGCCCTTGTTGTAGTAGACCATCAGGGGGAAGGTATGTGCCACGGTTGTACCAACAGCCCAAACCAGCATGGTCTTTTTGCGCCCAATCCTGTCGCTCAGCGAACTCCAGTACCGAACAGTGAGGGTGACTAGATACGTGGATCAATTGCAACAAAAACGTTAAAGAGACGACACTTTAACATTGGTATGCGCATGTGCAGCAAGCAGTTGCGATGCAATAGTAAAAGGATGATATGTTATCCTTCATTCGTTGGAAAGGGAAGAAAGAAAAAAAAAAGAAGGGAAGAGGAGGAAGATCGATGTTTACCAAGAACGGAGGTGAGAGAAGCAAAGACGCCTATAAACTTGGCAATGGCAGCACTGTACTCTGACGAGTCGCAGTCCTTCTCATCGCTTGAAAGAAGGAGGAGATGGTCTCTGTTCTTGTCCTTGAAGAGATCTGGGATGCCTCGCTCACAGAAGAGGAACTTGACCAAGGGGGGAGTCATGGCCATAGCGGGACCAACGGCTAAACCAGCAAGGAAGATGACGGGGATTGCTGCCCAGTAAGCTGCAGGCCATGGCCAATACCAATTGGGGGTATCGCCGTCGTCGTCGTCATGACTCGTCCCCTGTCTCCTGTCGTTGTTGTTGTTGGTGGTGGTGTTGATATCTCCTCTCAACAAGGGCGTTGATTCTTGTGCGTGGGCTACTGCGACTGGGTCATCCATAGCCTATGATATGTATATGGTGTATGCTTTATTGTGCGCTGTGCAGTGGGTGATTGAAGAAGGGAATGAATGAAAGCGAGAAGTGAATGAGAGATGTGATCAGGCAAGAGAGGGAGAAGAAGAAGAAGAAGAAGAAGAAGAGCAATTGAAAAAGAAGAGTGACACAAACAAGTTTTTTGTGCGAGTGTGCGAGGAGCAATAGGGTTTTCTCTACCCCTATCTCCATGTCTTTCTTGCACAATTGCGCTCTCTCGCCACCTGCCACGGTGCCACCTGCCAGCCTGCGCACTCCGCCGATCCATCTCGCTGAGGAAGCGTGGTTTGGGTTTGCCAGAAGGTTTATTGGCAGTGACTAGTGAGTGAGTGAGAAATCAAAGGAGGGAGAGAGCGCGGGTGGCTGGGTGGCTGGGCACCCTTGGCGAGTTTTTGTGCGCCATATTTGGAGTCGAAGAATAACAAGGTATATTTTTTTTCCCTTTTTTTTTGTTCATTTCTCTTTTGTTGTTGATCACCAAAACACAACACAACAACCCGGCCTGGGTGATGCCTGTCGAAACATAAAGAAGCCCACCCCTAGAACCTAGAGGAGGCATTGCTTTGGTTCAATGACAGAGTAGTTCAAGTAGGTCTCTTTACAGGGTGACATCAAACCACACATACAACTTCATTTTATCACGCTTCTCCGAGAGATGAAATAGTCCCACTCTATGTGTATCGCTTGGATCGAAAGATCTTCTTTACGCGATACATTGGATGTTGCTATCTTATCCTCTCGAGCAAAAGGTGAAAAAGAAGGGCAGATTGGACCGAGTTTACACCTGTTTTGGAGCCTTAGCCAGGCCTATCCCGTGGTGGTAATCAGATGGTATCTGCCGACATTTTTTTTTCTCTTTTTATTCAATTGAAATGCAAAAGGAAGGGTGAAAGGAGAGTGGGAGAACACGCCTTTGCTGTTGAAATAACATGGCATGAGATGAAAGAGATCGAAGAAGGGAGGAAGGAAAGGACTATGATGCCAGTCATGAATGAAAGAAAGAAAGGGGTGAGAAAGAAAGACATAATGCAGGCGGGAGCAGGTCAGGGAAGGAAGGAGGGTTGAAAAGGACAGAAGGGGACTAAGGGGGGAAGGTAGGGATAGACCTGAGAGAAACATGGACGAAAGACACAAAGTACGTAGAGCCAAAAGTGGAGCGAGAAGAGAAGAAAGTAAAGAAAACGAGAATATGGTACAAGGTTGCTTTCATCTCTTGCTTCCCTTTGTTGTCCGCAGATATGCCCAGTATAATCTGACAGAAGCTGCATCACTTTGGGATGTCCAGACGGACTTGGGCTGCCAAGTTGGGATCCTGCGTTTGCAGCTCCTGTAACGTCTTTTGTGCCGCTGCCTTGACCTCGTCGTTGTTTCTCTGAATCGTGTCCTCCCACAATCGGCACACTATTGAAAGAATAAAAGAACACACATTAACAAGTGTATCGTCAACTGGTGATCAACCAAAAGCGAGCTGACTTACGGTTCTTTTTCTTGGCTGGTTGTCCTGCTGGCGACTGGTCGAAATGAGAATAGTCCTTAATCTGAATCTTGCAGACATAGCACATACGCGTGTGGCACTGAGGACATGTCATCTTATTGCAACCTACAGACATCAAGGAAGGCGTTAGATAACTGAATTGACATGCTCGTACACATAGATCATGATCAAAAGACAAATAATTTGCTCCGCAACCACATACCTTCCGTCTTGAAGAAGCGCGACTTGCACTTCGGACATTCGCGAATCAATGCCTGCGACATTTCCTCCTCGACCTTGTGTTGGACACTCAAAACGTTATTCTTCTCCAGTTCCTTGCGGTATTCTAAAGCCACAAATCAAACATGAGTGAGATACAGATACAAACATTTGGAAAGAACGTGCCTGGCACCAAAAAGACAAGCAAAGCGACTCACCTTCGCATGAAAGAGGGATGTGAGTAAGCGCTTTACAGAACCGACACGACACTTTTCGACACTTTGGTCCTTGGCACCGAAACTCCTTGTCCTCGTCATTCTCTACAATCGCCGCATACGAACAGAAAGGACACTCCACCAGCGAATCCAGACCAGCCTAAAACGCATGCAAAGTTATAGACTCGGTTAGCCGACACGCTCTCTTGCCATTCATATAAGGGACCCCCGATCAATGCCTTCATCTCGCTTTTACCATCTTTAGCTCGCTCTGCTGTCGCGCTCGCAAAAGACCCTCAAAAACAGGCTTGGCCAGGAATAGCACTGCCTCTGAATCTGGGAAGACCGCCGTGCATCCACCTGTCATACACTTGAGGACCGTTCGTCTATATCCAAGCTCAACTTCAGCGCCGCGTCGTGAACAGCTCAGACAAAAGATATGCCCTTCTTCACACATTGCTATCCTGTTCGCAGGCACGTCGTCAAAGCAGCATCCACTACGTTATTCACAAAGAAGATATGAGACATGTAAAACATTAGCGCAGCGCATCACCAATACATGCTACAACATTATGAATAAAATCTTTTGCAGCAAAGGAAGCGCCTTACCACTCCTTCAAGTTGTTGTTTTCGGTATGAACCCTCAAGTTCTCCTCTTCAGCCAAGGCATCGTTGATCTCTGCTTGTTCTTTCTCTAAAGATAAGTTAAGTTGAAAGTAGCACGTTAAGAGGTGAGACTCGTAATGATGGAAACAGCCATACGTGTCCTCATGGTCAGCCAAATGACTTACCGATCTTAGCTCTCACCCACAAAAGCTCCCTCCGGAAGTCTGGATCCAAAGTGTTGAGAGGGACGGGGGATCTGGCTTTCCGCGGCTTTTTGACCTCAGTCAGCCTAACGTCGCTCGCGTTAGTGCTATTCTTCTTGCCCTTTCCTGGATTTTGGAGTTCGGTCATGAGGCTGCTGATATACTCGAACGCCGGCGCGTAGTGATACCGAAATTTGCCCAGCACTGCTCTGATTGACGTCGCTGATAACGTTGGAAAGTCCTGAAATAACTGACCCGCGCTATAAGGTAATGTGTAAATATATGTTCATGCCAGATCGTGCACAATATAATATCGAGAGGACACAGTGGTTCGAGTGAGAGACAAAGCACACTTACGAGTCCAGCATATATTGCGCGCCCATCTGAACAGCGTATTCGTTAAAGTCCCTCTTGGCACGGGGATTCAACTGACTTGTGCTAGATCCTTGATGGCCACCACCTCCTCCTAGTCCAAAATCCTCTTCTGACCCCGAGGAGTCGCCATCATCATCCTCTCCCTCGCCGCCCTCCTCACTCCGTTTTCTCTTGGCTTTGGGGTACTTGCCGTTAGTTTTGAAGATAGTTTCAATGCAAGTGTCGATAAGCTCTTCGTCTGATGAGATTCTGGGCCGGTTCTCCACAATCAGGCGTTCGAGGTATGGGGTGGAGATGTTTTCAAACATGACTTGAGCATGCGACACAAAGTTGTCAACAAGAGCCTTTCGCTGTTCCTCCAGCTGCAGCTCCTTGAGTCGCTTGTCCTCGAGTCGCTTTTGCTCCTGCTGATGAAAGTCTTCAAAGCTCGGCATGTTAGAACCTCTTGCGCTGGATGTCGAAGGATCTGGGCGAGGAAAGTCGTCAAAGTCAAAGGTGTCGTCCTCAATTACGATAGCCGCCTTTGATGTTTGTAGGGATAGCCCTTTGTCACAGCACTTGTTGAGATCATTATCGTCCTCGTCAGACCAGGTCAGGTCTACTACTCCATTTGAAGTGGAAGCGGGTGCCTGCTTTTGTCGCTTGACGGTATTGGTGTGGGCGTGGGTATGTGGGTTTGACTGGTGAAAGACTTGGACACTGGCTTGACGTGACGGTGCTGAAGGTGCTGAAGCACGGGCGGTTGGTACAGGCACGTCGAATAATGCTTCTACAGCCTGTTCCACAGCTCCTCCGGCTTTTTCTAGATACTCTTGCAGTTGAGTCCGACTGTGGTAGGGAAAGAGCATCACCAGCGTGTCCATGTTGACTGTCGTCCTTTTTGTTGCAGGTTTGATTCTGGCGAGTAATAAAGCAGTTCCTGACTGGTGATTTCCTGGGTGAATGAGGATGCCAGTTGGTTGCTTTTGTTGCGTTGGTGGCGAATGATGTTTTTTTTCCCTTTGCGGGACTTGAGCCTGGCTGCTGGTCGTGTAAACCTGTCCGTGTGAGCGAAATGAGTGAGAAGAGTCAAAGGAAGGAAGAGGATGGGTGCGTTGTTTTTGCCACCGTCGTTGTCTTCCTCGTAACAAAAAAGTGGTGGCGTTTCTTTCTCTTTGACGCTTCATTTGATCGCAAACAGTCACATGACCATTCCATCAATTGAACTATGAACACACCATGGCACCTTCTAATTTACAAACATTCCTTCGTACTGCGTTCTCCTCCTTCATCCTCCCCTTCCAACGCTGAAGCACAAAATGACTCCCGACCCACATCCACCCGTCCTGTCCGATGACGACGACTCTGACGACGACTTTGAAAGCGCATCCGAGGGCGAGCAGGAACAAGAACTGGAACGCGACTCTCTCTTGAATACTCCTGCTGCCAAGGTCTTGGCTCCGGTTCAGGAGCCGGTTCAGCATGCTGCAGTCAGACAACAACCGGTGCCTTTGCAACCAACACCTCAATCACCCTCACCCTCACCACCACAACAACAACAAGCCCAGCAACATGAACCGCTCTCGTCCATCAACTCGCACTCGCACCACAACAACCTGCATTCGGACGCATCTCCTAGACTGGACACCATGTCACTCAAAGACAGGACGGCAACTGCTGGCCCCGCAGTGCTTTCTCGCCACGCTTCAATCGACACTCCCCCAACACAAACGCCAACCCGCGTGCAGGAGCGTGTCCTGTCTCAAAAGCGACTTGACGACCCACAGAGACCGACGTCGCCTCCTACTTCAACTCGGGGTTATCCCAAACAGTTTTCAACTCCAGGACCCCCTTCTCAACCTCCTTCACCTTCGTTGTCGACCAAACCTCCATTGGCCCCCTCATTTTCAAGCACACAGCAACAGCAACCTCCTCGACCGCAACAACAACACCAGCAGCAACAACAGCAACAATACTTTGGATCCAGCCAATCGCCTTACCAGCAGCAAAGCGGGCCAAGGCCAAGCGATCCTTCTGTAGCCGCAAGGAATAAGCAGCAGCAAGAGGCAGGCCACGGCTGGGGATCTCTGGGTTCCTGGATCAACACCGCTGTCAGCACTGTCAGCGAGGTCATTGAGAACCCCAACGTGGTGGTTTCCAAAGCCCATACAATCGGTGAGTGGCGAATCGCGCAAGGCTGCATGTAATTGATATGTCATCACCCTCTATCAACCTCACATTCTAAAATCCTGTATTCCTCCGTTTCACAGGTCAGGGTATCCGCAACGTGGCAAATGAGCACATTGACAAGGTGTACGAGTCTCTCGATCCACAATACGAGTATGAGCGGGAGCGCCAGAAGCAGCAGCCAACAAAGCAGCAACAACAACATCCACAGCAGCAACCCAACCAACAACCTCCTAGCAACAACACGAGTACTTCTCCCCAGTCGAAGAACGAACCCCGCAAGCTTGACATCTCTGATCTGTTGCAGTCAACCCAATCGCCAAGGCAACCCAGCCCACCCCTGGCACGGCCAACCTCAGATGTCAACAAAAATGGCGTCTCTCGCTCACAGGGCAAGCTGGCATATAACGAGGATGCTATTGACGCTTCGGCCGACGCCTGGGGTGATGATGACGCCTGGGGCGATGACTGGGATGGTCAAGCGGTTGTCTATAAGGCTGAACCAACGACGATGCCATCATCCGCAGTTAAACAACCAACCATGTCGCCACCTTCGGACAACCCCCAGGAGAAGCCAGGTTTTGGTTTCCAGACCCAGCAAGCGGATCGTCAGCAGGATAGCTTCCGCCCACAAAGTCGAGATAACCAGTATTTAGCAGAGTCAGGCAGGGACGTGAAGAATTTGTTTGGATCTCCTCGGTCTGGCAGTCTCTCTTCGGGTCAAGATTCTCGCACCGCCAGCAACCTTTCTGTGCCGCAATCCACCGATTCACCTCACGCGGACTCGCCCTCTCACCGGAGACCCTCCTCTGATGTAAGTTCATGACTTATATGCTCATGTAGTTTGAAACTATCAATGGAGGCCGGTGTTTCTCACATTTTCACATGTCCTGACCTTTAATAGCTGCGACCTGCGGAGGCATTATTTTCGACACTTGATTTTGCGTCGAACGCCATCGGCAGTGCCGTTCTTGGGGTTCACAGGAAGGTCACCCAGGCAGGGCAATCTCAACAGCCAAAGAACGGATCAGGCTTAGAATTTCAACCTACAAGAAGCGCATCCTCAGCATGGGGTACACCTCAGCGTCGGGAGTCTACTGACAGCACAAAGGAAGTTTCAGACAAGATGGATCGTCTGGCGCTCTCCAACCCGACTTTGGAGGCTGTGGGTGGCAATGTTGTCAGCACTGGTCTTGGAGCCTTGGAGATTCTAGGCAAGAGGGCAGTCGATGTTATTTCCGATGTGGTAAGTAATCATCTATACCGCATACTTTCGTCAAGATTATGAGCAGAGTTTGAGTAGCGACTAACGAACACCTTACAACGATGCATGATAGAGACGTGCTGGTCATCTTTCACACGGGCAAGGAGGCGCAAATGGATCCGAGGTGTACGACGAGCACAACTCCTTCAAGGTACTTGGCATGCACAATGCAATGATCGACTGAAAGTGGACCTGGACTGCTAGCAGTGCGCTAACAACGTGATCTCCTTCATTCGTTCATCTGCTATAGGTCCCGCCCAGGATGAACATTGTTGCCATGTTTGAGGAGTCAGGAGGCAAGGCTCACCTTGTGTCTCTCAGATCTTTGGCATCTGCAGCGTCCACACGTGTGAATGCTATCACTGCCTCCCGACCAGATTTTCTCAACGTTGGCCAATTGGACGATTTGGAACAACTCTTGGAGCCGCAGGCTTTGGACTCTGCAGTAAACGAACCGATTGCTGATCTTTTGGCTGGACACAAGGACTTTCGCGCGATGGTGGCACTTTTGGAACAGATGGGAGTCCACGGTACCACTCATTTGAGACAGCTCAGGAACTGTACACGGAAACTTTCTACACTTGTCCCCGACAATGTCAATGCCTTTGAGCAAGGTGAGTTTCGAAAACCGTGCATAATGTTGTTCGCACTGGTGGTGCACAAGTGGTAGGTGCATTCGTTAATTAATATTGTGGCTTCTTGAATATCACTACAATACTAGAGTGGCATAATCATCAGACAAGAGCAAGTGAGAAGGACTTTTTCGCACGGGGGCCGATCAAAAAGTTTTTCGAGTCGAGGCTGCTGACGGTTTACTTTGACGGCCTGCGAGCATTGACCCAGTTCACAGACAAGACGTGCGATCAGATATTGAGACTTGGCGAGAGCTTCAACATTCGAGTGGCGGAAAAGTCTGCAAACTCCTCTTCACTCTCCACCGACAGTGACGATGCCTCAAAGTTGGCAACTCTAGCACTGGCAAAAGTTCTTCAGAAACTCATTGGAAGCCTTATTGCAGTAAGCTTTCCTCATTTGTCGAATATGTAGTGCGTATGGTGCTCTTTGTAACGATGATACCAACTGTTCATGCTGCTTCTATTCACAACGATATGATGTAGGAGACAAAATTCATTTCCAGGCAGTACCGACAGTCACTGGATGCTATTCTGCAGACTGCCAAAGGATTGACGACACCCCTGGACAACCTTGACTGGGAAGATTTGGCAATGGGGTTGGACAGGATCAAGTCCTTGTTGACGGATACGGAGACAGTCGAGGCGATCGGTTTTATTCATTCGGGAGCCCTCTGTGTTTTGGAGGTGTTGCGAAACGACCTATTGATTGATGTTGCGTATGGCAAGTTGACGCCTACTGCTCGCAAGCCCCGTTCTCGACCTACCGTACCAGTGGATGCAAAGCGCGCTCAGTCAGCTGCCCCTGGCGCTCGCCCTGCTTCCAGACCAACGTCGACATCATCGACCTCAGCGGCAGCAGCAGCAGTAACTTCCACGATAGTACCAGGACGTCGCCCTTCAACAGCATCCAGTGATCAAAGGGTGGCATCTCCATCTCCTAGGATGTCGCCCATGATGTCACCTTCACCCAGGATATCGCCCATGAACCGACAATCTCCCTCGCCTTCTCCTTCACTGAAGCCGTCGCCTGGACTGTTTGGAGGACAGCCTCCTCACCCCTCATTCTCGCCTTCTCTTCGACCAGCGACTGTTGCTCAAGCTGGACAGTCAGGACAACCTCGATCATTCCCTTCGCCTTCTTTGCGACCGGTGCAACAACAGCAACAGCAACAACCATCACAACAACAACATCAGCATGCGAATGCTCAGGGTTTATCATCCCGTCTTTCTTCTTCGCCTGCATTAAGAGCAACACAGGGCACAGGACAGCCCCGCCCACCGATGATGGCTGCACGACCCAAGACACCTGTCTCGCAACCGTCGACGGCAGCTCCGAGCCGTGTTGGCTCTGCAAGTGCAGGAGGAGCAGGAGCAGCAATGCCTCAGAACCCGAACCCGCACTCGTATTCGTTGTATCCACGTCCCCCTCCTGTGCAACGCCCACCTGTCAAAGAGGAAGAGGACTTTTTCAGCATCTTGAATGGCGCGTAAAACTCCTTTCGTAGAACAACGAGCATACAAAGACCAACACCAACAAAATGAACTAATAATACAAACACCATCATGGCATATCCTTCACACCCTTTCAGTGCGGTAGCCTTTTGTGTTTTGTGCCAGACAAGAAAAGTTTTTTTATTATGTTTTAATATTTTTTTCGTAACTTCAACTTCCTCTCTCCCTTTCCTCATCAGAAAACTCTCACGTCTAATACCAAAAGGCTCTTTTCTCCTCCAGGGAGCAGTGGTACTTGAGGGTTTTCAACATGAACGTTTTTTTTTCAGAGAAAAGAAAAAAGAGAAAAAGCAAGAGTAGAACAGGGATTGTTAAAAGATAGAACGAAAAGGGGGGAGGAACATGTTATTGTTTTGTTTTTTCTTTTATGCTGCTCCATCTTATCCCCTTTGTGCACTACATCCAGGAACAAAAGATAGCAGCTTAAAAAGGGGAGTGCGTATGAAAAAAATAGTAAAAACACGTATAAAAAGTGAATCAAGGAACAAGAAAAAAAAAAAGTGGTCGTAAACCCAGGAACTGTGGGGAGTTACGAAGAGGAGGGCAAGGAAAGACAACTTAGTACTTGTCGTCAGTGTTCCAGGCAATCTCCTTCTTGCTGGGGCCACCAGCAGACTTGTGGTTGTTGCCGTCACCGGGGGCCTTGACGTTCTTCTTGTAGCCGTTGAAGTCGACGATGGCAATTTTCTTCGAGGGCAACTTGCCGCCGGACTTGCCGGACAACTCAATATCGGCGCAGTTGTGGTAGTACTGGGGGAGGATGTTGGCGGTCCAGCTATATAGTTTTGAAGGAAATATGTGGACGTTGGTTAGGAATGAAATGATAGGAGTAGGGTCGAGATGACTGTCGTTTCATCGTCTACAGCGCATAAAAGATAAAAGGGATTGACATACCTCCAGACGAACAAGCACTTGTTCTTGGTCTTGCAGGAAGGAGCGTTCTTGGGGATCTTAACGGGCCACTGGTAGTAGGCTATTCACCATTCACACACACACACACACACACACACAAACGCGGGTTAGAGCATGTTCTCTCAAAATAGTAATATAGGTAGGTTTCAATTGCATTTGACCCATGAACATTGAGAAGAGAACAAACATACCATCGGGGCAAGTCTTGGTGTACTTGGCGATCAAGTGGTAGGTCTTTCCGTTGTCGTACGAGAGCGAGAACTCGCACTAGAAATCCCGGAAGCATTCGATTTCAAGTAAAGGAAGAGAGGGAACAAATAGATACGTTAGAGTTTTGTAATTTGGTGAGGACGGGGGTAAAATAGACCATACACAACAACTGGTGAGAGCAATGGACAACACAATCATGATGAAAAAATAATCCGAGGGAAAAAGGAAGAATAAGTGGACTTACGGTACCGCCTCCGTGGCGAGCCTGGGAGAACTGCTTGCTGGAGCTGGTGGGCTTGGGCTGGGTCTTGATGGCCTTGGCGTTCATGGACGAGGCCAAGAAGCGGACAGGGACAACCTGGCCAGCCTTCAGCTTGGTGACGGGGCCGGGAGCGTATCCTCCGCAGGGGAAGCGCTGGGTCCACTTGCTATCCTTGTAGCCAATGAAGGTCTATTTTTCAAATGACGAGGAACGAGATGATTAGAAGGTATTACAGGCAGGAGTACTATGCTGCTGAGGAGAAAGTGGGCGCAGAGTGGAGTTGTGACGGGACAGGGATGTGGAGAGGAAGGCGAATGTTATGACAACCAAAGCAGGGGATGGGGCCATCTCACAATTAGAAAAGTGGATGAATGGGATTACGGGTGAAATAGAATAGAGACAGAGGGCTGTTTATCCAGTTCATTGATTGCATGCGCATGCAGTGCTTGTGTCACCTTACAACGCACGAAACAAATGCAAGAGTGAACACACACCACAACTCGCAAACGAAAGACTATCCTTCGGGATACCCTTTGTGCGGGCTATCAGCATAGAAATGACTCTCCAGGTATATTGGATTGGGGGGGGGTTGTGGTCGGATATAGCTGAAATGAAGTCGTATGTATGTCTCTCTCTTAATGTACGTCTGTGGCATTGGTGTACGGGCGTATGAGTGTGTCGCGGTGAAGAGGTGCTGAGTGAGAGGAAAATCGGTGGACTGAGGATGGCATCGAGAGACACAGGGATATTTAAAGTGCCGGATAAATGAACCCATGTTTCAGGTCACCGATGGTGCCTGAAAATGATATCCGGGTGCTGTCTCGCTGAGCCACGGAAGAGAGAAAGGAAAGAGGGTGCAGGAACTATGAATGCGAACGGGAAGGAGGAGACTTACGTGGATGCGGCCGTTGTACTGCTTAGTACCGTAGCCTCCACGGGGGGTGGGGTAGAGCAAGGCCATGTGAGCAGAGGCCGAAGCGACCATCGAAACAAGGACAACGAGACCAGTAGCAATCTTCATGGTGATTTTTTTTGGAAAGGGGAGGAGGGGGAGTGAGGAAGAGTGAGGAAGAGGGAAAGTTAGTTGGGAGTGAGGTTGGAGGGAGAGGGGAAGTTGATGTCAATCAAGTAGGGGGTATGCCGTTCAAGCGAAGGAAGGGGAGGGATTAACCACAGGTGGTTGAGAGGAAAGGTGGTGAGAGGGATGGGGTAGGGATAAGGACTGAAGGACAAACGAAAGAGAAGAAAAAGAAGAGCAGTGCGCGGACATTGTCGTTCCTTTTAAACGATTCCTCACCCCTTTCTCCGGGGTAATAAGCGACAATTTTGCGGTTCGTTTGTGCCTGGGTTGCCTGCACCATATTGTTATCGTTTATTAGGGCGAAATATGATAGAGAGATATTCCATTGTTACGGGAGAACCGTCGGTTCACCATTCTCTCTCTCTCTCTTGCTCCTGCTCATCCCCCCAGCCAAATGAAAGAAAAGAAAAAACTCTATCGCCGACAAACAAGGAAAACGACAACAATCCAACTGACTCCTATTCCAAATGGCGAGTGAACTCAACAACTAAGAGCAACGATAAAGAGGAATTTTAGTCTGGAAGGAAGGACGAGGGTTTAAAGTGGCCCAAGTACCTCAAAAATGCTCAGCTCACAGACAGTCGACAGACAACAACGAGTGTAAACGCAGGGGTGTGGTGCTTGAAAACAATATTAAAAAATGGCCTAGGTCCATTCCATTTCCCAGTTCCAGACCCACACTCTCAATCAACCACCTTTCCTTGGTATACTGCGTACAATTTATTTTTCTCGCCATAGCTCGCTTTTCTTGCTTGGCTGCTTGGTTGCTTGTTACCCAGGGCATTAATGTACCGTCATTTTTAAAACAACAGGGCCCTGTTCCTGGCGAATATCGCCAGAAATAAAAGAGGAAGCCTAGCAACTTTTACCCTTCAATCATCATCCTCTCTTTGGAGCTTGGAGTATTGACCCTCCTTTTCATCTTTGCCGCAGCCCCTCTCTATCTCCTTTGCAATTATCTTGATTAGAGTGTCTACTCTTTACGACCCTTACCTTCTTTCTTCCCTTGTGCTTACAAGATTGGCTATCATTCGCCTTTTTTGTTTTTTTGTTTTTTTTGTCATTCCATCTCCCTTGAGAACTAGACTAGTCTGACTCGACGGTGCACGTTTTAGTGTGTTGTTTTTAATTGAAAATGTGCAAGCAAGCAAGATACAATTAAAATGTGGCGAAACGAGAAAAAAAACCCAGTAATAGGGATTCAGGAACAAGGGAAGAGGAAACAAGTGCATAAGAAGAAAATCTGGATTACTGTACACACCCCTGCAATCCTCGGTGGTTCTTCCAGGGGAATTGTTTGGGTCTAGCGTCGCCGCATGTTTATCCATCAACATGAAGGATTCTTTGTTTTTCGCTTTGTGTTCACTTGTCTACTTCTCTGCTTCTCTTTTTGTCATCATCTGGAGGAAGGAAGGAGGGTGGAAGGTGAAAGTGAGAACTGAAAATGGGCCATAGGAAAACATGCTCTACATTATACATACTCATACATTATGTCTCTAGCTCTGGTGGGGGCATAGACTAAGGATGGTGGCAATCAAGGCAACCTCTGGGGATGTAATAAACAGCAAAAAGTAATGAGCAGGAAGAAACAACACAAAGAAGTTGAAGGAAGGCAGAGGAGAGAAGGCCGAGAAGCGTTCCAGAGAGTTCATTCCATAGCAACGGCACTAGTCCTTGATTGCAATCAAACCCTGTGTCAAATTCCTCTTTGTCGTTTTTAACTTTACCACCCGCGAGGGAAGGAATTGCATCTGCGTCCCATCTCCTAGCGAAAAAGGCGCTAAGAAAAGAGAGCAAAGGCAGACAGACAAAGGGGAGGAAGACAAAGGAAAGGAATAGCGCGCTCGGAAGAATATGTTCTAAGGTCCGCACTCGTGGCTCTCAACCGACCGTCGCAAAAAAGAAAAAGGTAATGAAAAAATCTCAAAGTGGACCCATCAAAGGAAGGGAGAGTTGAGAGCTCTTTCTTCGTAGGCATTCGCAACAAACCAGTAAACCCAGTTACTAGCCAGGTCTATCCCATTGGACTTTTTTTCTTTTCCACCCAACAAGGATCTCACTGAAATTGTCGAAAAAGTGGCACAGAGTGGGAAAAAGAGAGCCAGCTTACCGAGCAGTGGCTCATCAATTTCGTTGTTAATCTCGCGCCCTCTCTCTGTCTGCTCTTTATTAATGTCCCAAAGACTACTGCACCTTTGATTGATATTAGGCAAACAATCCACCTGCCCCTGGTCGGGAGAGAAAAGAAAGAGATGAAGATTAAAAAAAAAGCAGGGTGCATAAGTTGTAAAATGGCCGGTGGCGATGGTCAACCGTAGTCGTGGTTATAGCCTTAGTTTTACGACAGAGTACGTATATGAAATATTGTGAGGAATTTCCTCCATTTCGCCCTCTTTCTCTCGACAAAGTTATGGTCTTCCATTTCGTGGGGCCGTCGCTCTCAAAGCGTTCATGTCGCTTACGAGTTGGACGTTGAAACAGAGCACAATTTTTTAGGAGCGGAACTCACACACATACACAAAAAGTCGCAAACAATTGTTTAGCACAATCTGTTGTCTAGGGGGTTACAGGAACGCCGCAGGTTTGTTTGTCGGACACAATACGGATGAACCTTTTCGCTTGCTTGTTTGTTTTGCTTGTTTGTGGTATGTAGTTTGATATTGTAATTTAAGAGTGGATTCTAGTAGAGGAGTGTCTCGACATGTTCCGCAATGGCCAGCGATGATGTCAACCCAGGACTCTCGATCCCCGCAAGGTTCACAAGCCCATCGTGGTGGTGAATAATAAAGTCTCGGAATGGCTCTCCTGGTCCCGCAAGCTTCGGTCTAACGAATCGATCGTGCACGCGCACATACACAGACAGGTTTAAAGAATTAGACCAAGGTCTCACATATAAGTCTCCGTAATGTATGTGATAGGTGAGTTATCACGATAGAGATACCTTCCACCAAATATCCACTAGAGGAGCATTTACCTAATACCGGCGTAGTCAGCGTAAAGTGAAGACGACTTGATCGCTGGTAGATACGTTTGAATGACTTGAGCGACCGTCTTCATTGATGATGTCGAGCCCACAGTCGACGGGTCGATCGAGTAATCATGAGGGTCGTCAACGTATAGCACATCTGGACCGAACCGCATCCGTCCTGCCAGATCAAGAGTGAGGTGGGTCCCGAGACTCGTCAGGTTCCTGTCCGGTACAGGGTAGATCAGTCGGGATACTAGCGCCTTTCCTGAGTAGCCATAGTAGTGACCTTTGCAGTAGTGCAGCTTAAATGGAGGCAATGGTGGCTCAAAGTTGGTCGGGTCCAGATCGGCAAGACTTGCATCCTTCACACTCGCATCATCTCCAGCCAACGTGTATATTGTTGTAGCTTTTGGCGCCACAGAAGGCCACTGCATCATGCTGTACACCATGTCCGAGTGCAACCCAGCACTGTTAATCACCGTCGCTGCCTTGACAACCACAGGTCCTGCAGGAGTATCCATCGACACCTTGAAGCCTCCCCTGGCCAACTTTTCGAGACCATTGACTTCGCATTGAAGAACAAGGTCCCCTCCATGATCCTGAGTCCTTGCCTCCAAAAGCTGCATCAGCTCATGAACATCAACAATTCCGGTCCTGGGCGACACCAACGCAGCCCTGCCCTTGACAAACGGTTCTTGGGCGCGCATCTCCTCTTGACTCAGTAGATATGTGGGTGGTCCCGGCATGCGCTTTGTCCGTGGCAACAACCTGTCCGCCTTTTTGGAGAGGTTTTCCAGATACTCGAGATCGGACTCACTCTGACCGACAACCCATTTGGTGATTTGCTTGTGGTTGACGTTGTATCGCTCGCATAGGTCGTACATCATCTCGTTCCCTCGAATACATAGTTTCGTCTTTAACGAGTCGGGTGGGTAGTAGAGTCCTGCATGAATGACTTCGCTGTTCCTCGAACTGTTATGGAGGGGTCAATTAAAGGAGCACGTTGTTAGTCGCTCCAGTTTTCTCAATGCAATTGGGCTTATGTTAAAAATGTGCACCGTGACCAAGTACCTTGTCTCTTGTCCAGCAGCCGCGTTCTTTTCAACTAATAAAGTCGATCCTCCTCCTCTTGCTGCCAATTTCTCTGCAATCGCCAGACCGACTACTCCTGCGCCGATAACGAGGTGGTCCACCTCGTACTCATAGTCCACTGCAGCCATTGACGACAATTGCTTATGCTGCTGTCTTTTTGTCCATGCCATTGAGTTTGTCGTCGGTATTGGTGTGGCAAAAGATGAAAGTGCTCGTCTAGACTCCAGAAAAGGGGACCTGGCGGTCTGGGACATCGTCCTCATGCTTCGCCCTACATTCCTGAGACAGGCGCATGGTAAACTGGCAGTTGGGGTCATCGTGTTGTGCTGTTGACTACCTTTCTGTATCTGTTGATGTTGCTACCCTCTTTCTTTCTGCTGTGTGAATGGCGAGTATTCCTGAGAATGGATAATGGTCAAAAAGTCTCAACATGTCCAGCGAGTCAGAAAAAAAGTGTCCTCCGTTGAGAGCCGTTCCGAGTCACGTGTAGTAACCCGGCGGTTATTTTATTCTGTGCGTGTGTTATGTCCAGTGGTGTCTTCTCTACTTCTGGTTCTTCTCGCCCTGCATAGTAACAACAATCCTGCGACCAGAGGCATGGTTGCGGTGCTCGCACAGCCAGATCCTATCGCATTGGAAGGGGGTGAACGGGGAGTGCAAGAGTGAATTGTTAGGTAGGAGATCAAGCAAAGAGGTAGGAAAATGGGCGCGATTCTGAGATCAATAATACATATCCTTCCAGGAGACACAAGCATATTACCCTTGCCACATTCCCAGGTTGAGACAGCCCTTGGTGATGGGGATGTTGAGTGAGACGCCCATGAGGGAGCTCTTGAGATGGCCAGGCATGTCGTCGGGACCCTCGTCCGTGTGGATAAATGGCATGTTCTCGGGTGCAATCTTGTTCAATGCCATCTCCATATCAACACGGACATCAGGGTCAGCGTTCTCGTTCAGCGTCAACGATGCCGATGTGTGTTGTACTAGCAATAAGCGAGAAAAAAGACTTTTAGTCTGTTTCGTTTTGAAGAAGGTGTTTTCATTCATAGAATGTCGAAACGAATTCTCTTGCTCCTGCCCTTACAAAAGATGTTGGCCATTCCGACGGAGAATTGCTTAAGCTCTGGCAATTGCTTTTCAATCTCGCGTGTGACCAAGTGGCAGCCGCGTTGCTTTGCTGGCAGACGAATCTCTTTTTGTGCCCAGGACATTGTGTGTGTAAGCGTGAAAGTGTTGTTGAGGAGTGTGAATGGGGAGTGGGTGATCAGAAAAAGGATTTTTGCCGACTGTGGGGGGAAATTAAACAGATAAGCGCAGAGCAATTTTGGTGGCGGGACATTATTCTTTGCTGCCGATCCGGAACAGCACCTACAGCATTACAGCATAAAAAAGTGCGTGGATGGTGAGTATGATGCCATCATGGAAGAACTGGATGTATAATGGACGTTAGCAGGAAAAATGCCAGTGACAAAATGCGTACTAAGTCCTTGGTGCGGTCATAGTCACAGTGACGAGCCAAAGTAGATGCATCAATCTCCTCGGCCTCAATCAACGACGATTGCCCTATCCGGACCTTGAAGTACTCGTACGCCTGAGCCACCACTGCTAGCTCATCCAACGAGAAGTTGTACCTACAGGAGAATAGCTGGCTGTTAGTCTTTTCTGGCAACCTCGCTTGCCACGTAGCAAAGGCACGGCCATTTGTACCTACCTCTTCTCCATGGTCATGTAGGCGACGCGACCAATGTAGTGTCGTGGGTGACTGGCAGGCAAAGGCTCTGAGAGTAGCTTCTCCAGGCAGTCGACCAACGCATCCGTCAAAGAGTCATCATACACTACTATTTGTCGAATACAACACGATCAATAGAGACAGAGAATACGCTAGTTAGTTGTGAATGGTTTGCAATATAGCAAGGATACATATACTTTCCATGCAGTACGAAGGAGTACTATACCATCGGCGGCGAAGATGAAGGCGCCGTTAACTTTCCAGTCCTGGCGTTCTTGAGACGACCAGCCAAAAGGGTCAGGTGTATGGCCACCATTCTCCATGGATTCCAGTGGGTCGTCCATTAGCCAGTTCAGCCTCCGAGTCTTGACTTTCTGGTCAGGAGCGCAGTTGAGATCAATGTTGGCCATGCAGTTCTGTAGAATATCGTTATCATAATCTACTTCAGTAATACGATGCAAGGGTTAGTCTCTTGTCCTCGCGCATGCCTGAATGAACACGTATAACGATTGAACCATGGAAAGAGCAATAAGTTTCACCTGTGCAGTAGACACGGTCAACGGCAATGAGGAGATCGGTGGCGATGGAGGCGAGTCCTGTTCCTGCGCCGATCTCAAGCACAGTTGTATCATTAAGCAGTTCCCGGATGTGCACGATCCAGTCGATCAGCAAAAAACAGCCCAACCACACCTGGGACCCTAAATAGACAACAACAACCGAATGTAAGTTTATGAAAAAATATTGATGGCAGTTGAAAAAGAAGAGTAGCGTGGCAGGGTAGCTGCCTTGTCACTGACAGACTTACCCACGCCTCGGAGGTCTGTCCCCATCGCGTGCTTAATTTCCACCGCATAGTCCCAAAGGTCAAGCTCCTCATCGTGCACGTCCTTATCGTTCTCTTGATCATCATCCTGCACCTTGATATTATTGCTCACGCTGATGCTATTGTCCAAACAGCTCCCCTGTTGACTGTCCAGTATAGGTTGTCCTTTCCGAGAGAGAAGGAAAGTTGATGTGATGGTCCTACGGTCAACGAGACCATTGTCAGGGTGAATGTGAACCTCTGACAACACGATGTCGTCCTCATTCGTCTGATCTTCGTCGTCATGATCATCCTTGTGCTCGTATTGATCAGATCTATTTTCGCTCTTGGTAATTTCTTCTGTTGTCCGTTGCTTTTTGTTTCTGTGGTCCGTGTCCTTGTCGCTGTTGATGTTATAGTTGTGTGTATCGTCGATATTGTCCTTCTGCGTGAATTGGTGGCCTGTCTTGTCCATGATGAATACGACGAAGGACAAGGAGGAGTGATAAAGATAGAAACGGAAGAAAAGAAAATGAGGTGGAACTATCTTTATCCTTCCCCTCCTTCAACCACTCTTCGCAAATGCGTGTACCCCTTTTCCTACCAGTCGTCATTGTTATTTGCAACAGGCTCTAGATCATTGCCCCCTCTGCTGTTTGATGTTCTACCGAGAACCCCTTTCTAACCCACGTACTCCAAAAGCACTGCCTGCTGTGCCTGTGCTCAGACGACCTCTTCCTCTTTATCCACAGAATACAAGCAAAGATCAAACAGAATTACAGAAATCCAAGGAAATATGTTGCTCCTCTTCTCCTGTCTTCTTCCCTTTTCCAAAAGGTCGGTCCCCCCATCATCACCTTGTACCCTGTGCCCTGAAATGATCCCAGACACCATCACTGATGACCTTGTCTGTTTCAATGAGGGATCAGAAATACGATTGATCAAAGGTCGCTTTGGAAGACAAAAAATCTCGAACAATATCCACTCCGTCTCCCTTTCACTCCACCGAATCATGAAGGCAAAGACAATCAACAGAGCAAAGAGAAAAATAATAGGGTAAAGAGAAGAAGGAAGGGTAATTGACAAAGGAAGGAAGGGGGTTGCACATGTCCTTAGGGGCTTTTTTAGCACATTAGGTCCTCCCTTAACGTCTATTCGAAACCCGCCACACTTCCTTCTTGTTTCCTTTGTCCAACGAAAACTCACAAACCTAGCTCCTTCCCTTCACACTTTCTCTTTCTCTCTCTCTCTCTCTCTCCCTCTCCCCCATTCTTTGCACACCACCACTTTTTCTTCATTCACTTTTCTTTCGTCTTCTCTCCCACCGTCCTTGACCGACAACTTGCATTCACACTACACTCGTCGTCATTCGTACTCTCCTCCTCTCATTCAACACACTCACAACAGATGGCGTACATAAGGACGCCGAATGACTCGCAAGTCAGGTACAGGCACCAGTGCAGGTCCTCGCCAAGGTGTATCGTCGTCGCCCTCTCCGCCTCATTCATCGCCTTCAACTGGATCGTCTTTCACGCCTTCAAGAGTGAGTCCTCGTCCGATAACAGCAGCGATCCCTTATCAACTGACTCTTCGGGTAAACCCTTGCCAACCAATTGGCTCGACACAGCCACAGAGCGCTCTCGAGGATACCGGGCGAGCAAAGACTGGCAAGGGCAATGGTATCGCTGGCGAGCCCTCAACCCCAGCAAGATCGAGCAACAGACCGACGACCTCACAAAGTTCGACATCGTCTACACCTGGGTTAATGGATCCGACCCGCTCTTCCAGACCATGAGGCTCGACTCCCAGAACAACCACCCCATGTTCCAAAAGTCTCTCCGCGAGAATGCCAAACAGATCGACTCAACCACCAAAAGGCGATACAGGGACACGGACGAACTTCGTTACTCACTCCGGTCAACCTTCGACTATGCCAGCGACCTCTTCCGCCGCATTCACATTGTCACCGCCGAAGTTGCACCCAACCAGCCCCAGATTCCTTCATGGCTTATCCAAAAGCCTGACTCGCCCATCCAGATCGTCAGCCATAAAACCATCTTTCCCAATTCTAGCCATTTGCCGTCCTACAACAGCTTGTCTATCGAGAGTCAGTTCCTCAACATCCCTGACCTCACAGATACTGTAAGGTTTGCTCAATTATTGATGCTTTACCGGTTAAAGAGGATTATTTTACGGGCCGAAGCACTAGGGTTTTTTATCCAATAGTTCTTCATTTTCTTTTTTCCGACTGTTTGTATTTCAAAACCTGGAACGATTGACGACACCCTTCCTTTGTACGACACAGATTCAATGCCAGCATACGCAAATGACCAAAGAAGACCAAAGAGTGTCGAGTGACAAAAAGTGCTAGAAGACCCGCTAAAACTAACACATGCATCCTTTATTTCACATTTAACCAGTTCATGTACATGAACGATGATATCTTTCTCGGATTGAAACTACTTCCTTCGGACCTCTGGACACCTCTCTACGGATATGTCTTGCACATGGAGGCTTCACTCTTGGTTCCCCCCACCGTCCGATACTTCGATCCAAACGCCATCACTGTTGGTGAGTGGCACTCGCTCCAATACTCCAACTACCTCTTGTCTCAGCGGTTCGGGCCTCGCCATCGTGCCTACATCGCGCATGTCATCCATGTCCTCAGCGTCTCAATGCTCAAGGAGATCCAGTCCCTCTGGCCGGACGACATGGAGATAACCAGTTCGCATCAGTTCCGCGGTGTGGGAGAGGGCAAGGACATCCATGTCTCCTTCTTTATGGGCCACTACATCATGGAGAAGCTGAGAGAGACACAGCTAGAGTCTTTCTGGCAGTATCGGTTGGACACGAATCAGGACGGCGTTCTCGACTGGGAGGAGCGCAGGAGACTGATCGACAGGATCAAGATCTGGAACGTGAACCAAGACCAGGTGACATCGGATCGACGACAACACTCTCGGCCGACCATGATCCATGCACACAAGGCAACACTCGACAGGATCGGCATCCGCATGAGTGGCACAACTCTCTATCGCAAATCGGGATTGGACGGGTACCCTTACATGCTCCGGAATGCCGATACCTCGAAAACCATCCCTACCGCAACCGTCAAGGACAGGGATGGCAAGGACGTGCTGCCCCAAATCCCCTACAGAAACTACGAACCGGTGAAGGATCGAAAGTGCAAGCTCGATGTCGACTTTTGCTTTGGCCCGGACTTTGTCGACTCAACCTACCCACGGATTCCTGCAGAACAGACGAAGCAGATATTCAGTCGGATGGCGTTCAAGGAGTTCCACTGCGGCGATTGCCTTCTTGAGATTCTGATGCAGGATCCTTACAGAGGCGGCATGGGCGCATGGATGCCAGAAGACGAGACCTCACAGGCGTTTGCGAGCGTTGTCGAGAAGGTGGCGCGGTACAACTATGTCCTCGGGACGTCGGACTATTCGTTTATGGCGCTACAGGGAGCCAAGGGAGCCAAGAAGGATCTGGACATTCTTTTGGCGAAGTGGGATCAAAAGGCGTTCTTCTGCATCAACGACGATTTCCCGGACGATCCAGTTGTCGAGAATGAGATCCAGACGCTCTTCAGGGACTTTTTAAACACTCGCTTCCGTCTCCCCTCGCCGTATGAGATAGTCGAGTAGATGCTGGTTCTTTTTACTTTATTGCGCAACTATAAAGCGCATTCAATAAACCCTGTACAATACCTTTTTGCACCCTCATATCGGTTATTAATGTCGAACACAGCATGCGTTTTTGTGCCTGTGCGAAGTACTTCTTCAAAGTATTCGCAGAATACAGCCTCGCCTCCCACTCAAGATGCCTCTCCCCCTTCTTTCAGCCAAAGAATGACCGACGATTAACAGAAGGTCGATCCCATCTAGGCACCATCGCCCACTGCCTTTACGCCATCATCGCCTTCTGCTTGATATGATCCTAGGCACCATCACTGATCACTTTGTTTGTCTCACTGTAGAATCAAAATTACTTTTTGATCAAAAATATCAAAGACAACAACCACTCTCTCCTTTTCACTTCACTTGCAGCTCAAATGGTTACCATGGTGAGAGGCATTGCGATAAACAAAGCAATGGAGAAAGTGCAAGGGTAAAAAGGAGTAAAGAAGTAACAGAGGCAATGGACAGGGCAAGGAAGAAGGAAGGAGAGGAGGATGAATTGGATTGGGTGTACAAAACTTGCGTATATTTCCTTCTTGGGACCCCTTTTCTATTTCCTCTCTTTCTCATTCAATTCCAACTTACAGTCAGTCATTGCTCTCTCCCTCTCTTTCTTCGCTCACTCACAATGCCGGTCGAGAGAGTCCCCAAGAAAGTCCGTCTGCAAGAACACCATGTCGCACCACAAGCATTAACAACAACAACAGTAACAGGAATCACCGCAGCAGAACAGAGATCAACAGAACGAACGACAACCACAGCAACAGCACCCATTACCCGTCTTGGTGCGCAGTCAAACATCTTCCGTGGGCACTACATGGGAGCCGACCACAAGGATCCATTAGTCTTTTTTTCAGAAGAGATTGCCCTCCATATCCTCGAACTGCTCACCCCCTCAGAACTTGCACAGTGCGCCTGTGTCTCCAGACAATGGTATCGTCTCGTCAACGATCAAATGGTATGTATCTCTGTGAATCTTTTTCAGTTTACATGCGGACGTCAATAATGAGATCCCTAACCAAGTCCTTGCTCTTTTATGACTATGGTAGCTGTGGCGCAGACTCTTCTACAAGGACCAGTTCATCTACCCAAGAGGATTCCGGAACGCAGGACGGACGGCGAAACCGGCCCTGACAGGACAATTCAACACTGCCACCGCTACCGCCACAACATCCCAAGATCGTCGTAATTTGAAGCGGAAGCGACCAGGACCCACTCATCATCCACAGCAGCAGCACTATCGTCACCGACAGGATGAGCACATGGTATACGGAGACCCGTCGTCGTCGTCAACTTCAAACTCGTGTTGGAAGGCACTATACCGACTCAACCATAACTGGATCGCAGGACAGGCTCAAGTCACAAGTCTTTCCATCCAGCAACTCTCTCATCAGGACCAACTGTTCTTCAACCCTGCTGAGAGTTCATTGGACCGGGATATGGAGGCAGGTGAGGTGGATGGGATGCCTGCGAGGACGCGTTCGCCTATTGTGCAGTTCCAGGGTCCTGTTCTGTTGATTGTGAGTCCGGGCGATATGGTTCATCTCTGGAAGATCAAGTCTGCTATGGACGTTCAGGAACCTGGGCGAGATGGGCAGTCGTCATCACCAACACTACCCGTACCATCAGAGTCGACGAGGCGACCGGAGTTTTGGCAGACGTACCGTAGCTCAAGGAAGAGAACGGGCCCCTCGAGTATCAGCTGTCTGGCGCTGGATCGGTCATCGGCAGTAGGTGACTCTTTGACGACGGCAAGCTGGCAGAAGGTCATGGTCGGATATGACTCTGGTCATTTCTCCATCTTTGAGTACCTAATCCACCACCACCACCACCAAGACGACAAACCAAGCGAGCTCAGTCACAACAAGGAATCGGCGACAACTCTGCGGGAGATCGGAAATACGGCGGATCTACCAGCATGGAGCGATGTGGGCGGGATCCAGTCTGCATCGTTTTTGTATCCAATCTTGACCACCTGCTCCGACGACGGCACTATCTCAATCTACAAGATTCAAGAGGATCACTCGCACACGTTGGATCACCCTGATGAGCCACGGCATTGGTGTCGACTTTTGCATCGTCTTTATGGATCCTCGCCACTCTCGCCTGTAGAGATAGAGCTCCGGCCCATTGTTGCACAACAACCAACCACCTTTGAACAGGACGATTCCAAGGACAGGACGCGACTCTTGTGGCGAGCATTGATCACGTTTGGACTACAGCTAATGGATGGCTCATGGACGGTCAGGTTACAGGAGATTGAGTTTGACGAACAGTTTATTTGGCACTCGATCGAAACGGGCGTCGAGGATGAGTCTGACTTTGAGCGAGTGGCCTCATATCAGGAAGATGGCGGTGGTGGGGAAGAAAACGGGACATATCTGCGCTCTGGGATCCCTTCGTCATCCGCAGAGTCATTCAGCAACACGCTTTTGGACTCTGCAGGTTACGCACGGATCGGCACTATCTCTGCAATTACCATCTCGTCGCCCTATGTTGTCACCACCCACCCAGACAACACCATGAACGTCTTCCACATGGCCCGCCCATCTGTCAACAAAGCACACAAGCAAGCAGCAGGACGAGGAGGAGGTGGCGGAACTATATACCCAAAACCCATCCGATTCCGCCACCTCTCCACCCTGTACGGACACTGCGGCGCCGTGTCAAGCGTAGCAATCGAATCCCGGTCCGGCCGACTGGTGAGCGCAAGCATGGACCGGTCGATCAAAGTCTGGACAATGGTGGGTCGAAACCGGTATGACCAACTTGAGCAGCGACGAGTCCATCAATGTGCGCTTTCGATGAACGACTTGCCCCAGAGCTGGACTCTGGGTGCGCGGGTGAACAAGGAGGAAGGGTTGGGACTTGTCTGGGTCGGGACAGATGATGAAAAGATTGTCAGCATGAATAGCGATGGTACCGTCAAGGTGTGGTTGTTCTCGTAGACGCCTTCTTGCATTATTTTGAATATGTATTTTTTATGTTTTTTTTTGGCATCCTTTCTAAATGTCTAGTTCATGGTTTTTCTTTGTGAGAGACGATGATGGTATGTGAAGACGAGAACTGAAGAGATTTTGTGTTTGTCTCGCGTGGGTATCTCAATTCCTGGTGTTTCCGATCAAGTATCTAATGTGGTCCAATTGAAAGATAATCGTAAATTAGTGGAGAACAATTTGATCCGCAAGTTACATATATCACCCATTAGCAAAATACATCGAAGATACCTCGGGTAGGAGCCAAGGTGAATACACTTTTGTGTAAACTCATTCAAATTCTCCACCGCCCTTCTCACATTCTCCTCATTGCCCGGAGCACCCTCAATATCGATGTAAGTCGTGTACTCCCACGGACTGGCACTCGTAATGTTCCTCGAACTCGGCCTCGATTCCAGCTTTGTGATATTGATATCCCGGAGTGCAAAACAGGCGCAGACGCGATGAAGGGCACCGATTTGGTTCTTCATGACAAGGGCGAAGGAAGATTTGGGGGACATGTGTCGGTCGGGTTGGTGGACTGGGTGGCGGGAGATGAGCCAGTACCGAGTGATGTTGTTGGGGGTCGAGTCCTGACCTAGGATGGTGAGGCCGTGGAGTGTTGCTGCTCGTTTTCCAGCCAGTGCCGCGCTATTTTTTGTTTGTGGGAAAGGGAAGTGTGAGTTCCATGTACTTGTGGTAAACAATGGCCAAGATCCTCACCCATCACATTATAATCAGAGAAAACAAAGAAGAGTACTTACATCCCAAATTCATCACTGTTAGCAACTTGTTCAGCAGCAGTAGCAGTATTGCTAGCCAACACAGCCCTATACCCCTCGGGCAACGTAGCATCCAAGAAATCCTGACACTGTTCCAGGATCGCCGGGTGGGATTGGATCTCGACAATGTCCTTGAGGTCTGTGACGATATCCTCGCGTGCCATGATGTAGTGCGACTCACTGCAGGTGTACTCCCCCACGACCCAAAGACGGGGTTCCTGCTTTGCAAAGAGTTCAAGGACAGAGTGCAGGGTTCCTGAGAGTGAGTTCTCGATGGGAATCAGGCCGTGTCGTACTGTGCCGCGCTGGACACTTGCCAGTAGCTATGAGAGAGAAGAAAGGAAATGTGTGAGGATTTTCGATCATGGTATGGCCCTGATGATTGTGTAGGGCTCTCAAGCAAGAGCTGGAAAGTATCAATCACATGGAGGGAGAAGAAAGGGACGATGGATGACTCGCAAAGAAAAATATCGAACGGCTTTAACGTGTAATTGCTTTACCTCGGCCAGGGTATCGAATCCCTCAGTTGTGAAGGAATGGTTGGCGAAGCTGGGGTGGTTCGACGTCAATTCGAGGATGGCGTCCTCTGCATACGCACCGTTTGCGCCCTATTTGTGTTGACCGTTGTAAAGCAGGTGAAGGTTAGTGTCAGCTTGCTTTATGTATTGGAACAAGTGTGTGTGTGAGAGAGGGGGCACAGCTTACGTGAAAGCCGATTGTGTTCATGAGTGTGGTGATGAGAGAGAGAGAGGGGGGGGTAAGAAAGGAATGAGGGTGTTGAATGTAAATGAAAGGAAGGAAGGGAAGAGAGAGGTGAATGGTCAATGAAAAAAAAAGGAAGAAGAGGGTCTGACCCGTGTGAGTAACCAAGGAACAAAACTTTGTTTGTGACCCATAAGAAGAATCGATCCTGATTGGACGGGATATGCATCGATTGGATACAACGATGCACACAGCACCAAAAGCAAATGGGTGAGGAAGAAACGAAGGAAGGGAAGGAACGCGTTCTTCTCCTCCAGGGCCAAGGCTTCTCGAAAGAACCATCTTCTATCTATAACACGTACATAGACAAGAAGGCGCAGCTAGTGCAATTGGTGCGGTCTATTTTAAAAAAAGGCGAGACTCGACTCTCTCAGTGCCATGTTCCCCGGCAATGAAAGAACGCGGAGTGATGCGCCACCAATTTCTGATCACTGGCGCCCTTTATTAAACTCATCAGTCGCGTCAACTTTTATTATCTCCTTCCCTCTTTTCTTCCTTCCACCCGTCTTGCTTCCCTTCTCCCTTCTCCTTCCCTTTGCTTCCCTCCTCTCCTTCCTCTCCTTCCTCTCCTTTTACACCCATACCTACACCCACTTCTCTCCCCTCATCACCTCACCTTGATGTCTTCCACATCCTCCATCCTCACTCTCCCGGCAGTCGACGAGCCCCTTGAGCTAACAAAGACAGCCCCCATACTCGACCCCAAGATCCCCTTCTTCAAGTACCTCGACATGCTTACCACCATCTCTCAAAACGCCCTCTCCCTCCGTCAACAGGCCTACGAGATCTTCCTCGCCCTCAACCCCAGCTTCTCTTACGCTTCCTCTTTCTCTGCCTCTGCCTCGAGCCTTAGCATCCGCCAACAGCCCGTCAAGGTCAACAAAAAGATCGAAACCCTCTTGGAGTCGAGCATGATCCTTCTTCAACGCTACTATCTCATCGTCCATGTCTCGCTCCCGAAACTCCCTTCCTTCCGTCGACGCACTCACGGGAACTCTCTGAAGGCTTACGAGGTCAGGGCCGCCGGGTATCAGGTGGACTTGAAGCAGTACCAGGAGGAAGGCGGGTTGCTCTATTTGAAAGCCTGTTTTGTGCGAGCCAAGGCTGCCGAACGGGATCTGAACAAGCCTGTCGAGCCATCTTTTCAGGTTGCTGGTGGCGCTAGCGCTGGTGGTGCTGGTGGTGCTCCTTCTCCTTCACCTGACGGACAGATGGTTGCAAAGGCGCCTACTACTTGGGCAAAGTCTGTGCCTACCGCCAAATCCACCGACAAAAAGGACCCTGAACCATCCACCGGCTCGACTACGATTGCGACACTCCCTGTTGTTGTTATGGTGGAAACTCCACCTAAGACCAAGGACCATTCGAGTGTCCTAGTCGCCGTAGTCAAGCGTCCTCCCAAGACCAAGGACCCACCGAGTGTCCCTGTCCCTGACGTTGTTGTTGATGAACAGTCACCAAAAACCAAGGAACAACAAAGCGTCCTCACTGCCGTCGCCTCCATTTTTCCCTCATCCCCTCCTCCCAGCCGCCATTCCAGTCGTCGCAAGAAATCGGGCCCCGAGGCCCAGGTCAAGGTCGAGGTTGAAGTTGAGGTGACCTCTACAACAATAAATACTGCAGCAATTGCATCTGCACCCGCAACTGCAGGTGAGACAACATCGCAAGCACCATCCAAACCAGCGGCGCTGAATTCCACCTCCCTGTGGAAACTAGAGAGGGACCTTGAAAGACTCCAAAAGTCCGGAGCGACAATGAAAGACCAGTCTGCCCTCATTCGTACACGAGCACCCAAATCGACTGTAACTGCGATTCCAACGACAGCAGCTCCCTCCACACCTACCGCAACTCCGGCTCTTTTGACTGCAGCCGCTCTGGCTCAACTATCGATTGCAACCTCACCAACCGCTACCTCAACACCACTCCGCTCATATCTGCCAGCAGCCACCTCGCGGCCTTCACCAGCAGCTCCCTCCGCCTTAATTTCAACGCCAGTTCACCCGACACCGGCTACAGTTAACGAGCACCCCTCGACTGTTGTCATCCCTGAGAATACAACTACGGCGGAACAGCCCAAACGATCTGCCAAGGTCGACACTGTTGTTATTCCAGCAGTGACACTGACAACACCCACTCCTGCAGGGACACCTTCCACAACCCACAAACCTTCGACTACTCGAGTAACACTATCCTACAGCCCACCCAAGGAGGCGGCGAAATCCACAAACAAGCGCATTTCGCCAGCAACGGGGGCTATCAAGGGCAGCGGTGTTGTCCGCAACTTGATTCGTCAGTATGAGACCCCTTCGTCTGCGTCCTCAACCTCCAGTCAGTCTGACCGTCCGGATCTGCAAATGAACCGGAGAAAGAAGCCGACAACAACAACAGCTGTTACGACTTCTTTGACCACACCTGCAGGAGCACCAGCAATAGCGGCAAATGGTTTGAAAACAGGAAACCCCTCCACCTCCACCATCACTGTTGCTGCTTCGACAAAAACAGAAACAGGAACAACAACTACGAGAGGAGCGGGGGTGGGTACAGGTTTGCTTTCGCGTACGAGAAAGGATGCTTCGCCCGATTTGGGTGACAAACAGAGTAAGTTTTTTATGCTTCCACATTGGGCTCTTTTTTTTATTCAGCATTTGCACCATCTCAGTCTTTGTCATTTGTTTTTTTCTTGTGCACTTCTTCGCTCATGTGCAATTGAAAAAAAAGTTCTTTCATGTATAATCATTGTGCCTGCGGATGGATAGCAATTCTCTGTCATCTTTCCCGCGTTTGTTTGCTCAACTGTGCTATAAATATCAATGGCACTGACCTCCATAGTTCTTTCATCCTTATCATACCGTGACCATTTGGGCCTTGCGCCAGTTTCAGCCTCGGTTGTGAAGACTCGCCCCGTCCAGAACACCCCTACCAGGAACAGGGGCTCCATCCGTGCCGAAAACAACAACAATGGACTCACTCAACCTATAGACCCACCAGTCCCCAACACCTCGGCCTCGAGTGCCTCGCATTCTTTGTCCAAGGCTCAGTCGGCCATCACAAAGTCGGCCCTGATCCTTGAGACACACCAAACGACTCACACGCAGGGCCAATCGCGAGATCAGGCCTCCAAGCCCAGGACTGCTGCCGAGGCTGTCAAAGATTCGTACCTGCACAGGTCTCAGACCAATGTTGGCGCTGACAAACAATCGTCGTTGCAAGTGCCAGCACAAGGACAGCAGAGTCGAATCAGACCTACATTCAACGACAACGACCTTTGGAATAACCAATCCCCACCTCTCAGCCAGGCACGAATGGTGTCCAGCAGCTCAGCCAACACTGCGATTGCGACAATTTTCCGCGCCGGAGCTGAGAGTAAGCCAGTCGTTGCTTTGGGGGATCCTTCCTTTACTCCATCCAACCCTCCACTCGGGGCTCGCCCTGTTGCAGCCGTGATGTCAAAAGCCAACTTCAGCAACCGATCGAGCCCCATCTCAACGCCGTCCAAGGCCATGTCGTCTCAAGAATCCATCAAATCTTGGAGACGCGATGTCCCTGTTGCCGCCTCTGTCAGTCACCCTCCCAATATGTGTATTCAGGACGAGAATATTAGTACATCTGCGGGACCTAATACAAACCAACCCGCTGTCGACTGGTTGAGCGAGGCAGACTACGAGGACAACGATGAAGAGGATGATGGCCTGAGCCATGTCGACCTGATCCGCATCCCCACTATGAGCTCAGTTCGTTCCTCTGCTACTACCACCACATCTTTTTCGGCTTCGCATCCATTGGGCTCTGACCGGTTCAAGCCACGCCACCGACCCAGTCTCAGTAGCGCCTTGGTCCAGGAAAAGAAACAAGAGGAAACAACAAAGGAGGATGGCAAGGAGGTTAAGAGAAAACCGTCAAGATATGTCCCCGATACGGATGAGAGCGACACTGACACTGCCAACCTGCAGATTTTGGAAGTGCCCCCTACCCGAGATACACAAGCTTGGCATGAGATGCGGTCCCGTGTACTGGAACACGAACGAGAGGAAGAGGAGAGGCGCCGACTTGAAGAGGATGGTGGTGATGGCGGAGGGCCAGAGAATAATTATGGTGGATATTCTCAATTGGAGCCGCAGCCTCGACATGACAGCAAGTATTCGACCACACGAGCCAATACCAACCGTCAGCGACAGACTGCTACATCTTCGCAACCAAAGCTCAGTCACGCCCTCAAGTCCAGAGCTCCCTCGTTCACACAACCATTCAAACCCGAGCACCACCACCCATTCCAGCACTTGTCCATCAACAGCACCCACCAGCACGTCTCCCAGCATGGACCAAGATCCACGGGACATTACGCTTCAACCATTTCATCTACATCAACCCGTTCCATCCGCCAACCATCCCTCGCCCACTCAATTTCGCCCGCATCCTCAGCACTCATATCCCTCAGGGGCACACCCGCCCCAACAGTGGCCCCCTCCATCAAATCCTTCGCCACCGGATCAACTACGACCCTCGAACCCCCCAAATTTTACCCTCCTTCTTTCACCTCCTCCACTGTTGCCAATGCAGCTCCACGATCGCACTACCCGAATCAGGGCCAGACGGACGACGGCACGACTGATATGGCTATGCGCAATATCCGTGCGCGCGAGGCTAAGGTGTTGGGCTCGCTGGCCGAGCCTACCCTTGGCTCTCAGTTGCGACAGTTGAATGCTCAAAGCGCTGCTACCCTTGTCAGGAATAGATCGTACTATGGTCATCAACACCAACAAAGCCAACAACAGCACCAACAGCATCAACACCAGTAGCACCAACACTACTAGATGACAAATTGCTCAACCAAGAGTCCATAGGTCATTCAAGGAGAAAAATAAGCATATTTGAACAAACAATCATACTTTATTTGTTTTGTATTTTGAACCTGTTACTCCTTTCAGAACATTATCAAAGGAAGTGTCAGCTCTCCACAACGCGACACCTTCATGCAACACGTATGAAGCAAACCATCCATTCACTTGCAAAGCAGTAAAGCATCAAGGTGATACTTTTTTATTTCTTCCCTATTTTTCATGCTCGAGAAATGAAAAAGAACGCGGAGCAAAGGTGATCGACGACGATACCCCATCTCTCATCCATTTTTCCATCCATGGCACCAGATAAAAAGTACATGATATTCTTTATTTCATAGCCAATTAACGAAAGGGTTGGTGGTGTATGTGTGTGTTCCTGAATGCCGGATTGCTATCATCCTGAAGGTATTTTTTTTCTCTATGCAAAGTGTCGTGTCGCGTCGCATCCCAGTTTAAGCCTTTGAAGAGAACTAACTGCTCTTGCGCAAGAAGACGTATGCGCCAAGACCCACCAGCATCACACTTCCCGACATCAACACCGTCGAGGGCTATTATTCAAGCGAGCAGATAATAACAATTGAAAGTTGGTGTGTGAGCACACATATCTCTACATACCATCGATAACAAGGACGATCAAATTTGCGCACTCAAAAAAAAAAAAAAAAAAAAATAGCACAAGACGTTACCTGCTTGAGATGCTGTCCGTTCCTGTCAACGGGGAACATGAACCGTGCCCAGGCGAACTCGTACTTGGAGACATTGCCCTCCGAGGTCTTTGCCGAAGAGGCAGTCGTCACTGTCGTTATCGTCGTCGTGGCTGCATGTCCGTTCTGGTGATGGCTGTGCGCAGCAGAGGAGGCCAGAGTAGGTGTCAAAGAAGCCAACTCTTCCCGCTCCCGCGAAGCACGCTCCTGAATCTCCTTGAGCTCCTTGGCAATCTTTACAATTTCGTTCTTGGCCTCTGTCAGAGCCAAGCTAACGGCCGTCTTTTCTACTTGCAACTCCTGGATCTGTTTGGTCTGCTTCGCCACTGTCTCCTGCAAAGCCAACTCCTTTTCCAATGCAGAGGTGTCAACGACGGGCACATGAGCTACAACAGGTTCTGGCTCAACGGGAGCAGGAGCAGGGGCAGGTGTGGCAGCCTTCAGGGCAAGGGCAAGATCTTCCTGGAACTTGGCAGTCAAGGTCTCCTGGGCCTGAGCAGCCTCACGGACCAGACGGTCCATGGTATCCTTGTGGGCAGTCTCGAGGGCCGCAAAGTTGATTTCTTGCTCCTTGCGCATTGCCTCCAGGGCTTGTTGGTGCTCATTGATCAGCTCGTTCATGCTGTCCTTGGCCATATCACGTTCCAGACGGACCTTGCTCAACTCGGCAATGCTCTGGGCGATATCCCGTCTCAGAATCTCGTCCTCGGCTACCAATGGCTCCAGCAGTTGTGTCTTTTGAATATATGCGTCCAGCTCTGCCTGTGTCTCTTCCAACGACTTGTTCAACTTTGCAAGCTCTTCCTTGTGCGCCTATCATAGTCAAATTGTAGTAATAGGGAACAATGTGAGATGCTTGTCTTTTAAAGAAATTCTTGTCCATGATAATTCTTGCGCGATGACAAAGTAAAGAAAAAGTACCTGGGTATGTTCCTCCAATTGCTTCTGATAGTTAGCGGCGGCGGCAGTATCCTGGACAGGGGTGGCTTCTGGGCTCTTGGGGCTAGGGATGGATCCATCCTCCTTTGTCGAGACAACAATAGACTTTTCAAGGTCTCCCAATCCTTGCTTCAGGATTCCAAGGTTGGCATTCGCCTCCTGGGACCGTGTCAATTCACCCTGGAGCCGAGAGATGATGAGATCAATGTTGGCGCTCTGACCGGCAGTAGCGGATGTTGTGGTTGGTGTAGTCTTGTATGAGCTTCCTGACCCTGGAGGAGAGCCGGTCTTGAGCTTTGCATGTGAACTATTGTGATGCAGCAAAGGGATGTTAGGTCGTTGTTCGCGCTGTGATTACGCGCCTGAAGATTATCTCTGCTGTACGAACTTGTAGGAATAAAGAGGGTTGCTTACTCTTGAGGAGATCCTCCGGGTGTGGGGTATGACATGCGCGAGATGTAAATCCTGCAGGCGACCTTCTCGTGGAGCACTGTTTGGATATGCAAAGAAATAAAGGCGTAATTAATAATGAATGTCAATGCGTGCGCTATGGTCACTTGTCACAAGGGCCAGGCAGTAAAATAGCAGCCCATGACCTCACCACCATATCACACTTCATTCCTCTTTCTCGCAACCCTTCTTCCGTTCCATGAGATGGTGTCCCGAAGATGGGCAAGGAAAGTGTTCTCGGCTTGGCTCTAATCCAAGTGTCCACTCCTCGAGCTTTGTTGTTCCTTATTAACTGTTGCGTATTTGTGACACAACCGAGAGTTAATGAGAGAGCCATCTCCTCTGTGAAGGTTCATGCCATTGTTCACGCCGTTGCTCACTGTGCATGTCGCATTGCACCATTTTGCCGAAAACCCGATAGCAAAAACATCCAGTGTATCCAATACGCCCTCGGCAGGTTTCAATGTCCTGATGCGCAACTCCGGCCAATGGAAGGAAAATAATATAATGGACATGCAATAAAAAGACTCACATGATCCGCCTTCGTCCATGATGTCGATACCAAACTCGAGGTTGTCGTTCTGGTTGAGGATGAAGGGTTCGCTCTCGACACTCTCGGCGGACAACCTCCTTCCGTTCAAGAATGTGCCATTGCTCGACTTGAGATCACGAATGTAGACCTAGGTTAAACCGTGAGGTAAGCAAATAAAACGACGCGTTAGTACTTAAGACGGGTGGAAGACCTAGACCACGTCTCCTTGACCATATGTTTCCTCTTCCTAATACCAGTCTACATCTTTGAACAAGTCTCGTTGACCATCTCTTTCCTCTCCCCTGTTCTCTTTGAATAAATCTACATCTTTGACCAAGTCTCATCGACTATCTCTTTCTTTCCCCTGACTATTTTCGTTCTTTTTGACCAGGTCTCATTGTCTTCTGTCTCTCCCCTGACACAAACATTGTTAACTTGAGGAAAATAACACCCGTATTGTTTCAACCCCCTTGAAAGGCAAAAAAAAAAAAAAAAAAAAAAAACCAAGGACAACACCCAGAGGACATATCCTCCATTTCCCGCCATCTTACCTTGCCAGAGTCAGACCAAACTTCGGCATGGACGCGAGAGAGGACCTTGGAATCAAAGTATCCGTTAGAAGGACTGGGTGCAGTACTGACACCAGTCTGACGACCAATCTTGATGCGCGTCTGGTCGGGGAGTTCAAAGGACTTCAGGGCAAACCCGCTGTTGACGGGTTCCAGGACCAGGATAGGGTGAGAAGGTGCTCCTGTTGTTGTGGAGGTGTTCATAGTTGCGATGGAAGAAGAGGAGGAGGAAGAGGAAGTGGTAGTGATTCTAGAGGGGAGGGGAGGGGAGGAGGATCGTGAGCCTGAGGAGGAGAGAGAAGAGCTGGAGGAGGAAGGGGTCAAGGAAGCGAGAGTGGTTGACGAGGCTGTGGCGGTGGAGAGGGTGGGTGCAGCGGAGGCGGAGGAGCCGTGTCTTTTTGGGAGGATGCCTTGGGATGTCTGGAGGAGGGAGTGGATCGGCTGGGTGATGGTCGATGTGGAGCTGACGGATGGGGCTAAGTGAGATTAAGAGGATGGATGAGAGCGGAGGACAAGGTGGTGATGGATGAGAAAAAGAGTTGGGCGCGCAGGTGGAGGTGAGTGAGGAGAGAGTGAGCAGTGCAGGCGGACAGTGCAGAGAGTGCAGGAGGATAAGGTGTTGAGGAAGTGAGAGATGGAAAAGGGCGTGTGATTAGTGGTGCAGCGTGAAAGAGAGATGATTATGCTATCAGGTAGTATGACTGGCTGACTCCGCCCTCGTACTGCAGCAGACATATGTGATGGATCTCTCCTCGGTGGTTAAGGAAAGGAAGGGCTCTCATCTCTTTCTCTCTCTCTCTCTCTCTCTCTCTCTCTCCTCTTTTTCTTGTTGTTGTTGTTGCGCCTGTTGTTGTTATGTTGTAAACTATGATAACTAGTCCAAACTGTCGACTCCAAAGAATTCGTTGTGTGTTTGTTCATATAAATGAAGAATAGATGTGTGCTGGTGGCACCAGACTCTCCTCGTCTTCATATAATTAGAACCAGGCAAACAAAAACAATCTGGACTCAACACATACACAAACGCACGCATACAGAAGGCAGTAAGTTGCCCTCAGCCCTTCTTCATTCATCCCCTGCCTCCGATCAATTGCGCATTAATGCAATCAATGCAACCACCAATGCAGCTCCCAATACTTACTTCGAGACTTGTTGCGGTAAGGGAACGAGGGGTAATACGTCGACGTATTGCTGCTCGACGGCACAAACGCCGAGGAGGAGGAGGAGGAGGAGGAGGATGTAGTACTACTTGTACTTGTGGAAGCTCCATTGGAGAGAACAGCGGTTGAGGATCCAGCGGTAGTAGCTGCGGCAGTGGTGGTCGAAGGCGAGGTCAACAGGCTGTTCAAACTCGAGATGCTCGAGATGCTGTTCATGCTGCTGCTACTTGCTCTGTTACGCGAAAGGGAGGGTCTCTTTGAGCTCGAGATCGTTGTTGCAGCGGTGGCTGTGGTGTCGGTTGAGATTGGAGCCACAGGGATGGCTTCCTCAGGAATCGTGGGGCTCTGACGGCGTATGGACATTTTCTCTTAGAAGAACAGTAATATGAATGGATGAAGGAATGGGCGGGTGGGAGAGAGATATGCGCGATGATGATTATGAACCGTTGGTTCTCTTTTTTGAGTTTTCTTGGTTCTGTATGGCTGTCGGGGTAGGTGAGGGAAATGAAAAGAATGAGGATGGGAAGGATGGGCGGGAAAAATAAAGTGAAGTGGAGATTGTAGGGTGTGCGTTAATATGAATATGAAAGAAAAAGAGTTTTTTATATTGCTTCTATGCAGGAAAGAAGAGACGAGTGAAGGAGAGAGGAGAGGGAGGGGGGAGGAGAGTGAAAGGGACGTAATATGAAGCAGAAGAGGAGAAAAAATAAAGAAGAGAAGAGAGAGAGAGAGAAGTGAAGAACGAATGAGAGATGAGAGAAGAAAAGAGAGATGATGAGTGAATGAGAGGGTGAGTGAGTGAGAGAGAGTGAGGGAGTGAGAGGGTGAAGGGTCTAGAAGGGGAGAGAGGGGCTGCGACGAGAGAGAAGTGAGAGCGTGCGAAATGACGGTGGTTCAGGGAAAGGGTAAGCAGAGGGCGAAGGAAGATATCATGCAATTGGGCAAAGGGGACTTAAGGATCGAGAGACAGGAGAGGAGGAAAAAGAGGTCATTGCTCGCTCACAGAGCACAAGAAGAAGGTAAGAGGTGAACAGGAGTAGGATGAGGACAAAGGGATGCAAGGGGGTCAAAGAGAGACACACAACACAGGTAGACAGACAAATAGGCGAAAAAAGGAGGCGGTTCGTGCTCGTTTAAGAAGGCTGCCAATAATATGAATTATAATAAATGCGAGGATGAACAAAGAGAAACAAAAGGGAAGAGAGGGAAAGCGGACCTGTTCAACGGCCATGTATCAATCAATGCCTTTGCCTCTCTTCCTTCTTGGATGCACCGTGTTCGATGTGTGTTAAAAGTGAAGGGAAGAAGTGTATGTGTTCAATTGACGAGGCAAGAGCAAAGGTTGTTTTGGTTCAGTTGACATCCATTAGCAATCAACAGAGTGACATAGCCATTGCTGGTTGTGGTGTGTGTTTGCACGCGATTACATGAACACGTACATCCACTATATCCAGGTACATATATACACGCTACTTATGAGATAGGGAGATTTGTAGGGTGAGCATCAACAAGAGAGAGAGAAGGGGGGAGGTGATCCTGACCAAGAGAATGGAGAGAGACAAATAAGCACTATCTTCTGTTGATCAGTGATCAATGATCAGTGATCGATTAGTCTCGTCTCCCAGGGGTTTATCCGCATCCCTGCCCCATGTGCAATTACAGAAAATAATAACTGTCGTTCCTTGACCTTTTTCAACCTCCCCCACATCTTTCTTCTTTTCTGCTGCATATGTTTTGTCCTGTCTTGTCCTGTGTTCCCAGGACCTTCCTCTGTCGGTAGAAGTCCAGGAAGATCAGGAAGACCAGGAATGACTAGGAGAAGCAATTGAGGAAGAGGGGAGGAGGGAGGGAGGCAACAAGGGCGCGCTTTCTTCCTACATACAGCAGTCGACTATTCGATATCTGTGGTGTGTATGCTATGATGAGCCTACATAACCTGACATGGACCATGGCACTATACTTTGACCCATTGTCCTCATTTGTATGCGATATGTGTACACCATATTTTGTGCACCATACTTGTCCTGCACACATCGTCATACGCTTCAACGATGTTCCGCCTGTTTGTTCGCTTCTGTCACAGCTACAGCTGAACATGTTCAGCACGCAGTTGTAAACCCTTTGTTCTCTCTCTTCTCCCTTCCCTTCTCCCTTTTCCCTTCGGACTAACGGACAATTCTTTTATTATCATTTTTCCACTCCTTCTCTTCTCTCCTTTTCAAGATCTTCCTCTCATCCACTCACCTCAACCCACCCCTACTTCATCCATCCATCCACACCCTCCTCCTTCACACTCACTCATCCTCCCTCCCCCAAACAACATTCTTCCTCACTAAACACAGAGCGCCAGCGCCCATCCATGGCCCGTGCCTCACCACCTCCTCTTCTCTCTACTCTCTCTCTCTGCCCTCTCCCTTCCTCTGACAACAACAACAGCTAGCACTCCTACACACACTCTCTCACTCTCCAACCTTTTCCCTTCAACCTCTCCAACAAACGGCATCAACAAAACAACAAACAAGCAAGCAAAGCAAAAGCAACAGATATAACCAACCATGCCGACAGCAGCAATGCGCCAGATCATCCTGATCGGCGTCATCTGCTTTGGGACAATAGGAATGTTCAACGCAATGTCCTCCATCGGCAACGCAGGCAAACACTCGTCCACCTCACAAAACCTCGCGATCACCTCATCCTCCATCGCATACATCGTCGGCTTCTTGGTCGCAGGAGGCGCCCACAATATGATCGGCCCCCGACTCTGTGTTGCCTTTGGCGGCTTTACCTTCTTTCTCTATGCCGGAGCCATGTATATGGCCAAGGACGACGACGGGTCGCTCTACCCACCCATTGCTGGCATCCTCCTCGGCCTCGGCGCTGGATGTATCTGGGTCACCCAGGGTGCGATGATGATGTCCTATCCGACAGAGGACAACAAGGGCAAGTACATTGCCTGCTTCTGGGCCATCTACAACCTGGGCGCCGTCCTTGGTTCCATCCTGCCTCTGACTGTTTTCCTCGCCTCAAAGGGCCCCGACCAGGACGACGTCGCGCCCGAGACCTATATCGTCTACATGGTCATCATGGGTCTGGCCACCCTTCTGGGCTTCTTCCTCTCTAAACCCTCTACAATTGTCCGGGACAATGGCGACCCTGTGGTAGTAGCCAAGTTTGAGGGCCTCAAGGCCGAGACGCTAGCTATCCTGTCCGTCTTTTGCGACTGGCGGATGCTCCTCCTTATCCCGGCCTTCTTCTTCTCCAACTTTTCTTACACCTACCAGTTTAACGACTTTAATGGATACCCCTTCAACATTGGTGCTCGTTCGCTCAACTCGGCCATCTTTTGGATCGCACAGATCATCGGCGCCATCGTCATCGGCTACATGCTCGACGGAATTCCTGTCAAGCGACCCCGTCGAGCCATCATTGGCCTCTGTTTCATTGGAGTCCTCTTCATGGCGACCTGGTTCGCAGCGCTCATGATGCAGATCCAGCACCAATGGGACCGCAAGCCCTCCGCCGGGAAAGGGAATCAGGGTCTCATCGGCTTCAACAAAAGCGAAAAGTACACAGGACTGGTCGTCATCTACGGGATGTTTGGCTTCTGCGACGCTGCCTTTGCCGTTTACTGCTACTGGCTGATGGGAGCCCTCTCCAATAAGCATGATGAACTGTCCCGGTACGCAGGCTTCTTCAAATCCATCCAATCGCTCGGAGGCGCCGTCGCCGCGCCCCTCGACCTGGCCCGGACCCCCTTGATGGCCTATCTGATCACCAACTGGGTCCTCTGTGCCCTCTCCATCGCCGCCATGTTCCTCGTATCCAGGACCATCACCGACACCACCGTCGAGGACGGCGAGGACGGCGAGTATCGGGAGGAAGAGTACGATTACGACGACACCACCGGATCTTTTATTACCGATGACCGGTCCTCGCATCATCATCACCATCACGATCGGGAAGAGCAGCACGAGATGTCTTCGACCACCAATGTAGCAGGACAAGCGGCAGGAGCTGCAATTGCTGCTGCTGCTGCCGCTGCTGCTGCTTCAGGAGCACAGGACTTGCAATCTGGAGATTTGGCAATGCGTTCTTCAGAGGGAACACTCTATGCAGTCAGCGACAATGACAAGCGGATATCAAACTTTCAGTCCAGTGGTCACCCTTCATCTTCATGGCGGTCAAGCAGCAGAGCGTCAGGTTTACAGGATGGAGGAGGATACCCAGACCAGGAACTCCGGCATCTAGGAGGAAGCAACGGCCATAATGGCAGTCATGGGGGCGTCTTGAGCAACGGTCATTCAGGACTGGGCAGCGACTTGTCGTATTCTTCTGCGGTCGATCGGATGGCGATTCCCTCTCGGACATACCAGACGACGGCGTTTCATCATAACCCTACGGCAATGGGTGACCCTTATATCTCACCTGCACTACAATACTCGTCACCGCCCATGTCGGAGGTACAGCAGCAGCGGCAGCAGGGTGCTCGGACGCTGTGGGTCGAGCAACCATACCCTGGAGGAGCAGGAGCAGGAACAGGAGCAGAAGGAATATCGAGGTCAACATCAATCCATTCGCTCTACCCAGGATTCCAGCCATCATCATCATCACCCTTGGAATCTTCTGATGCCCCACTGGCATCCAGTTCATCGTACTCTCCCGGACCCCTCCCACCGTCCTCATGGAGCCCACATTCACACAACAACCCAACTTTGGCTTACTCCTATGGAGCGCCGTCGTCACCAGTACCACCAACAGCGATGGCGACAGGGTCAGGGTCAGGGTCGTCAGGACAGAGAATGTTTATTCCACCAACATTCATGATCTCGGACGAGTCTTCGCCCTCTATTCCATTGTACACCTTCCACCCCGGATCCAACTTCCAGAACGGCTCCGATATGTACCTACCAGTAGAGCTCCCTCATCTCGGCGCCCATACTCCACCTCCACCGGCACCAGGAGTACCAGTTGGAGGAGATACAGGAGCAGGGGCGGGAGTCGGACCCATTGGAGGCGGAGGATACTTACAACCGTTCGTACCTTTCGACCCAATGCTGGGACAACAGCAACAACTCCATCGAGCCGCAGGCAGTGCAACGAGCTCGACGAGTCGATACGACGACGACCAAGAAATGGATTCCATCGACACCCATTCGATCTCGTCCTCTATGTCCTCGGGCCACGACTCTATATTTGATGTGACCGAAATGTCGGACACCCTCTCTCGCCACGCCCACGACTCCGACGAAGATTAATCTCATTTTAGCATCTTTATTTTCCTTTTTTTTGTTTCTTGTTTTGTTGACTCCTTTTACTTATTTCGCGGATATCTCAAATATTTACCTTTCGCCCCCATCTTAATCACCCACACTTGCCACCACTACTTCTTACTCACATTCAACCCAACTGTACAATACACTTCTAAAATAAATAAAAAAATACACTGCTGAGAATCCTCCCTCCTACATCGTCGCGCTCCTTTTCCACCTAGCTACAACAACATGTCATCAAACCCATCATCCCAGGACACCATGTCGTTGTAACACCTTTTCTGCAATATATTGGAGAAGACTTAACCCTAGACAGACTTGAGTCCAGACCGCTCACGAAAGTCATCATAAAACCTCACCATCTCTGGCGTAATCCTCCTCACCATGACCCTCAAAGCCTGCTCAAAATGCCTCTTCCCCACCGCCCTAATCTCCAAAGACTCCTCCATAGCCTTCATAGCAGCCTCCCTACAAAGCGCAACCACCTCAGCACCCGAACACCCCTCCGTCTCCCTCGCCAGCACCTCGACATCCACATCCTCCTCACACGCCATCTTCTTCCCAGAAATCTGTAATCTCAGAATTTCTCGTCTCGACTCAAAATCCGGCGGGGATACATAAAGGATTCGATCGATTCTGCCGGGACGGAGGAGGGCCGGGTCCATGATATCGGGCCGGTTTGTGGCGGCGACAACGGTTACGTTGACGAGGGGCTCGATTCCGTCGAGTTCGTTGAGGAGTTGGGAGAGGACTCTGTCTGCGACGGATGATCCGCCGTCATCCGATCCTCCTCTCTTTACCGTCAACGCGTCAATTTCGTCCTGTGTTTATCGCATATTTTTTGGTTGGTTAGAGGGCGAGGGAGGAATGTTAGTGTTGAACGTCGAGTATGGTCGTACGACACTGTCACTGGTTGGACTGGGAAAAAAAGTATAACAATTAAATGGAGGTACTTACAAAGAAGACGATGGAGGGTGAAGCGGCGCGTGCCTTCCTGAACACTTCTCGTACAGCCTTTTCCGATTCTCCAACCCACTTGCTGAACAACTGTACGACAAAAAAAATCGAGTTAGAAGATCAGCTTGAGTTGCTCACAACAGTAAAAAAATAAATATCATTCAGGATAGAAAGAACAACATGCAGAAGAGTTACCTCGGGTCCCTTGACGGCAATAAAGTTGAGTCCTGCCTGAGTGGCCAAAGCCTTGGCCATAAGTGTCTTACTGCATCCTGGGGGTCCGTACAACAGGATTCCCTTTGGAGGACGAATTCCCATCCTAATAAACGCCTCTGGGTGCTATCATATCCATGTCACAACAAAAATACACAAACTATTAGCAAAATCGCCGACAAACCGAATTACAGAGCAATGAAAACAGCGCAAAAAGTACCTGGAGGGGCCATTCGACGGATTCTTTGAGTTTCTGCTTGATCTCCTCCTGTCCACCAATATCGGACCAAAGGACCTTGGGCACTTCAATCATAATCTCGCGCATCGCGCTCGGTTTCACATCCGTCATCGCTAACCGCATATCCTCCGCCGACACCATCAACTCCTCCTCTTTTTCCTCTACACTCGCAACCTTACCAGTCCCCGCCGCCGTTGTAGAATCAGACACAGCCATGGCGCGGAACTGTGCCTGCAAATCCAACGTCCCCTCCTCGCCAGACTTGACCTCCTTACTCATCACCCGATGAATAGTCTTCAACCCAGCTTCGCGACAAACAGCCGCCAGATCGGCACCCACATACCCATGAGAAATAGAAGCCAAATGCTCAACTTCGGCAGTCGTCAGACGATTAGGTATCCGCTTCAACAGCGCGACCAAAATCTCGGCACGGGCTTTAGCGTCTGGGATTCCAATCTCAATCTCGCGGTCGAATCGGCCAGGTCGACGGAGTGCTTCGTCCAGAGCGTTGGGTCGATTGGTAGCGCCCATGACGACTATCCGTGGTGGTTTCTTTGTTGTTTCTTCTGCTGATGTGTTGTTGGGGTCGTCCTCGTTGGGATTAGTGGTTCCTGATTTTGCGGGTATCCTCTTGTCCGATGCGCCGTCCATTAATGTCAACAGTGTCGCCACCACACGTTTCTCCATCTCGCTCGCCGCCTATGTGCACATTAAGAATAACCATCAGCCTATGAACACGATCATTCTTTAAAAAACGGCGTTTCATTGTGCTGTAGTGATCTTACCTCGTCACGTTTTGGACAGAGGGCGTCGATCTCGTCGATAAAGATGATCGATGGTGATCTCTCAGCAGCCAGCTCGAAAATAGTCCTCAGCTATAAATGATACGCAAAACATTCAATACGTTAGAACCTCCAAACTACGCGTATGTGTGCTAATTTTGCATAGGTAAAAAGATACCGGGGGACTGCAAGGAGATGAAAAAGTAGTACCTTGGCCTCGGTTTCTCCGTAAAACTTGCTGATGATCTCAGGCCCATTGATAACGGTCAAAAAAGCACCCGTGGCTGCTGCAACTGTCCGTGCGATCAATGTCTTTCCTGTCCCTGGAGGGCCGTAAAGAAGAACACCTTTTGGCGGCCGCAGACCTAAATTCATGGTCAATTAAATAAGGGGCATATAATTAGCATACAGTTCTTAGATAGAACATGCCACTAAGGATTGCCTGAGCATTAATTGGCGACAGGCAATGGCAACGTACCAAACTGGGTAAAGACATCTGGGTTATGCAATGGAATCTCAACCATCTCACGGACAGTCTTGACCTGGGCCGAGAGCCCACCGATCTGTTCATAATGCCCCTGACTATCGCCATTGTTCTCCTCTTTATCAACATTCATATCCTGCTTCAGAACAGACTTGAACGTTGGTGGTGTGAAGGGTAAGATCTTGACGACTGTATCCTGGCCGATGGCGAAGATCGACCTGTTGTTCTGTTCCCTGCGATCCAGCAACACTCCTGTGACCCTGAGTCTCTGCGGCTTGCCATTGTATGGGAACTCGATGTAATTGTCCTTCAACACAAACTTGATCTCAACTATCAGTGTCAGTCATAAAACAACAAATTGGTCAGTTCTTCATGCAATTCCAGTGTAAGCAATACCTATACCGCGAAAGTCATTCGCAAAAGTCACAAGGAATACGGTACGCATGATCTCCTTGGTGAAAAGGCTGAACATGACGTTGGAGACAAAGGGGATGGCGTGCATGGCTGTGAGGGTGATCCGAGAGGCCTCGTGGATCGCGTCTTCCAGAAGTGTAATCTTGACTGGCTCTCCGACCGCGACGTTGGCGTTTAGTCGGGATACACTACTCAATTGAATATCTACGAGGATTTCGGGTGTAAAAAAAAGTAAGGAGGTTGTCAATTTTTTTCCGTGTACTTGTTCCTATAATTTCGTGTTCGTTTGAACAGCGAAGACTGGGTTGTTGAAGTATCCCGTGTATCACGCACGGTTCTCTGCGACAGTGAGTGATGGCCATGCAATGGCTACAGATCCCTATAGCAATACGAGCAATTGAAAAAAAGAGAAAACCTGTCAGCTTGAAGTGAGCACGAGGAACACGCTTCCCCAAGTGTCGAAAGAAAGTACTCCAGAACGTTCTATAGCCCCAACAGCCGAACGTACAGGCGAATGTTCAGCTCCTTCCTGTGGTTCCTGTGGCACCCCCTCCTGAGCCTGAATGAGGACATGGTCGCCGGCAGCCAGACGCAGCTGTCGCATGGTGTCGACATTGAGAAAGGCTCGTCTCACGGCACGGACATTCCTGGCTGAGGGAGATTGCTGAGCGAGGAGGTGCATTTCGTCGTCCTTGGGAATGTGTTTTTTTTTCTTGGGTTCCTCTGTGTTGTTGTGTCCAGTGAGTGGTAGAGGGAAGGAGTTGAGGCTGTCGTAGAGTTGACTTGGAGGTTGAACGTGGTTGAGGTGTCTGAAGAAAAGGAAAGCGCTCTTTGCCGCGAACAAAAAAAAAAAGATTTTGTTGTTCACGCCAGAGTGACTGCTTTGATCAAGTAGCGTGCGGCCAATTGGCTTGCCAGGAACAATAACGCGTTGGCGTAGTAAAAAATGGTGAGCGCGTTTCATACAAGTGCAGAAGTGGGTAGAATTGTTTGTCTTCACCTTTTCTTTTCCGCTCCTCTCCTTCCGCTTCTTCTAATTAACCACACATCACACTCTACTCAACCAACACTCATCTCGCCTCACTCGTCTCCTCCCACACCTATAATCTCTTCTTCTTCCTCATCGGCTCAAATAAGGTACAGCGGCAGCGCACCTTTGCAGAACATCAGGAAACAGGACAAGCCAACAAGAACAAAGGAACATCCAAACAAAGTAACATACCCTTGTTGTTCCATAAAGTCACTCAAAAGACCGGAATCAGCATTCAGCATAGTGCTACCCATCGTCAAATCCCTGGACTTTTCACATTTTGACCCAACAGCATTACCCACTGCTCTCGTAATGACTTCTCACAAGGATGAAACGTCAGCTAGAACCAAACGATTCAGTCATCAAACAACTCTAAACGAGCTATGTGAACTAACCTACTCTTGCGCGTCCTATTTATCTTCTCTAGCGTCTCAGTAACCCAACACGCTTCGCGGAAAGTTCTTGTCCCAGTGAGGGGGTAAGAAGTGACGACCTAGGATTCTCTGTGTCTTCTCATTCCGTCCATCTTGTTGAAGAGTTGAGCTTAATTTTTGCCACCATTTTCAAAAAATGACTAACCAGATGTGTGTTATGTTCCAAACAATACTTAGGATCCAAGATGAAGGGGTTGCATTTAATGACGCGACTTTGTGGGTGGACAACCCAGCGATCACTCCAGAGAAACAAGGATATGCCGTTCATATGTACTCCCGCCATGGCGCCGACATTCACAAGGTCAAGGTCCAAATCGCGAACAACTCATGCCGAAGCGCAGAAATGCGCTACTCTACCCATTTCTCAGAGAAATCGACAGCGGGGTCATTCAAGCAGGAGCTGCATTCTCAATCGAGGGCTTCTATGGCCACAGAGCCTTCCTCGGAGCCGTAGGTGTCGGGGAGGCGGTTGAATTGTGGCATTGAGGGCTGAATGAGATCCTGCAAATAACCGTTTGCCAGATCTCGTATTAATGTCGGCGGTAGTCTATGTAAGTTCGACAGAAGATACGCATACTGCGTACGTGCTTTTCGGAGGTGTTTCAACATGTGGACTGAATGCGAACACCTTTATGTCTCTCCCAACGCATATGTATGTGAATTCTTTTCTTGATGAACAGAACAACTCCAAAACAACAGCAGCAGCTGGCCGACGCCAATCTCCACCCCAGCGAGCTCGTCATAGTCGAGTCAAGGATCGCGACCTTTGGCACAGGGCCTGTCGGGGTTTTCTATGTCTTCCACTGCGACGCCAGGACTAACGCCTCGGTCATCACATATACCCCGGGGGTCACAGCAACAGCCATCTGGGTCATCATCCACAGGATGCCGACCGGTGGGACAACCACCATCTTCTGGACAAAACGCGCGATCATCCATTTAGCGTCAAGGATCGTCATCCACGCGGCGGCGGCCAGGACCCCCCCCCGCCTCCAATTGGAACTGCAACCGTATTCGAGGCAGCAACGCACACATGGGGTATCAAGATCACCGCGCCCGTCCCGTCGAGTCGACTCTACATTTCGACATGGCAGCAAGCCATTCCTCAGGAGCAAATGTGAGATCATCCGTGGTCCGATCAAGCAGTGTGCAAGCTGTGCCTATGACGCCAACCAGTGTCCCTCAGCAAGCATCTCGCAGAGCAGCATCAGGGGGAGTCGGATCCCACGCAGCACCCAAGGCGATTTCCTCAAGCTCAAGAAGCAATCGATCAGATAGAGAACCTCAAGTCGGCGATGGACATACTGTAACGACTGGTCATTGTCGTCCTATTATACTGGAGGAGAGCTCTGGGCCGTCCCCACTTCCGTTCATTGATGCTGCCTCGAGACCGCAAGAGTCGCTTCTAGAGGAGTGCTGGACTGGCCAAGAACAGTCCTATGAACACGAACACATTGGCCAAGGAGGCGGCTCGGATGTCGGCCGACTTTGGGGAGGCAACCCAACACAGGCGCCGGTTAACGAGACCCAGGAAGGTGGCGGATTCGGCGGGATGCTAGATTAATGCTGTTTCTGTATTTGTGCACTTATATTTTTTGAGCTACAAAGAAGTGTGCCAGCCCAGCTTTGCTTTTATGTTCACATTCTAGCATTTTGACTCTGTGTATTTCGTCATTGACCCAACCTGTCCACCAAATAGACTTTTCCCTGTCTCCATCTCTATCTCTCTGCATCGCTCCTAACGAAACCCGTGTGCCATCATGGAGCCTTGTTTGGTATCGCTGTGCTTTCGCCGGTGGGTGTTGGAAACAACGTAGCCTTCCTTGTTTCTCCAAAAAACAGTTGCATCTTTATTCACAAATAACCTAATTTTTCTAGGATGATACGTCGACAGGATACCCAGGGATTTGGTGTCCAAAGTGATGCTTGAGGTGATTGTTTCAACGCCCATTGATGATAGCGTTGGTCGCTGATCGGTTTCCGTGATTGACGACTGGACTGAGAATCTGGGCTTCGTCCACGACTAGCCGCAATCTGGTCTTACTTGAGAAGTTAGGGTAGGCGTGGGGGGCAAGAGTCCCCCGTACTGAGAGGAACTAATCTTGGACAATGGGCCTCAAAACTGATTCGAAGATCGTAGGCCCTTCCAGCCGGTTATAGAGTATCGAGAATAGTTTCGAAAATACGTTCTGGAACATGTGGCGACAAACTCGGAGTACGCCCAACTCGCGCTCGAAAACATCTGAGGTAGAATCCCCTTTGAAGGCAAGAGCTGCTCTATCACTGAGCGATTTTTCCCACATCCAGTCACTAGAGACATAAAGAAGTAAGTTATTGTGCCTTTCAACCAAAACGAGTAAAAAAAATTAACCACTAATCCAGTTGCGAGCGGGGTTTGCATGGACGTGGAACAATAGCTGGCTAATTGAGGTTTAGTGGCCAAAACAAAACATTTTATGTGAAATGCACAATAGTTCATGGAGTCGTTAAATGCAGGCGAATATTATGGTGCATTGTAGAGAGGAACAAACCCCCGAACACGGGCAGGTCCTGTGATTGCATCTTTCTAGCACTTCCAATAAGACGTTCGATCTGAACCTCTCCGGAGGAGGAGCTTCGACACTTGATGGAGGGAAAGGTAGATCCATAAAGAGAAGATTCGGCCGTGATTCAAGATCTTTGATAGCGCCGCACCGTACGACCTTCGGTAGCCCCCGAATACCAGTTGTAGTGAGTGGCAAAGAAAATTCTCCTTGCACGTAGCTGTCGAGAAAGTCGGCATGTTTTGATCCTGTTGCGAAACACCTTGTCTGTAATATTCTTGATGGCATCTCTGAGATCGCCTGAAAAGCATAAAAGTAGACTATTAGGCCTTTCAGCATTAACTCGACCCCCTCCCCCCCCACACACACACACCTTCCACAATAATAACAACAGCAACAGCACTATGATACTTACCACTCAGCGGAGTACCAGCACGGGATTCATCCGAGAAGGGTGTGGAGCTACGAGCACGGACTGGGACTGGGACCGCAAGAGGCGCATGGGCTATGTTAGTGCATTTGGTCGAGTACATTGGGTTAGCACACAAACAAAAGGTAAGCGCCTGTGTAAAGTGTCAATGAAAGCAAGACGCGCCTGCATTACCTGACGGGGGTCGCTGGACGGTGATATGGATCGTTTTCTTGGGCGACTGGTCTTCAAACACGCTTGTCACCCAAAGTTTCTTCTCCGGCTGTTCGTCGTCGTCCTCGCATCAGGAATGGAGACGCGCCAGAGGGTGAGGTCCTTGGCATCAACTCTGTTGAACGTGTCAGGAATCTCAGCTTTGATAACTTTCTTGAGGCCATCGACTGTCTTGGGGTTAATCTCGACAGACAAGGCCTGAGATGTCGCCTCGGTCATGGTGTTGCGAAGCATCAAAGACACGAAAGATGGGAGAGTGAGACAGGTTAGACCATGGCACAGATCCATCCGTTCACCACGCTGGGCCAAAAGAAAGCCAGCCGATCTTTGACAAAAGAATCCATTCATCTCTTCACAGAATTCACCACATGTATCTAACAGCCTGGCAACACGATTGCCGATTAGGGCATGTCGTGCCTCCAAACTGAAAGCTACCCTGCTGCGGCCACCTCCCCGGTTGGCGTGGCACATATTCATCCGTTAACCACGCTGGACCTAAAGGAGGCAGGCCTAACATGACAAGACTTCCATGTAGCATGGCGGTGACTTTCCTTCGTCAACCACGCTGGACCAAAGGAGGTCATGCCAATCTTGATAAAAGTTCTTTTCCTGAAATTCACTACATGGATCTAACTGCCTGGCAACACGATTGCCGATTAGGGCATGTCGTGCCTCCAAACTGAAAGCTATCCTGCTGCGGCCACCTCCCCGGTCGGCGTGGCACAGAATCATCCGTTAACCATGCTGGACCTAAAGGAGGCCACGCCTAACATAACAGGACTTCCAAGCAGCAAGGGATATTCACGAGCAGCTTACCTGGGCAATGCTTCACACCAGTTTAGCAACAGCAACAGTTTTATGAGCAAAATACGGAGTATTTCCGTCGGAAGGCAACAACCACTATGAACGAGGTGAACTAGTCGCTATTCTCTCGCTTGGTGGGGTGTCAGACGAAGGACTGCCATAAGCGCTCCTGTTCACAATCTCAACCTTCATCAACTGGTACAAGGCAAGAACATAGCTAAAGACTTTCTCACAGTCCTTTTCCACGTCTTCCTTCTTGGTCTGCTTCAAGTCAAGAACGCCTGGGATGTCCTTCACTCGAAACGACAAGACGTCGCCCTCGTCCAATGTACATTCCACAAGTGTCCACTTGAATGAGTCCGTCACAATCCCATACGACTTGAAGCGAGCTGGTATTCTCTCTCCGCTGTCCTCGTCCACTTCGTCAATTCGTTTTCGTTTCTTTTGTTGCACGGCCACATCGAGTTCCGCCATATTTTGAGCTAGGCCTTGCGCATAATCCTCCTTCTTCACTTCCGTGACACCAAGAACTTGCGACTGATGTACTCGGTCGACAACAGCAAAGTCGACGGCCCCGTGACCACGCATACCGCTCATTGGCCGTTGTTGTGCCAGGAACATCTCGGAACCGTAGGATTGTATGGCTCCAACCATGAATGTATCGACAACCGATGACTTTGTTGCCTCGCTTGCCCCCGGACCAAGCAGGTACGCCTTGTTCTTGAAAACACAGTCCTCAACGATGTGCTTCAATACCGTTTTCTCGTCTTCCAGCAATGACCTCGGTTGAATATCGAACGCTGGCATGAGTTCGAACTCTCGGACTCCATACTGGCTCTGTGCATCCTTCCAGGTGTACGACGAGAACTTCTTGGCCGGGCTATCCAAAGATATGGTGAAGTTCTTGTGGCCATTGTCCTTGGCTATTTTCAAACAAGAGCGGAGCACGTCGTCGTGGCTAACCAAAACAGGTTTTGCACACCCAGGTTGATACAAATAAATTTGTACGTAGTCGTCTCCATCAAACTGCTCGAAATGCGGCCGAAGGAGTTGTCGCAGTTCCTCAAGAGTTGCTGTCATTGTGTCAGCCGCGTATTGGCAAACTTTCCTGTTTCCTCCACTTCTTTTGTCCATGATTGCCATTGCTACCGAAAAAAGACAAATAAAATTAGCTTGCTGTTTTCAAGAGCTTCGTAATTCAGCTCGCCGGGACCATTCTCACTTACAAATGGAAGTGCTTCTCAGGTCCACATTGAGCTGTTCCATCTCGGACAACTGTTTGCGTAATGCAGCGACCTCGGGATGAAGGTCGAGTGTGTGCGGCGTGCTTGCAGCTAGTTGAATAGAAACAGAGTGATTAGTAAGCGTGCACGGACCATGAACCAGAAGGCAGAGGTATTTTTCTTAGAGAGCTACTCTGCCTTCTGGTTCCGGGTAAACTCGAGTGGCGACCATCCGGCTAAACATGAGCATACCTTGGGGTCGCTCCACAACGATGTGAATCGTGTCCTCAGGCAGCTCAGCGTCAAAGACCTTGGAGAGCTTGGTGGTTGCCTTGAGTTTCTTCTTTTCAGACACAGAGTCGAGCAGAATAGGAAGGTCGTCGTCATCGTCAGGAATGGAGACGCGCCAGAGCACCAGGTCCTTGGCGTCGATGTGCTCAAAGGCGCCTGGGTTCTCTGCTACGATGGCTTTCTTGAGTGCGCCAACTGTCTTATCCGACGATGCTTCGACAGGGAATGCTGTTGATACTAGCTCGCCGCTGATGAGACAGAAGAGTGTGAGTGTGTTTGTCCCCATGGCTGTGTGTGTGTGAATGGAGATGTGGTGCGCTTATGAAAGTGGTGTGTCTGTGTGTGTGAGTGTGTGTGCGAAGATGTCCGCTCCTTTTGTTGATGGTTCTGTTGATGGTGACGCGCACAGGAAGACAGTCACAGCCATGTGGCCAAAACAGCACTGCCACACAATTGAGTGAACCTAGTTCGTGGGGTCAAGCGGCTTAGTTGGCGGAGGAAGACAAATTTCATACGTACTTTTTTCAGTGGGCCAATCAAATTCGTTCACTGCATAGGCGAGTATAGTCGTGTTGGATGGAAGCCAGAATGGGTCGTCTAATCGCTTTGCAACTAGAAAAGTGCCATAGGGCGACGTTTCTCGCTGGTGCCTACTAATGCTTAATTGTTAACGTACCTCTTGCGGATACGCTTATGTAGTTTTTAAAAGAAAATAATATTTCTTGAGTTCAAAATCATCAAAATATGGTGTAGAGACGCGTGACAATGTCGCCTAGTCAATGATGAAAAATCAATGTAGTCGTTTTTCACACTTTTGTTTTTTCGACATTGAAAACGTTGTTTTTGACACTTGTCCATTAATATGAATCTATAGAATTTGATCTCAGAAATACGTCGGTACAGTTTTTATTGAGATTGGTTGAGAATTGGCTGAGTAAACGAAGAAAGACTATCTCCAACATTCTCCAAAAGTGTCCTATATGAGCCATCCTCCTTCAATATGTATTTGTTTTAATTGTTTTCTCTACCTAAGTGATAGCTATGGGTTACAAGTGTTAACATGAAAGAAGAGTGAGTGCGTTTTGGAATGGGAGTCTATAATGGAAGAAGAGAAGAGTGAAAAAGAACCAAGGGGTAAGGAGAAAAAGAATAGAGCGATAGAGATAGATGAATAAACATGTATATATAGAGAGAGAATCTTTATTTCAGATTGTGTGCTATTTTGCTATGTCTGCGTTTGTCGTTGCTTGCTGTTGTCCTTCTTTTCAGGAAGACAACATCCATGGTCAACCAATTGTTTAAGGAGACGAATAGTTTCCTCGTTCACAATTGAGACCCGAGAATAACGAGAGAAGGACTCCACTAGAGCACGAACATCATCGTGCATACGATTTTGTTCACGCTCTTCTTCAGGCGTCTCGTCTCTCTTGATATCCTCCTGCTTGAAGTCTATGGCGGTCGTGGGGACGGTAAGGGTTCTTGAAACATAGAAATTGTTGTTGAGCGGAAGGCGAAGATTGCCAGGGAACTTGCGGATAGCCATAAGGATGTGCTTGCAGAGACGACGGTACCGGAGAAAGTACTCGCAGGAGCAACTGTTGATCAAACCATCAGTTAGCGACAAGCTGTAATAAATGGCTGGAAAGGTGATCGACTCGACAATGTAACGACCGTCAAGAAAAAGGACATGCTTCTGGATGGTCTCCTCTGTCATAGCCTGGACATCTCGTTGGCGCAGAATGTCGAGAACCTCGCCTTTCGTCCTACGGCCAACACGGATGATTGCTCCGAACTCTTCCTTCTTGAATGTCTCCAGGACGACTTCTGTGAGAATGTAGAGGATGCGGTCCGCTCGCGCTCGGTAATGGTGCTTGAGGTAATTCGACTTCAACTGGTTGTGCCAAGACTCAACATAGTTGTTGGTATCCATCGATGCGTAGGAGGCCTTTCAAGTCCAAATTATCATATGGTGTTTGTTACATCTCTGCAGATCTTGACGATATCCACCGCGTCCATTAGAGGAGAGTGTATGTATGATATCAACCATTTAAAACAACCACTGTAACATTCCTTGCGCGATTATCCTACTAAACACAACTACATTCTCCAAACAACAAAGTCTTCTTATTTTTCGCTCACCAATATCTTGAATGTGTTCATCTACTATTAAACTGTACCCATCACTGCAAGATTCGCCTGAGTAGTTCTTGTATGTGATCATCTAAAGCACTTGCACTCTCAACTGTATCTTTGTCGTGAAATACAGGGGAGAGATTACATTTTAAAAAAAAATTGTGCTATCTGTTGCTATTTTATCCTATGTTCTGTTGCCGACTGTGAAGAGATATATCAGCTATGGAAGTCAACACTCCGTTCCTTGGGCTTTGGATATTTTTTATATGCTTTTTTATATCCTCTGCACATGAAGGGGCCGCGTAGTAGACGTCTTGACGATAGGACTTCATCCAGAGCTGGCGGCGACGCTCTTTGAGGTAGTTATCCTCCATATAATCCACCAAGGGCTTCGAAAGCACCCCCCAGACTTGTCGGAACACCACGATCATCTCATTAGCTGTCCTCATATCACGCTCGTACATGATCTTGTGCAGGACCAGGCGGGCATCAGCTTGAAGGCGCTGTTGCTGAAACGGGTTGTCATTCGTGACCAGTTTTTTGATCTGCGTGCTCCACGCTCGAACAACGTGCCAAAGGCAAAGGTGGATCCGAACGTGATCGCCAAGGCCATGTTTGATAGCCTTGTATTCAACCTCGGAGTCGTCGGTCGTGATGTAGCGGAAGTTGATACCAGCATACGCCTCGAGAGCGATCAGCCAATCCTGCAAGGGCTCGGCGGTCTTGTCCTCGGTCAAAAGAAAGGCCACAGGGATTCCACGCAACGTCTGAGGGTCTTGGACAATAACGGTGTAAAGCTCGGCGCTGCCCTTGCAGGTATTGTGTGTTGAATCCAATTCGACTGCTCCTCCAGAAGCTCGAAGCTTGTCCACTGCCAAGGAGAAGAGAATCCATAACCGTATTTATTCGTCGATCCTGCAGTAGTCTTGTTCCATCGGAAGACAAAGTTTCCTTCAGCCTGCTTTCTATCCGCCCAAATGGACAACGATATACGACAGTCCGAATGTCCCTGGCTCTTCTCCTTCCAATAGGCATCGTAAATGTTGGCAATGTCGACGGCTGTCACGAAGTCATCGCGCGTGAGTGTCCCCTTTGACAGGCGGCTGTGAAGAGTATCGGAATGGAGGGTAAGCTTGTCCCTGATAGCTCGTTTTCCCAAGCCCAGCTTGATATAGCCCAGGATGGCTTCCCGGACTGGTTGGCTAATACGCAGGTGCTGGAACCCCTCAAGGTCGCCCAAGACGTGGCCAGTATGGCGGCCATAATATGTCAGACGAACACGCTTGCTTGCATTGGCAGGGGGGTAACCAGGAGCTGGGGGATGTCCGTCCTTGAACTTGTGAATATAGATACGAGCGAGGCATCCCAAGTGCTTGGAAGTCTTGAAAACCTGGCGACGCTTTTTACCCTCGGCCTTCTTCTTGATCTCGGGCTTGCCGGCGCAATGACAGTACCAGGTTTGTGTGTACGAGAATGGGCTGGCTTCCGAGCACACCTCACTCGTCTCCAGCCGCCAGTGAAATAGGTGCTGTGTGCTATCCATCTCAAGCCAGTCTTCGTACGTTCGTTCGGGATAGTAAAAGATCTTGGGTTCATAGTCAAAATAGACGTTCCTCGGGGAATAAGGTTTCTCCAGAGTGACAAGAGGATACGGAATAGAACCTTCAAGCCATGGAGCTTCGCCAGCGAGACGCGCCCTGAGGGTGTTGAGGGCGGCGGGTTCATCTTGGTACAAGAGTGCAAGTGTCTCCTGCTCCTCCTTGACGTCGTCGTCGTCGTACTTTTTTTCGTCTTCCTTCAAAGCAAGAGCAAATCCTGGAAGAGGTTCAAGGAACTCAGCTACGTCTCGCTCACGAAGGTCATCGATTCCGCAAGGCTGGAATAACGCGGTATTGTCTTGTTTATTGTCCATAAAGGCTAGCAGTAAGAAAGCGCGATAAGTACACAGTTAGTTACGCGGGGCGTTGGATAATAATATTGATAATAATAGCACTTATTTTTACCTATAATATTTTCATAGGCTTGAGCGACTTAATGAGCGGAAGAGAAGGGGCAAATGGGGTGAAGATGGAGCCCGGATGAGGTGCGGATGAAGTGCGGATGAGGTGTGGTGGAGGGTTACAGATGCAACAGTGGTGGGAGGTGCAAAGAGGAAGAAAAAGGTGAGGAAAAAGGGCAAAAAGCACTTCACTGTTGTTTTTGTTTTTGCTTTCCTCAGGTGTCGCGTTTTGTACGTGGAAAGACCCTTAATGATAGGGGCCTTTTTAACCCCGCGAAATAGGTTTATCGCACACAGTTAAAGCGAATGACATGTCTTTGCTCGTAAGACCTTTTAACCAATCTCAACCTGACCTTTCTTTCTACTCAACAACATGAACAACATGTTCGAATCCACATATTTTAAGTTTAAAGGGTCTCAAGACCGATGCCACGAATGGAGCGATACGAACTCCCACGAGTTCTTTGTGGCTGTCGATGGACCGTTCAAGAATGAGTACTCAAGCTACAAGGACTCGACGACGTTCCTGAAGGCTTACGACTCTGTCCCCGAAGAAGAGCGATGCTTCTTCGAGCAGATCCGCGAAGGCAAGGCTTGCAAAGAGTACTACGACATCGACTGGACTCTCGCTTCCTCTGCCGATGAGTGTGAAATAAAGAGACTGGAGCAGCAGGTGTTCGCTGCTTTTTTGAGAGTGCGCAACCAACACGCCCCCGAGTTTGCACTTGATGATGAGCATTGCCGTATTCTCAGTGCATCCAACAGCGAGAAGCTGTCGTTGCACATCGTGATCCCGACATATGTGTTTGAGAACAACCACCAACACCTGAAGGCGTTCTTTCTTGCGTTCCAGAAGTTTTGGTGCTCCGCTCTTTGTGACGACGAAGACGCCGCGTTACTCAAACGCATCGACGAAGGAGTCTATAGCAGGAACCGGACCATGCGGATTCTCGGGAGTCACAAGTCCTTGGAGCCAAGTCGTTCACTGCTGCGAGCCAAGTGGCATGATCCGTCCACGTTGGCCGAAGATGAAGAGTTTCTCATCACTGCAATTGGACCTGACTCTATCAAGATCACCAGCGATTTGCAAGAGGTTGCCGTTGAGCGAGCACCGTCGACTGTAACTAGGAAAACTCGAGAAGCTATTCAGTTGTGCTTGCCCAAGCACATCGTAGGTGCTGTGAGAGCTAAGTTTGAGCAGACACCACATGCCGCCCAGTTCTTCGAGATGCAGTGTTATGCAGACCGTCCAATGGACTTCGAGCTTCTACGCAAAGTTCAGGGTCACTGTGTGGTCTGCGAACGAGAGCACGATCGGGAAAATGCATACTTGAGACTTGCTGAGTCCGGCGCTATCTACTTGAAGTGCTATCGATCCAGCAGTCCAGGAAAGGAGGTGTGCAAACGTGATTTCGCCTTGGCTGTTGAGATCGAAGCCGCTATGGCCTTGCAAGCGCGCCATGGACTTACTCATGTGGACATCTCTGACGATGCTCGGTTCCTGACACATTTCCACCTGGCGCCGCCACACGAACCATTGAAACTTGAATACGGCCAGCTGGTCAAAAATGTCAGCCAGTCTCCCAGTCTGTTAATTCGATGCGACACAGGTGGCGGCAAGACCGTGTGCACAGAAAAACTTATCGAGGCCAACAAAAACTCGAAGTTCGTTGCCATTACTTGTCGCCGAACACTGGCGAACATGCATGAAGAGCGGTTTATCGGATTCGAGAACTACCAGGACTTCCCAGGCGTGATTGCTTGTAACTGATTGGTCGTCCAATCAGAGTCGTTGTACAGACTCGATCTACCCTTCTATTGCGAGAACACGATCCCGATCCTGGATGAAGTCAGCTCGCTGATCAAACAGATGTGCAGTGACAAGACCCATGGCAACATGCACAACCTCAATCTCAGTTTTTTGAGCGGCTCATCCGAAAAGCGACTCGAGTTATCTGTCTTGACGCAGATCTTTGCGATGAGGAGGTCGAGATCATGAAGAGCCTTCGCTGCGACTTCATCGTCATCAACAACACGTTCCAACAGCAGAAAGATGACAAAGTTGTGTTGTTCGACGACAAGATGAAGCTTATCGCGGTGACAAAGGACCTGCTTCGAGATGGCAAGCGGGTGTGCATCTCCAGTACGATGAGTGCGAAGCTAACCGAAACACTGCATGCCATGTTGACAGAGGCAGGGTTCAAGGGCGTGTGTGTGACCAAGAACACCCCCGAAAGTGTGAAAAGAGACATCAGCAAGAACATCAACACCACCATGGCCGATCTCGACTATTTCATCCACACACCCACCATCAGTGTCGGGGTCGACTACAATGTCAAGGACCATGTTGACTACGTGATCGGTACCTTCAGCACGCACAGCGAGGTTGACGTCGAAACATGCATGCAGATGATGCGACGGGTACGACATGTTAAGTCCAATACGTACTTGGTGTATGCAGATGCGACGACCAGAAATCTCCCAGCTTCCGCACCAGAAGTCAAGAACTGGATCTGCAATCACCTCGACATTGTCACAGGCAGGGTCCGAATGAGCCCAACACTGAAGTTGACGCTAGATGACAACAGCCGCCTCGCCATGCCCGATGACCTGTATCATCGCATGTACTGCCACGTGAGGGCCAAAAAGAACCTCTCCTTGAACGACTTTAGATCGCGACTTATTCAGCGAATGTCTCAAGCTGGATGCATTGTCACAGGCAAGAGCGACAAACTTCCCCTGGACAGTCCGATTATCGCTGACTTGAAAGCGAAGGAGGAAGAGATTACGGCCGCCTTGCATCAACAGACCGCAGATGCAGACCCCTTGAGTCCAGACAAGTTCGAAGAGCTTTCGCGCGGAACGCAAGAGTTGGACGCTGGACAGCGGGCTTCAATGCACAAGTTCGCGCTCGTGCGAACTTATGGGGTCCAGGATCATAGCATCGTGACCGTAGAGTGGGTCGGAATGTTTGACAAAGCGGATGAGAGGGAGTGGTTTAAGAACCTCACTGCACTGTCTCGTAAAGGCGGGGCGTCATTGCAATCGTGTTTGGCGCTCGTGAAGCAGTGTGAAGATATTGGACTAGATTACAGCTTGCGAGGAGCACCAACAACTGCTGAAGCACACAGTAGAATCGATAGTACCCAGTTTGTGAAGCTGGATTATGTGGTTGGCATTTTGATTGCATGTGGATTCGAGGACACGTTCCCGACAAACGAGGTGTTGGCTGAAGATCTCAAGAGTCGGATCGATGAGATTTGGGGTTGGGCAGGTCTTGAGAGAAACATGTCGCAGATCTGCACCACCCTCAAGAAGAAAAGGCCCACACACAACAACTGGACGTTCAAGAACAAGCTCAAATTTATCAACACAGTTTTGCACGCAGTACTTGGTGCAAGGATCTCGGGAACTAACAATCGCAGGTCGAGATATCGTCTCAATCACACCTCGAGCGTAGGATCTGCCGAGAACAGCCCGCTCAGACGTTGAGGACGAACAATAAACCAACTTTCAAAACTCTCCACGTACTGGTACAATGTTTAACCGGTGGCCATAAGGCAGAGTATCAGATTCTCCTCTCTTAGAAAGACTTCTGCCTTATGGCCACCATGGTCCGTGCACAGGTGTAAGGATGACTTTTGGGAGAACGGCTCTTTGAGGGACAAGAAGGGGGTTGTTCTAGATCTGATGGAACCAGACTGCACTTTGGACAGCTCAATGGCTTGTCACTGTTGCAGCAATCGAAACGACAGGCAGTCCTTGAAAGCTGCTCCTCAACTCGCCGGCACAACTCTTAAAAATGGGTCATGAGAGAGCTGAGAACCAGAACATTGTTTAAGAGCAGAGGCCTGTTTTAATAAACCCATCTGCCAGACCGCTATGAGTAGTAAATGGTTCTGGTTCCAAGACACGAAAACGAGAGGTGACTTGCCACTACGCTGCGATCAAGGGTCGCCAAAAAAACAAGCGTTGTTTTAAAAAGAAGTGCCACACGAGTGGTTCTCAGGAATCCAGACTGTGCAAGCGTTTCTGGGCTGCCCTTAAGATCTGGAACGACTCCCTTTAGTGTGATACAAGATTGCGGTTATTGTTGAAGCAATAAACATTGTCACTCTTCATCTTCTCCTTCTCCCCCTTGTCGTCGGGCCTGTTTTTGCACCAAGCACATATAATTCTAGCACCCTTGCCAGGAAAATGCCCAAATGACCAGTCGAACAACTAGAACTTCCGAGTCAAAGTCTTACCGGAAGTACTGGGGAACGTGGGTGGAGAGGTTGGTGGACTCCTGGGCTAAGTCGCTGAGAGTCTCTCTGTCTGGAGGAAGCATTGAAGGAGAAATGAAGGCGATGAATTTTGAAGGATCGACTAATGAAAAGATGGTCTGATCAAAAAACGGAAAATATGAGCTTGTTACCTGGTAATTGAGGGTGGGGGATTACATTGTAGAAACTGTATAATATTAATTTTTTTTAATTATTGCAATCAGAATAACAAAAGCAACTGAAAATGGCCTAAAAACGGAGGAGGGACGGAAACCGGTTCTGCACTCAACCTCTGATAGCGCTAGACAGCGGCGGGAGGCTACGACTAGCGCCCTTGGGAAACCCAAACTGGCACACATTCGAAACCTTGTATTGATCGGGGGTATTTTGGGTCCCGCCCTTTACAAACGAAGTATGGAAATCTGCGAACTTGAAGCTCCGGGTTTTATCGTTCATCGTCGCAAACTCGACGACATAAAATCCAACCTGGTCCTTTGCAGGATCAGGATCGATCGTGAACGACCATCGGTCATAGGTACCACTGCAACTGCCTCCACTGTACACGGTCACGCTAAAGTCTTTCTTGGCTGGGTCTTGGTTGTAGTAAAAATAGGACGAGATGCCGGCAAGGGCGACGTTGTCGACATTGTAGCAGGTGTTGTACTGAGTTGCTTTGGGACAGGTTATAATTTCACCGCCCAGGCTTTGATCTACCCAGAAGTCGATCCTGGCGTCTGCCACTGTGACATAGACTGAAAGGGCTGCGAGAGCCAAGAGGAGGGTGGACTTGAGCATTGGGGTCCTAAGCTAATATTGTTCGTCATCGAAAATAAATGAGTATGAGTTAAAAATTGAAGTAAAATGTGGATTGGGAAAACAATGAGAAAGGCTGATGGGACTTACATAAAATGCTGAAGGGGATCTTGATGGATAGTGAGAAGCCGAAAAAATCATGGAGAGCGGAGCGCACGGTATTTATCTCTTTATCGCTCATTGAGAATTCACAGAGGTCCAGCCCATCATGGGGAACAACGACGGGCTGTGAGAGCAAAGAAAAATCATAGCTCGTACCTGCGCGATCATACGAGAGAGATAGAATGAGAGCATTCGAGGCGCTCAATGGGTGGAATGAGATTGTAGGGATTACAATCATGCCTGCAATGCACAAAAGCACAATGCTCTTGTGTTTGTTCTTCGAACTTCAACGAACACAATAAAAAACATGGGACCTGCCATACCCCACTGTTGATTTCTTATCGTTTGGGCTCGCAGGTGAGGAAAAAAAAAGTCTAGTGTCAAGAGCATTTTGTGCACATTTGCACAATTTCGAGAATGCCCAAAGGCAAGAAGAGGAATAGAGAAACAAATGCAAGTTCCCCACTGCAGCCTGTGAAGGTATGAAGGAAGGTGCCCTGGGCAACCAAGGACTCACGCGCTGCTGACGAGCGGTTGTTGGTGAGTTTGTCAGGAAGGAGGAGGTTGTCAATGATGGAGAGGATGGGAAGAATCCCCTTCATTCATATCTAGTTTATTTTCTTCCGTTTAAGCTGTGAAGAGCAGCGCCAATTGTTGCGCAGAGCCAGGTTCCAGACCGGACTGCAACTGGTGGATGGTGCACTGAGGAGTTTTTTCTCTAGTCCCCTTTTACTTCCAAATGACTTCTCTACGCTGTTTGTTAGAGAGAGAAAAAGGCCTGTGAAGGTGTTCTGCGATGTGAGGACGAAGGAACATCAAAATTCCCTTACACAAGCCTGCAGCTTTCAGGCCAATACAAGCTGACAACCAAGCCATGTGCAAGAGTTGCTTGATTCGTATGGTAACATGAAGAAGCGCCCAGCCCCATGCTCTTCTTTTTGTCAGAGCTTACTAATGTTGCACAACTACGCCCACCCGCTCTTCTTTGCCGGGCGTTTGAAGAAAAACGTTGTTTCCACAAACCCAATCTTGTGGGTCTCAGTTCTCGTGTCCCAGTTTCACACGTTCTTGCCATGTTCAAAGAATAAAAACTTGGTACCGGGCTACAGACCTTTTATTATGTACATGGTCGGAAATCAATCACCTTCAAAAAAGAAAAAAAACGATAAAAAAAAAAAAGAGTAGCAAAAACGATTTCACTCGCTTGCAAAATTGAAAAAAAGAGCCTCTGCCTCACTGGGCAACCTTCCAGCTGTCCATGTCCGATTCCATAAACCACTGTCGCTCCTTTTCTTTCTCAGCAGTCGTCATGGTCGGTGCAGAGTGCAGGGTCGTAGGGTCCGTCATCGAGCGAGAAAGAACCATACTCCGAGGGCGAGATGGTGGTCGTGGTCTCTTGTTGTTGTCGTCCAGCCGAGGACCAGAGCGTTCGCGTCTGAAAACACCACCACCACCATCCATCAGCGACCCGCCTCTGCCCAAACTCAATTCAGCAGCACCAGCGATTACGCTACTCTTCGTCTGAGCAATCTCTCTGGGTTCGGTCTCCGATGGTTGGCTTATGCGAGGCGCCCACTTTCGTTTGGTTTCCACGAGGTGATGTGACTTGGGTGTAGGTGTAGTCGAGTCCAGTCGCCCCTCTTTTTTGCTTGTCTGATCATCTGTACTTCTTGTTGTCAACCCGTCACTGCTCCTAGACATGGTCGCGGCCTGCTCCTTGTCAGACTTATTCCGAGAGAGATCCTTGGCTGCCATCTCTAATCGAGAATCCGCGCGCCTGACCGTCCCAGGGCTAGGCCAGCTGAGCTCTCTCTCCTCCTCCTTTTCTTCCTCTGGTTCCTGGTAAATGAGCTGAACTCTCCGCTTCACCGGTGTCTCCGCAGGGGGCTTTTCGACCGGCTGCGATATCGATTCTTCCAAATTCGTCCCGGTGCTAGGACCTCGCAAATGGTTGACCAATGACAGTGGGGCCGTGGACCCTGTTATACTGCTGCCAGGGTACTTGTCTGACACCATATCCATACGTGACTTGAACACAACCCTGGAAAATTTTGAATTGGGTGAGCTGTCAATCGCAGATGATATCCGACTATTGAACCAGGAATTAAGAAAGCATTAAAAATGTAACTCTCCACATCTTTCATCTCGGTCGTAACATGCAATGACACAACAAGCAACACAGTGTGTAATAAAAGTTGTACCTGAGGAATGGACTCCCGGTCTTTCGAAGATGAACTTTGGAAGAGTTCAGCTCGTTGAGTACTCTCTGCATGGAACGCGTTGCTTCATTGACAGGTGGAGTCCGCATCTTTGGCGATGGTGTTCCTGGAAATAGTGGTGGCGGAGGTGGTGGTGGTGGGATTCCTGGGCTGACGGAGGTAGGCGCTGAATGTGTTCTGTACTGACCCTGTTTTTCTGCCATCAATGATGCCAACTAATATGAAGTAGCCCAAAGGGAAAGCTTCGGGATGGTGTTAGTAGCGATATCAATAATGATCAATTGATGAAGCACGATCCTCAAAAGTACACCACGTTTCAATGGTAAAACACACTTGCCTGTTCTCTCATGGTGCTGACTTGTTCAATCAGTGCACTGAGTGTGGCGTTGTCGACGTTCGTAGTAGGGGACGGCGTTCGTGTATCTTGAGTGGGTGAATTACGTCCTGAGGAGGCGATGAATGGATTATTCTTTGAATCGGTGAAAGCGGAGGGTGGCGAGTCAACCACTTTTGTATTAACTCTGCTCTCAGTAGGTGTCCTGTTTGGACTGTTGGTCGAAGACTGGGGGTATAGGGCCGTCTGTGGGCCATTGTCACGTTGATTCCGTGGTTGTTGTTGCTGACTTTTTGGTGCGTCGTTGACACAGTCAGACTCTGATTGAGAGGAAGAGTGCCGACTTGGTTGTATTGATGACTGACTGATACTCTTTTTCCGAATATCGGATCCGACTGGTTGCTCTCCTTGCCGAGACCGCTGTAATGACTGATTGCGCCCCGAGATAGACATTGCTCGTGCCATTGTTGTAATAGGCGGTGTCGCGCTTGACTCTCTGCTCCTAGCATAGGTCCTAGACTCGCCAGATTCAGATTCGACCTCGTCCAGGTGACTAACAGCGGATGACCAGTCAGCTTCAGTATCCTGAGTGCTCCGGTAGAGTGATGCAGAGATCGACGAGTCGCGCTTCAACAGAGGGGGCGTAGGTGTTGGTCTAGGTGTGGCCAAAGGCTGTTTCCGCCGTGTAGTGTTCCGTGATCCTGTCTCCGAAATTGTCGATGCTGAACCGGATCGTACCGACAACACCCTGCGACTCTCTGTGGACACTCCCGACACGACGGATGCGGTCGATGCTGGTATCCTGCGGGACGAAACATCATTGACCTGCTTCCTGAGGTCTAGAGTTTATGGTATGATTCAGATGCAAAACAAAAAGGCGTGAGCGATGGTGGGATGGACAAAAATGGGACCACACAGTATTTTCCGAAACAAGGCAGTTTTCAGGGTATCATGCAAAATGAAGCTTAATGGCCTTGTGGATATATTATTTTTACCTTGGTCGAGAAGGCGTTTTGTTAGCACTGCTTGGCTCCTCTGGGGTGTACCTGCGCGGCGTTTCTGAGAAGGACCATGTCCGAGCAGTGACTTTCGAGGAAGAGATGTTGTTGAGAGCGATGCTACCAACACTCCTTGGCGCTTCTTTGCAGAGAGTAGCCGATCCTGTAGATCGTCCTATCAAATTGGAACCAAACAAACATGTGCGTTGTTAGCCTTTGCTTGGCCAGCTGTATATTACGCGCCATTGTAGTTAGGAGTTAATGGTATATATACCTGGTTGGTGGTGACAATCACTTTGGTAGTGTTCTTGTAGGGAAAGTGTTCGAGCAGCTTGTCGATTTCCTTTGAGGCGAGATCTTTGACATCCCGAAAGAGATTCCACACTGAGCCGAGGAGTGAAGTCCCCTCGATGGCGTCGCTATTGTTATTGACTAGCGCATGCTCGACAGGTTCATGATGAGGTAACGAGGGGTCGAAGAAAGAAGAAGCCAAGGACAGGGTTGAGGATCCCCTTGAAGGAGGGATGGGTGATGAGTTACGACTGCTGCTGCTGGCGATTGTGGAGGTAGTAGACTTTGTTCTCTTCTTCTTGGTTGCGTTGGCGCCAGCTGCTGTTTCTGTTTCCCCTATGCTTCTTGTCCGTGTCCTTGACTGGCTGTGTCTTTGTTGTTGTTGTTGTTGTTGTTGTTGTTGTTGTTGTTGTTGATGTTCTCGGCTGCTCGTCTGTGACATTTGAGTAGGAGAGGGAGAGGGAGAGGGAGAGGGAGAGGGAGAGTGAATGAGAGCGAGTCAAGGCAATGGGAGTAGGGTTCGTTCTTTGAGTGATGGGGACACGGGGGAAGGAAAGGGAGGACAAAGAAAAAGAGAGAACAAAAAAGCTGTGTGTTTCTGTTTGTTGCGTAGATGACTGCTTTTGATGCTCTGAGTGGATGGTAATGGTGCCTGGGAAATCATGCACGGGAAGAAGGGAAGAAAGGAAGAAAGGAAGAAGGAGAAGAGAGGTGGGAAGGAAAGGCTGATCGGAGAAGGAACAAAGAGAGAATGGACAAAGACTGAAGGAGAGGAAGGAGGACCAGGACTGCAGTACAAGGATCGAGATACATGTGCTCATAGAGCTCGTTGTCACCATTGACAAAGAACGACTCGGTACCTGAAGAAAGGAGAAAAAAATAATAAATTTGGTGGCGCACTTCAGGCACTATTCTTTGGCTAATGGTATTTTGACTAGACGGGGACCAACCGGACGCTGCTAAAGTCCATGTACATGTACTCGCCCTCCACAATCTGAACACCCTCATACTCGATCCGCTGTCCATTGTACAGCTCAGGAACAGTCAGCACCATCGTATGGAACTCGCCTAGCTCCCCTCCTAGATCCACCGTCTTCTCCTGTGGCTTAAGAGTCTCTTCCAGGAACTCTGGTGTCAACTTGGACCCGACAAACTTGCGGGCGAGGTCCTCGTCGTCTCCGAGCTTCTTGATCGATGCACAGGTGATCAACAGCTCAAACTTGTGTTCAAACAGGGTGTCGAGTAGCTTGTGTCGGTCAATGGCCCAGATCGGGGATGAGAGCTCGATAATGTCCTGTGTTGCCCTCGTCATAAAGTTATCGCAAACATTCAGGATATCGCCTATAGAATGATTCAACAATCCATAAGAAAGATCGTCAGTTGGCAATTGCACCAGTAGATGGGACGGAGGACGCAAATCGGATGAGAAAGAAGAAAGAACGTTCATGCATGCATTAATCGCGACATGGATTGAGCCAAGAAAAGAACAATAAATTAGAACAAAGAAAACATACCGGTGACGAGGAGATCGAGGTTGTATTTCTCTTTAATCTCGGCAATTGCTTCACGGTAGCATTGGAGATGGGTCTTACCCTCCTCGCCGATCTCGACAAGGATATGTTCGACATCCATGGCTTTGGCCTGCAGCTGGATGATCTCGAGCGAGTGAGCCTTGAAGGACTTGAAGTTCTTGGGTCCGAAGGTGACGAGGAGGACAACGTCGTGGGTTTTCTTTGTCATGGCCATGGCGAGGGTGCAGTCCTTTCCTCCAGTGAATGAGATTGCAGCTCTCTTCCTTGTCGTTGTCATGTTGTGAGTATGTGAGTATGTGAGTATGTGAGTGTGGAGAGATGAGATGGATGAGATTTCAAGGACGAGAGAAGAGTGTTTTCCCAGAGTTATGGCGGAACTCTCTTTTGCTTCTTCCTTGCAGTCAGTCGAGTGGGGCGGTCAATTGGTCAATTGGGGATGGATCGATTGGCGATCGCAGTCACTTTTGAGAACGAGGCTAGGCCGAGTCTTTTGTTCTTCTGCTGCACTGCGTTCACACGTCTCTCTTGCTCAAACCACTCTGCTCACCAACGCATTCCTTTGTCGACAAACACACACACACACACAAACTGCAATGGACCGCTGGGACCCCATCCAACTCACATCCACATTCAGACCAGTACTCGAACCACAGGAAGCCATCCAAACAACCCAGGACCAGGTCGGACTCTACGACGGGTACGGCGACTCATTACTTGCTCACTTCTTCCCTCCCTCCCCCACCCACGACAATGTGTTCAGCATACCTGCCATGCAACACAAACCCTGTTTTCCTATCACCCTGTATTTGTCCTTCAAGACCGAGAAGCAAGAGAGTCTAGACTCAACTACTCACACAATACGGTTGTTTTGTTGTACCTACATAGGCGCGTGAAAGCAGAGGATTATCCGAATGGGACCGTCTACCTGACAAACTATCGCATCCTCTACATCGATGCCAAGGATCCCGCACGAAAGTCCATTGGACTCCCACTACGCCTGATCAATGGCATCCAGCACTATGTACGTTATAACAGCGACTTTGTCAACACTTTCTCATCCAACGCGTTCATGCCACGTATCTCTGTCGACAAATGCCCAGCAACCCACACTTACCGTTCATCGCCATTTACATTTTTTAGGGAGGATTTATGTCGTCGTCGCCAAAGATCACATTAGACCTATACCCGCGTTCAGTCAACTCGGACCCCCAATCATCGACAGACTTTATCTCATCTCATGGAGGAGGAGCAGGACTGGACCCATCTGCTATGGCAGCACTGACAATCAAGACTGAGCCCTCCTGGGTCTGTACAATCTGCTACAACAGCAACCAAGGGGGGCTCGTAAAGTGCACAGTCTGTGGCGTCAAGAAACCTCAGGGATCACTGGAGACTCCCACCACGCCCGCCGCAAATCCTTTTCACGTTGTCGAATCAATACCCTCTACCACTGTTAATGACACTCCAGGAACGACAAACGAACAGCCAGGGATCGCGTGTCCTGCATGTACATTCCACAACGACCCCTTTATGATCCACTGCGAGATCTGTGGGACCCAACTCCAGGATCAGGATTCGATAGCGTTTATGCTGCATCGTCAACAGCAGCATCAGCGGTCTATCAGTCAGCTACCCTCGACGCTTTCGCAGTCTTCTACCTCTCTGTCGACCACGCCGACCGCATCGGATACAACAGCCGGAAAATTGTCGGCGCCGGGCAAGTTTATGGCGGGAATGTCTAATTTCTATGGTGGATCAAAGTCAACACCAGAGGATGCCAATAGTGTCAAGTTGTCCTTTCGAGCTGGAGGCAATGGAAGTTTTCAAACATTGCTCAAGACCGCCATGGGAAACAAAGCATGGGAGGTATTGTTATCACCTTGGAACTTATATTATGTGTACACTTGGTGTGCGGATGAAATGTTTTACTGAAGAAACCACTTTTTTTTCTTGGTTACGATTTAGAACAAGCCAAAGCCTCGACCTGTGGAGACCGCCAAGAATCAGTCTTCATCGGCAACCATCGAGAATGCACCATCTTCACCCTCCATCCAAGTCGGCGGTATTAGTAAGTCTCATTCTTGTCCCAACTCGCATGCACTGTCGCGCAAAACATATACCAGGAGGTCTGACCAATATCACGCCAATTCACTTTTGAATAGGTGGCATTATGAGGACAGTGGAAAGCAACAAAAAGGTAGCGGACGAAACACTCTCAGAAGCATTCCGGGACTTGCAAGGGCTGATGGACAAGGCAGCCGAGATGGTAGCGCTCGCAGAGACCATCTCCAACCGCCTGTCGAAATCCAGCAACATCAATAATGAAGAAACCGCGACTTTCAAGACCTATCTCCTCAGCATGGGTATCGCCACCCCTGTCACCAAGTAAGGTTTTATCATCGCGTTTCTAGTGCTGCGTTGTCAGTATTCAACAAGGATGACTTTGGAGCTCTAAATAACCGTCTTGTCTTTTTGGGCGAATCAATTAGGGATACAGCAGGAGCAGTATTCCACAAGGAGCTGGCACGAGAGTTGGTCGAGTTCATTTTACCTATCGTTGAGCGAGAAGGAGGCACCATGAGTTTGATGGACATTTACTGTGTCTTCAATCGAGCCCGCGGCGTTGGTACGTTTTCTATATCTTGCTCCTGAATGCGATGGTAAATGCACACTAGATGTACTAACTCAAGCTGACATTTGTGGCCCTCCCTTGTATGAATTAGAACTGATCTCGCCAAAGGATCTGCACACGGCATGCGAACTATTTGAAGCACTAAACCTACCGCTACGCATGCGGAAATTCGACAGTGGCCTGCTAATCATCCAAACATTGGCCCGGTACAGCGACGACGAGGTCTCGACGGCCATTGCAACTCGTATCCAGAACCTCCCATCAGGCGCCGGGTTGACGGCTGTCGAGTTGGCGAGCGCTATCCAGATCAGTGTTGCCCTCGCCCAGGAACAGCTCTTGATGACGGAGTCGCGTGGATTGATTTGTAGAGACGAATCGGTTGAAGGGTTGCGGTTCTTTGATAACCTATTTACTCACTGGGAGATTTAGAACGTCCAACTGGGTACTGAAAAAAACCCCGTCCTCACTTCTTTCTCATGCAGTCATTGTGAAGGCCAAACCCTATGAGATAATGTGATTTTTAATCGTTTTCTGCAGCGACATAAACAATAGTTATCTGATCATCGTTGCCCAGTACTCGCAACATTTAGCGAGCGCCCATCATCTGATCCTTGGTCCTGAAATAAGAAGGCGAGCTCTCACGAGTCAACTCCCAGCAGCGCTCAACAGCATCCAACACATCCTTGGGCAAAGGCTTTCCCATCTTCAACGCATCCAAATTCTGGACCGTATGCTTCAACGACGAGGCACCGATGATGATCCCGTCCCCCCGGGCGGCGTTCATCTTGGAATGGAATTGGAGCCAATCGAATGCAATTTGGATTAGGTCCAGGCCGTGCGGGGTTGCAACTTGTTTCAGGAGCGTCACGGCTTCAAAGTACTCTTTCTTCCAGTATCTTTCGCGGTAACTAAGGTGGAAAAAGAGATGGAGAGTTGAATAGGGGCGTAGAAAGATGGTGCAAGTTCGATTGTAGGCTGGTAATAATAATTACAATAACAATAGACGTGAGATCGGCCAATTAGACTTACCGAGCACCTTGCTTGGCGTTGGGGTCGAAACGCGATCCTTGCTCGACATTGCCGTCAAAGGAGTAGGAGCCTGTCAGGACACCACCGCAAAGCGGGTTGTACGTATGGAACTTGATGTTGAGCTCCTCCAGGCAGGCAAACAGTTCTGGCTCGATATGTCTCGTGAACGCATTGTACATTCCTGTTTGTCGTATTGATTCGGCGCATATGAGAACGACAGAAGAAGGTGGTCAGGCAAAAAAAAACGCGCATGAAGTAACTTTCATGGAAAGAGTAGCCAATTAATCCCGTTTACAAAGTACCTTGGTAGACGGTAGGGACAACGTATCCGTTAGTCTTGCACAGATAATGAATCTGCGCAACAACCCAAGCCGGATAATTCGACAATCCAAACACCTCAAACTTGCCCTCCCGATACAGCTCATCCACAGCCTTCAACGTCTCCTCGATCGGGGTCGCATAGTCAGGTGCATGGAGATAAAACACGTGAACCTTGTCCGTCTTCAGCGCCTCCAACGATTCCTGAAGCGAGTGCTTGACTTTAGCGGCCTGGAGACCACCGAGTTGGAGGGGGAAACATTTAGTGTCGATGGTGAGTCCCTGGAGGTCGAGTTCACCCATCATCTTTTCGGTGTTGCCGTCGGTATAGATGCGGGCGGTATCGAGGGCAGTATGGCCGTAAGAGCGAAAGGCGGATATGATCTCAGTTGCGCCCTCGTTTGTCTTGACGCGCGCTCCTCCTCCTTCTGGGCCGAATGTCATGCATCTACCATTGGATGAAAGGAGGAGAGAGAGAGAGAGAGAGAGAGAGAGATGATATACGTGGGTTGTCAGTTGGGATGCTAGGACAAGTGTCTGTGTTGAGCAGCTGCTTGCTGTTGTTCTTGTTGTGTTTGCGGACCATAAACAAGCGGATGCAGAGGAAGAAAAAGTGATTTATGTGAGTGTTGTTGTTGATTTTTACCCGAGGATGACTTTCATGTGAGAGTTGGCGTGACTCATTGAGTGTTTTTGGTCGAATGTGATGAAGAGTGAGGAAAGGAAGAACGTGTAAAAAAGCGATGCAGAATGAAGGAGACAGAAAGTTACACCCACCTGCAGAGTCATATTTTCATCCTCGGTCGGGCTCCTCACCCGAAATTTTGCCGCGGCTGAGAATCATGCACCCAGTCATGGTTGCCAGACATACACATTTTTATTTTGGTGGCGTAGTTTCGACCCGCATGAACCTGGGGTTATTGTTTATTATCTTTGAACGATTGACATGTAAAGATGAACACCGATAAGAATCACCTCAATGAATATCCCCAGTCATGGTTCTTCCACAGGCTTTCAAGGACTCTTGGTCTTGAGCGCGCGTGCCAGTTGGCCAACGATTTTCCAGCAGCCTTCGACTCCCTCCTCCTGATGATGCGGATTCCGGTCAACTTGCTTTTGAGACGCGCTGTTGCCCGACTGGATGCTGTTCCTGACTCGTTTGCTCATTTTTTTTCTTGTCCTGGACACGATTTCCACAACAACGTTTGGAGGAGAAGGAGCGGGGGTATGAAGGAAATAAAGAGTAAAAGATAGGGCCGCACACCTGTTCGCCTCCTCCTGTCCAACAGTACAGCACTACATGGCGAGATGGAGACCCAGCCCATGGTTATATGTTGCCTTTGGTTTTGAGTGATGTTGATACAATGCGAGAAGAGAAGCAATCATCATCATGAACCGAATCCTCTTCTTGGCTACAGGGGTTGAACGCGTGGCTATCATCAAAGGATCCACCGTGTGTTGTTGAAAGGTGGGGGGGTTTGTTCACCCGTCTCGCAAACTTACTCGAGACTCACGACAAAAGCACTGAGTGAAGAGATTCTTTGGTGGTGTTCACTTTTTCGGATTCTGATCGTTCAAAGGATTAATAAACGACGAACATAGCAAACAGTTGCTTCATTGAGTTGCATGGGAGAAGAATCGTAGTGACGCCACCAAAATGATAACTGGAAGAACAACAACGTAATTTTGAGCACGATCCGACTTTTACGTGGGAATACGATGGAAAACTGCCGTGGCAAACTTGTTTATTTTTTCTTTTTTTTGTTCATAAGTTTTTTTTTGTTCATATAAGTTTTTTTTCCCCTTATGAGAGGGAAACCCAGGGTCAAGATGTAAAGAAAGAAAAATACAAAAGAAAAAACAAAAAAAAAAAAAGGCAAAGCGACGATCGGTCGAATCGCGCAACATGCCTCACACGACAAATCCATGCCTTGGTTTCCGTGCTTAGGGCGAGGGCAGGTTATCGATCAACTTGGCTGTGATCCGATCGTCAACCAGACGTGCCCGTTCGTTGTAGAGATGCTTGTATGCATTCTTGATCGTAACCTCAGATACACCACAGACCAGGGAAATGTCCCGTGTGTTCCGGTCCTCCTTGTACAAAGTCGAAGCCATGTAGATGCAGGCTGCTGCGATCGAGACTGGGGACTTTCCGGCGAGTGTTCCAATTTCCTTGGCCTTCTTGGTCAGCTCCACTGCTGCCTTCTGGATCTCCATGTTCAAGCCCAAGTTATTGCAGAAACGCGCCATCAGATCCTCCGAGGTCATCGTCTGAACCTTTGTCTCGTGGAATGCGTCGTTCAAGGCCTTGAAGCAGCGGCCAATCTCCTTCTTGGGAACCTGAGTCAGCGTACAGATCTCCTTGAAAGTACGCGGGACACCCTCTTGTCGACATGCAATAAAGATACAAGCAGCAATGATACTTTCATTGGGTTTGCCTCTCAGGAGCTTTTCATCCTCAACTCTCTTAAACAGCTGCTTTGCGATATCGGCTGTTGAATGAAGGAAAGACGTCAAGATTAAAAAGAATATAGGATAGATTAGCGTCAGGCCCATGTCATATCCCATTCAGTCTCCATACGCATTCAAAAAGGCTAACAAATAATTAGATGCGCAAATTCAACAAAAAAAAAAGGAAGGGGTGTCGAGGACATCTTACCAATGAGCTTGGGCAATCCAATGGCTTCACACATGGCCGAAATATCCTTGTATGCCTGAAGCAAGTTCCTTTCACCCTTTACAGCGGTAACGCGGCCGTGAGTTCTGTTCAACTCCCTCGCTGCACCCGAGCCTCCATCTCTCTGCGAGATGACTGTATCTAGCTGAGGTCCATTGAGCAAGGGGTTCGCAGCAGAACCGACACGCGAGGGGTCGTCACCCTCATCGTTTGCGAATGTACGCCATTCGGACCGAGTATCGACGATTCGATCTCCTAACACAAGGCCACAGTCCGCACAGACAAGATCGCCGTTCGAAAACTCTTCCGAGATGTTTGGAGGCACAATCTTACAGTCTTGAAGAGTATGATATCCCATTTTCAAAAAGTAGAGAAAGAGGGCGGCAGTATAGAGATGGGATATGAGAATGATGAGCAGACATGAAAAGGTAGATGTGAGTTTACAACGCCTTTTTTACTTTTTGACTCTAGTATCTTCCCCACAACAAGCTCTCGCCGTGATATCACGACATGCACATTTACTCACCTGGACACATGAGCTGGACGTTCAAATCAACAATCCTTTGCTGGGGAGCCGGGGTGACAGTCATGGTACTCATTCGGATATCCGCAGCAGAATGTACTTAGTGTGTGGAGTGAGGAGTGAGGAATGAGGAGTGTGGTCTAGGAAAAGGGAAGGGTTTTGTGTTGTTCTTTGTTTCTTTTGTGGTTTTGTTTTATTCTTGAACTTTGTCACCGTTTGTTGGTTATTGTTGGGGAAGGGGTGCTGTCTGGTAGTGTTTTCCGAGCAGATAATGAAATAGTCGGAAAAAAAGTGATGCAAGCAGACAAGTGGGTGAATGTAGGTGGATGTAAGGAGGCGAAGAGTTCACTTTACAAGAGCTTTGCCGTGGGGGAGTGAGAGCGAGTGAAAAGGCGAGTGAGAGTAGAGGGTACAACGAAGAGGTGACCAAGTGATTCGACAGAGAGGACGGGTAAACTTCCACAAGGGTCGAATAGGAAGGGGAACAGAATGAAAGAAAAGGGAAAAGAAAGAAAGACAAACCATCAAAAACTCATGGCACCCGCCTTTTTATCTCCGTTTTTTTATTGAGACCATGACGTCACCTTAATTCACTGTCACATGATTCAAGCCATTCGCCCAATCAACAACCCCTCATAAGCCATAGTATCTGCTCATCCTCAAGCTTGCCTTCGCCTTCGCCTTCAACTTAAAGAACACAGCCAGTCTCAAGGGTGCAAAAAGACAGTTTCAATAGATTACAAAATATTACTAATGTAGGCACCAGCTTCTCTACTCCTCCAAGAAATGACTAAGCGCATCAATGTGCTTCTTCAACATCTTTAGCGCTCCCTTGCTGATCCGCTTGATCATCGGTCCTGCCTCCTTCTCCGTACCACTGCTCTCGTCCTGCCGCTCTGTGCCATCTGCTGATTCAGCCTCTGCGTCAGCTTCAGCTTCAGAATATGCAACGAGCTCAAGACCTTCGATCACAACCTGCTCTAGCTTTTGTCGCTCAAAGTAGAAATACCGCACCTCCTTGCTCAGTGGTGTCGGGGGGTGGTTCAGGATTGTTTGAATCGTCTAAAAAGTTGCAAAGCAGATCCATAACCAGTGTTAGCACACTGTTAAAATCACTTTGAGGAAATACGTATTGTGTTGAATTATCATTGTCATTGAACATGAGAGTGTTGGTTACCTTCAAGGACAACAGGTACACCTTCTCGTTGTAGAGTTCCGAATTGCGAGCTGCTTCTTCAGTACCAACAAACTTTTCGAATCTATAAATGAAATAGGACAAAGGATATGGTTAGCATAGTTTCAGTGATCACCTCTGCAAATACAAACAAACGTCATAGACCAAGAAGCTTACCCTGCTTCGTTATAATATGGCTCAGGGACAAGGACAAGACCTTGCAGAGAGATCAGGAGCTACATGAATGGAATGAAAAAAGAACGATTGGTCATCTGCAATTACACTTGTTGCATCAAATAACAAACTTTCGTTCAGTCCCTGGGTCATACCTGAAGGATACTTGAGCTAGGGGTCCAGGTCTCTGTCTGATCCTTGCCATGCCATGTGTTCAAAAGACTCAAGCAAACGTTTCCATCCTCATACAAGTTCGGGTTGATCCTGCCAATGCCGCCAGTCCATGAGTGAAAAAACGCAATTGGTGGCTAATGGATTGAACAGGAGAACAAACAAACTTAGTGAATAAAAAGACCAGACCAGAGACTAGAAGGGCTAAGCAGTGACACCAAAAACGAAGGATATCATACCTGGCTAGGGAACTGACTGGGCAGCTTAAAGTCAAAGAGGAAGAGGGCATTACGGTAGGGGGTATGATCGGGGCCTTGGATAAGGACTCTCAGCAAGTCCATTCGATCCTCAAAGGCACGGACTCGGATTCCATCCGGTAGCGACGACGACAAGATGGCGTGCTCCTTGGCGATCCGCTTAAACCAAGCTCTATCGGTGTGTTGGACGTCGTGGGTGTTCTGCAAAAAATGATGGTCGGCGGGTGTCTCTTCCAGCACCGCAAAACTTCTCCAGTCCTTATGCTCTGCCACTGTTGCCGCTTGTGTTTTTGAGGCATCATTCTGGTCGGAAATAATCTCCTCGGGCTCTGGCAGTGGGTCTGCAATCACAGACTCTGGCTCAGGAACCTTTTTTCCATGTCCATTGGTTTCTTCCTGGACTGCATTCTTGCTCGCTGCGTTAGCCTCGAGTGCCGACCCATTTGTCTTGGTTTTGGATTCAGTAGCTTTATCCTCATCGTCATCGACATCACTCGTGGATCCATCATCGGCGCCGGCCTCAGAATCGGTCTCCCAGCTATCGTCGGATGAAGCCTCGCCTGACTCAGTGTCATTCGCCTGGTCGAAATCGTACTCTTCAAACGCTCCCTCATCCTGACTATCGTCTTCCTCGTCATCGTCATCCTCATCCTCAATCACCATAATCCTGCCGACAGGGATATCTTCCTCGCTCCCGTCCATGAAACGAATGCGGGCAGTGGGCTGATCAGGGTATACTTTCCAGATCTGTCCGACCCAGTTCAGCCGCGTCCTGATGGTCTCCGCGTCTTTCTCGTCCTGAGGTAAGTTGGCCAATACATCGTCTGGAATGGCAGGCTTCAATGGGTCGCCGCGGTCAACAAGCCTGTGAATCGTCTTAGACGCCATCTTGTTGGTCTCGGAGAGATAACGATCCAATGCCTCGACTCCCTCGACGCCATAGCGCTTCAATAAGGTCTTTCCTCTTCGCTCTATCTTCCATGGTTTGTCGGCGTAGACCTTGGGGACTTGTTTGAACAGCTCATTATAGATCTCCTTGCCACGAACCACCAACGACAAAATCTCGGCAACGCTGGGTGCTCTTGGCGCAATGTCCGAAGAAGGATTTTGCTCACGCTCTCGACTCACAACAACCGTGTCACCCATCCTGAACTTGAGATCGGGGTGTGACATGATCTCATACAACGAACACTCTTCAGCCTCCTGTTCCAGTCCTTCATCGCGCTCCTCGCTGAACCATTTGACCAGCGCTGTTCGCTCCTTGGCGTTGGCAGACTGAACGATTCCAAGCATGTCTGACTTTTTGCGGTCAAAGTTAAGGCCACCGGGCTCGTCCATCAAGACCTCGCCTGGCTTCAGAAGCACATAGTCGGTGGGCCATACATCCTGATCGTCCATGTTAAGGTATGGGACAATGGCTGTCGAGGCTAAGTCTGTCGACACGGTGAGATCCTGCCACAGCACTGTCACCACTGTCTTTGTTCCGACGACTTGCTATTTGTAACAGAGAGTAGTTTAGGCGACGAACGTTAGTATATCGGTCTTTGGATGGGTCGAAAGGTGTGCGGTCATAGCCATAGTGAAAAAAAGAACATACCATCTCTTCAGTGGCAAACTCTGTGTCATGCCTGTGGTAGTGGGGACACTGAAGTCGAGTGGGCTTGCTCTTCATGAAGGGACAGTATGTCTTGAGACCCAAGGCTAAGAGCGGAGGTAAGCAATATATAAATAGGGTTGTTAGTAGTTTTTCTCAGAAACAGTTCGTAACAATACTCTAGAGGAGGAAAATACATTAGGTACAGTTGTCTTGGTACCTTTCAGAGTCGCAGGATGCACGATCTTAACCCGGTCCAGAAGTTCATACGTGCAATGCTGCTCGACACTCTTGTAAACAATGATGTTTTCAAAGTCATCCAGCTCCCTGGGAGGAGGGGCGACTCCTGGGGTCTGATCCAGCGCCAAGGGGTTGAAAGAGAGCCAGTTGACCGTGATGGAGGTGACCTCTGTCCTCATAACATGTCCTTGTTTGGAGCTGGGATAGCTCTTGGATTGATATTGGGCGTTCTTGAAGACGCGCGATGGCCCATGTACAGCCTATACAAGGCCAATGTCGGAAAACGAAAATATGTGAGTCGGCCACTCTAACTTGCTCACTGACCCGATTCATAATCTCTTTTCGACTCGATTTTGGCGGGCTAAGCGATAAAAAAAACTTACATGACCAGGGGCGAGAGAGTCGGGGAAGAAGCATGATTGATCGTGGAACTGGTCGCCGAGGTCCAAGTCATCCGAGTCTTTGACGGTACAAATGCTGCCGTCAGACATGAGAAGGGTCACTTCATCTTTTACCTAAAGAGTATGATAAAGAAGGCATTGTTTAGAGAAGAGATCGAGATGAAGAAAAAAAACTGTTGGTGTTTGCGATGGTGAGCCGACAAAAGGGATGGAAAGGGGGGTCCGCAGTGTGTGTGATGCTGTGTCTGTGTGATAATGGATCGGGGCCAGACGGATAGGGGTTGTGGTTTACATGAGCGCCAAACAATTGCTGCTCATCGTTTCAGGGCTCACTTTCGGATATGGTCTTTCGTCTCCTCTTGCACGCCCTCGCAGTTTCAGCGACCACTTCCTTACCTCTTGGATGACTCCCAGCCAACCATCGTAGATGATATGGTTGTTTACGACGAACTGTTGGACAAAGTCGACATGCTTGGCGTCGATTCCCGAGTACCCGGTCATGGGCGGGCAGATCTTTTGCAGGTCTAGTACGACCTTGACATCGATAACAGATCCTGACATGATGTCGTTGGGGGAGCGCTTGACAACGTCGCCGTGGCTAAAGGATCTGTCGACGACGACCAAGTCGTCCTCCTGAACAACCTGTGGTGCCGAGCCATCGGCCCAGTGGACGGAGACTTGTTGCAGTCCAAGCTATTAGGATACAATACAAAGGAATGATTAGTTTTAATCCCTTGGTGGATAGTCATTGAATCATTCGCCATGCGGGATTCATAAGTGACTTACAGGTCCGGTCGAGTCTTCGTCTTCTTCGTCTTCGCCCGAGTCAAAGTCGTGCCAGGTCTTCACGACGAGGCCCAATCGCTGAGGGTCGTCCTTCAGGTGGACAGCATCCTCTAGAAAGACCTGGAGTAATTTAAAAGACAGGGAGTTAGTCGCATACTTGTCAGTTGACTCTTTCTCACTCTCACTCTCTCACCGATGTGTTTGACTGCGGTTGATTGGCATGAGCGAAACAAAAGGTAAAGGATAGGGATGCTGGTGGTACCTTTGCGGTGAAGAGGGTCTTTGCCATGGAATGAATGTGTACGAGTGTGAGTTGGAGGGGAAGCTGATGTTTGAGTGAAGGTGGTGTTGTTGGGTGTGTTTCGTGGATGCGAGGAAAGGATGCTGGGGTGTGTCTCTCGTTGCTTGTGTATGCGATGATGAGTTGGAGTAAAGAGGCGGAAAGTGTGAAAAGGTATGAAAAAAGGAGAGGAGGAGGCGTTGTGCCTTTGTCTTATAATTCTTTCGGTCTAATGCAACAACGGTCAAATTGGCCAACAGTTTATGGACCTCACTTTGGATTCAACAGTCATCTCTAATTAATGCGCTCCTTCCCGCGCGGGATCTTGTCGCCACCAGAGTGCGACAGTCGCCATTTATCTATCCTTTATCAACGGAACACTTAATATATCTTATATCTCAACAAGACTTTCTGTATCCTGTAAAGTCCATCTTTCAAAACAGCCAACGGAAGGATTGGAAGCGTCAACATGGCAGAAACAAGCGCGCGGCCATCACAATTGGAAGGGAGTGAGTAAATAGGGTTGAACTCCCTGATATAAATGCCTCCCCATTGACCAAGGTCTTTATGAATGAAGGCAGTGGGTCCAGCAGTGCCAGAAAAGAAGCAAAAAAAAAACGGATCGCCACGGATGCAGATCGGTAGCAGTTTTCGATTCTTTTATTCTCTCTTAGCAATTGAGGTTGGAAGGAGGAGTCGTAGGGGTATGAGCCTCAAGGGTTGCGTTGCGTTTTTTTTGTTTCAATTGTCGGTAGAGCTGTCTCTTCTATTCGCAGAACCATGACTTCTCCTCCACCTCCTCCTTTGCGCTCCTAGTCCTTTCTTCTCCTCCTGCTCCTGCTCCTGCTCCTGCTACCTTGACTGTTTTGATCCGATGTTGTTGGTGGTGGGTAAGTAGTAGTGGCGGCGGGGGTATGGCATTCTTACAGAGACTTGTTCATGAACTTTCTCTTTTGGAAGCACATCCACCACTTTCCAGGCTTGTCGTTCTCATAGATGCGGTTGGGGAGTCTGACAGCCATCTCCTGACGCAGCTGCGACACGTACTGGCGCAACAAATCTGTCATTCAAGTGATGGAAAAACAAGTTCGGTGTGAGATGGAATGATAGCCTTGTTCAATTGATCCAGTCATAACGTCGAAACAAAGTAGAAGCATACCAGCATCCATCTTGTTGGCGGGGGCGGTGTAGAGAGCGTTGAGGGGGAAGGTGGCGTCGCCAGGGATGGCAAAGTTTCCAAGGGCCAAGGTGCCTAAGATCTTTTCTGCCTCTCTGAGACTGGGGTTCCTTGCGAGCTTTCCGAGACACTCTGTGATGAAGAGGATGAGGTAGATCAAGACTCTGTCGGCGTCGCCCTTGATCTCAAAGTTCCTGAAGAGGACGTTGGCACGGAACAAGTTGAGTGCCTCGTCAATGATATCCTCAGCATTAGGGTCAGCTAATGACGAATATAATGAAGGTAAGAAAAAAGTTGAGTTGGTCTGAAGAGACGAAAAAGCCGACAAGTGAGAGAGTAGTGTCGCTTTTGGCCATGTCCAGGAACGGGGACTGATATTAATAAATGATGTCAATTAGTAGCCATTGAGCATACCGATAGGCGCAGGTCCACGGACACGGGTCTTGATGGGCAAGAGGGCCATGCTTCCGACAGAGCGCAAGTCTGTTAACTCATTGAAGGCAGAGTGGTATGCCTATCATCGGCGTGAGATATGGATCCAGACCAGAAAGCGACACGCAAGGCAAGGTGTTGAAGACTGGTTAGCTCCTATATTCTCTCACACTTTCGATATAAAAAAGCGTGCCATCGTCCATCGTGTTCCTGACGTCCACAAACACAGACAACATTGTCTCTTGTCCGATGTCTGCTCATATTGTCCTGCAAGAGCCATTCTTGCTTGACATGACGATGGTCTCTTCAATAAAAGGTTCTCCTGCTTGCTTCGTGTGCTACTGTGTCTCCTGGTAGTTGATGGGACTGGATGACTGACGTTCCAGAGTACACTCTTGGAGTGCAAGTTGTCTCCTTGGGGGTGAGCCAGGTGCAACTGACTTACAGGCATAGTGGGATAGTTGTTGGTGGTTGATAGAAAAGAGAGTGAGAACGCGTGAAGGAGTTGGCAGGAAGAGTTGGTGGTTTGTGGAGAAGAGAGAAAGAGAAGGGATGGGAAAAGAAAATGACATGCGACTTTGCAGACGAGCAGGAGGCCGACAGCCAACGGGCAAAATCGAGAAAAATACGTCACTAACAACTTGGGTTGGATCGAACCCAGGGTTGAGCAATGGATTTTGTTCAATTGACTGATGTTGGTGCCTGAAGCAGAGCTGGAGGAGAACGAACAAAAGAGCCATAAGAGAGCGGCGTGTTCCATCGCGTTCTTTGCCCAGCAGTGGCAAAAGAATGGTGAATCACACCCTTTGTATGCCTCGCTCTGCGCTCTTTGCGAATGACAGTGGTCTCTGTTGATCGAGGGATCTGGTATTGTTTGCAGGTGATGATCTCTCGCTTCTTTTTTGTTGAGAAAGTGTGCGATCCATATATAAATTTCCTCGTGCCCTGGGTGCAAAGTGCAAACAAGCCAACAAGCCTCGAAACAACGGGGCAGGCAAAAGAAGCTCATTCTTCCCCTTCTTGTCCCTTCCACTCCTTCTTTCAGCCTTTCCCTTTTTCTTTCTCTTCTTCCTTCTCCATCTGCGTCTTCTCTTTCTCTTTCCAACTCATTCACCACCTCGACCACTCTCACTACTCACTCACCCCCTTCCTAATCACCCATCCACCGCTCTCACTCGCCCGCTTTCTTATCCTCACTCTTCTTACCCCAATTACTTATATACACCCACACCATTGTCCTCTCAACCAACCAACGACAACAACAAAGAAAAGCCCGCTCACCTCCTCTCTATACTTCAACGCGTTGTTGTTGTTTTCGCACTCTTACTTCGTCTCTTCGAAAGAAAAAAAAAACTCAGCTCATTCTTTCAGAGCTTACTCACTTTGCACACCTACTTATTCACCTACACTCACAAGACCACGACGGACATCATATCTCCTCCTTATCCCCAAGACGGACCCTATTCGCCCCGTTTATTTCACCGTTTTCCTCTCTCGACTCGACCAACTCCACCTACCTCTCCTCTCTCGAATACACACCAACGACCCGAAGCAAAACGAGTGAAAATTCGATCGTCATGAACCACTCCGGCGCGCTCTCTCAGGGAGATCCCAGCGGGACAAGTCAAGACGACCACATGGACGCCACCGCCTCCTTTGCCCACTCACTCTCCGTCGCACCCCTCGACAGCGCCAGTACTATCCACAGCATCAGCCTCGCCCTCAACGGCTCAAGTTATACCAACGGAGGCGAAGGTCAACATCACCAACATCATGATGCCGACGTCTTGATGATGGACGCCACCACCCCTACCATCACCACCGCCACAAGTGCCTCCTCGGTCAGCACCTCCGCCTTCCATTTTCAACAACCTGAATCTCGCATGGCGGTTGCAGAACTCTTGGTCTCTCTCGGTCAAAGCTCACGTAGTGTCGAGTAAGTCTATATCTTAATATCATACCAATGCCGTTGTCCCTCGACAATGGTGGGAGCTGTGTGTCTGAACGTTTTGATCGTAACATACAATGCAATGGCGTGTACAATTGTCTGTATCAGAATGCTGCGAGTATATGTGCAGGGTGTCTCGCAAGTAACGTAAGGATTCCACCATGAGGAATTGTTGTAGCTGAAACTTTATCTCTTTTTGTTCTATTCTATCCTCTTTTTAGACAACACATCCAAAATGGCCACCAGCCATCCACAGACTCGGGAGCAGGATCATCACAACAAACACTCACCTACAGAGCCGCCGCCGACTATGTTGGACTGGTCAAGAAGGCGTACGAGGGCAACCCCAGGGTCTACACGGAATTCCTCAGTGCTCTGGAGAAATACCACGAACTGAGGTACATGTTCACATCATTGGCAAACAACCACAGGAGTGCAGGAAGAACACATAGGGATACCCTCGACATGACAGACCATTCGAGAAACATTGGAGCCGTGGCCCAAGAATTCAATTGTGAAATCGGACATAGTGACTTCAACGATATCAGGCATATCCCTAAGGCAAGGATTGTTGACCGACTCCTCCGTTTGTTTTGTTCTCTCAGTATGACCATAGAGCAATTGGTGAGAACTGTCATGGCTCTCTTTCAGGATCAACCAGATCTCTTGATGGGGTTCAAGGAATTCTTGCCAGAAGCACAGGGTCTGCTGAACCAGCTGGTACCGGTAACGTATCAGGGCATTCATGTGATTAAGGAACTTTTGATAACAAAATGGCATCAATACTTGGACTATACTCTTACCTCATATCGCACTCCTGTCAACAATTATATCGTTGCTGTCAACTTTCGGGATCAATCTCAACGTAACATTCAACCAGCCCATGATGTACTCGGACTACAAAGTAAAGGTCAAAGCCGAGACTCAACCAACTATACCCGCAGGATTGCTCCCAACGACAGGTAACGCGGTGCTGCATTCTGGACACGATACATAATGTGTCAACTCGGACTGGAGAATGGAGGCTCTGCATGTACAAATCGCAATGCTAATGCAACTATTTCACCTGTTTATATCGCTTCGCTGATAGTCGGCGTTGAGCAAACCGACCAACCGATGGACGTCAGTGCAAACAATAATGGACACGCAGCAGCAGATTTCCTGAGTCTCATCAAGGTGCGCAAGCCAATACTGTCACTTCATACTCGTTCAACGCATCTCATCGCTAGCAATCATGTAACGCCTTAGAACTCGACCGCCCTCTGACTCGATTCGGATTATTGTCTAATTCATAGGAGCGATCCCAGCAAGAACCCGATATGTACCAACATTTGATCACATTGCTCAGGAAATTTCAGAAGGACCACTCCTACTCAACTGTAAGGAACCACAGGATGTAATCTGCGATCGCAAATCGTCAAGCTGAACGCGGTGTTGAAGTGAATTGTCAATCTCATGTTCTGCTGTTCTCATTTTGCTCGAATAGCTTTATTTCTACGTGTCGATTATCCTGCGCTACCACCCACACTTGTTGCAACGTTTCCACAAATTTTTGCCAACGGTGGCGAGCGGGATCGAAGTAACGGAGCCAAGGGTCATCTCCAAGGCACCTCCAGAAGAACTCGTCGTCTCGCCCGACTTTATCGAAGCCAAGGACTTTGTGCAAACCGTCAAGGTATTTTATGTCTGTCTTTTGGCGATATTACCAATATTTGGGGGTTTAAAGGATATTCACGAAAGGCGATAAGTGCTAACGCTAACATGCATGTTTCTCGTTCAATGCTTTGTGATAGTATGAGGCCAAGAACGACATGTCAATGTATGACCGGTTCATCTTTGCCCTGGAAAAGTACCAATGCACTGGCTGGACCATTGATCAGGTACATATACACCTTCGTTGAGAGCGTTTCCTTGCGGCTGATATTACTTTCTTCACGAGGCGTCTATTGACTGATAACTTCCGTACTCTTTGGACCGATGACACTTGTAGGTGTATTCGGAGGTATCACTTATTTTCTGGAACCACCCCGAGGCGCTTGCAGGATTCAAGCAATTCATCACAACGGTCCCCCAACAACCATGAGGAGTAATACTGTCAATGATCTTTTTGAAGAACCAGCAAGCCGAGTCTGCTTGCTTGTACACCTAACCACCAATCTACGGACGACCCAACCAACCCTACACTAGTTTAGACTGTCCGTCCATCGCGTCCTTTCAACCCTCCTTTTGCGCCCGCTAGGAAGGAAAACAACCACCATCTACCTCTGCAACAAAAAAATGAAAACGACAAAAAACACTTCAAACACAGCAAATACCATCATCATGCCCACATTGTATCTGTTCTCCTCCCTCTCTACGAACCTCTTTTCTCCTTCCTAACACACCAGTGCGTTCGAATCTTGTGGGCGAAAAAGCCAGTCACTCAAGGTGACGTGTGCCTAATCCCGCACTCACTTCTTGCGCGTCGTTGGTCGTCGCGTCCCCTTTTTTCTCTCTTATTCACATTTCAAGGACAAACCTCAACCAGTCGGCATCTTCAGCTTCTTTTCATTACTTTCGACAACAACCACCACCACACTCAACAACTCGACACAACAAGCACATTCATATATACTACAGCCATGTTCTTGACACGTTCAGAATACGATCGAGGAGTCAACACCTTTTCACCCGAGGGTCGTCTCTTCCAAGTCGAGTACGCCATCGAGGCCATCAAGGTAACCTTTTCTCGCCTTACTCTGTGAGAGAGAAGCGGTCTTTATTTTTTCATTCGCAGGAACTGGAAACAAACGTCAAAACAGGAACCTCGGACTTCCTTACTGTCCTTTCTCGTCTATTGACAACCAACACAGCGCTAACCTCCCAGTTTGCATTTTTTTCAACGACATGACATGATATAGCTGGGCTCGACGGCTGTGGGAATCAAGACAGCAGAGGGACTTATTCTGGGGGTGGAAAAGAGGGTGACCTCGTCGTTGCTGGAACCTAGCTCGATTGAAAAGATCTTTGAGATTGATGCCCATATCGGATGTGCCATGTCGGGCCTCACTGCCGATTCCCGGACCATTGTCGACCACGCCCGTGTCGAAGCACAGGTAATTCGACATGACTTGTTGGCAGGGTTCTTCGAGGTGGTTTAGGAGGCCTTATTGTAGTCTGTGTTCATTGGAGGAAGACTTTTTGTAGGAACACCCAACTAACTTCTCGCTTCTCTATTTCTTGCCATTGATGTGATAGAACCACGCATTCACGTACAATGAGAGCATCAAGGTCGAGAGTGTGACCCAGGCAGTATGCGACCTTGCTCTGAGATTCGGAGAGAGTGCACGAGGCGAGGAGTCCATCATGGTATGTCTCTTTGTTACTGCTTGCAATTGCGTGTTTGTTACTACCGAAGGTCTCCGTCGGATATACGGATGATATAGTAGGAAGAACCCCACAACTGACAGAGGATGGTTCTTTTTTTGATAACTTTTTTTAGTCCCGTCCTTTTGGAGTGTCGTTGTTGATCGCTGGAATTGACGAGACCGGGCCCCAGCTGTAAGTGCGCAAGCTGCCTCTCTCCTTTGGTCGTTACTCAGTTCATCATTGTAGTGGCACTTCATATCACTGGCAGGATCTTACTTGCAGGAGTAATGTGTCACGACTTCAGGTTACAGCAAGTAACACTCCTAACTCACCACTCCCGCACATTCATATACCCAAAATGACAAACTCATAGGTTCCACACGGATCCATCAGGAACATTTGTGTCATACAGTGCAAAGGCGATTGGATCGGGATCAGAAGGCGCAGAGACAGAGTTGCAAGAGGAGTACCATACCTCGATGACGCTGATCGAGGCCGAGACCCTGGCACTCAAGGTCCTGAAGCAGGTCATGGAGGAGAAGCTCAACTCGACCAATGTCCAGCTCGCCTCCGTCACTAAGGACGGTGGGTTCCAGATCTACTCTGCTGAAAAGCTCCAGCAGGTTGTCGAGCGCTTGTAAAGTGGAATTATTTGAGCGCGGTCAATTTGAATTGGCAAAGGAGCAGCAACGGTCTCGGAATAAAGCAAAAAAAACGTAGTCGACATTACTTCAAGTAAATACACTTTTTCCTCGACTACTCCTGGTTTTTTATTGTCTTTTGGGCATTGGCGGCGCGAGGAAAGGAATCCATCACTTTGAAAAGTAGTAAAGGACAGACACAGGCTCTTCCCCGTAATGTGCAATCGTTTTTTTCGCTATACCCTGTGTTTTGTGCCCTTGGTCTTAGTTGGCTCAATTTCCTACTTGTGAAAAAAGGGCGTGCGAAAACATGGACGCAAAAAAAGACAGTTTATTTCATCCTGAGCAATGGTTTGTCTTCTACTTCTTCTCGGCGGCATCCTTGGCAAGGATCTCGTGGACGACGTTGACCTTATCGGCCATGGTCTGTCCAACCTTATCCGTCCTCGTTCCGATGCGGACGCTAATTGACCAAAGAAAATAATCCATGAGTCAGGAGGGGGAGTAATTCGTCTTATTTTGCGGGCGAGAGACGTGTGTGTGTGAATCAGAAATTGAAGGTGAAAGAATGGGGAGGTATTGATGCAGGCTTTTTTTTTTTTTTACGTTACCTGGTGGAGACGCGAGGACATCCCATGGCGTGGACGGCTTCATGGCACTCCTTCATGACTCTGCAGACGTCGTCCCACTCGCCCTCGACGTTCTATTTCGCATCCATTCGATGAAGGAATATACGTGAGAACATGGTTAGTTGACCCTGTTTCATGCTAGCACTTTACTTCCAGTAATCAAAAGGAGTGTTGCCTGTTCTCCAGAAGAAAGGTGATGACTAGGTTGACGTCCTCAGGTCCAATTCGGTCGGTATGTGTAGCCCGTGCTATCGATGCAAAGAGAGTGCCTCCTGCTTGGTTGGCGTGCTGCGCTGACCCTGGCGCTGGCGTTTTTTTTTGTTTGTTTTTTTTTTTCTTGCATTGGGTCGTTCTCTTCGTTGATTATCCATCCTTGTGCGGTTTAGTGTCTTGGGGAGTTTGAGATCGATATGCTATGTTGTCTTGTCAATTGTATGGTTCTCTCAGGAGGGCGAGAACAAAGGTGATTGTTGTGTCCACCTGACAGGATCCCTTGTCCGATAGCCCTAGATATCCTGCGTGCTCTAGCCCCAACCCACCCAAACTTACAGTGCCATAAGAATGCATGGTGTACGAAAGACCTACAATCCGCACAATAAAAAAGTTGTTAGGGACATGAACATTACCCACCCACCCACACACACACACACACACACACACACAGACACACACCATCATTTATTATTCGCTGTTGCTCAGACAAAAAAACGACGTGAATATGTACCACTCTTCTCAATAACGCGCTGGCATTCGGCGATATACTGGCTGACGGAGGAGGTGACGCCCATGGGGATCACGCAAAAGTCGGCGATGGTGTGCATTATGTTGTTGGGTTTGAGAGAGGTGAAGGAAGGAGGGATGGATGGAGGTGAAGGAATGAATGGGTTGGGGAAGAAAAGAAGGGAGTGGGGCGTACGGTGAGAACAGAAGGGGTGTGATCCACACGAAACCACAGTCACATATCGTCACGCTCTTTAACTTCGAATACTGACAAGACGAGAAAGAACGCATTCTAGGACATAACACTTGCCCTTTAACATAATCATTCATCAAAGTACAAAGTATCATACTAGCGGAGGTTTTTTTTAAAACTGGTCAAGTAGTGGATTTATTGTTGGTACAAGAAAGTGAACCAGAGCCATCGCCAGTCCTATTCGATATTGTTTTTGTTACTTTTTTGATACTATTTTTTAAATGAGGGAGGTAGTGGAAAATTACAAGGTGGAAGAGGAAGGAAGGGAAAAGGTTGTAATACATCTAAGGCAGAAAAAGTGTTGATACATGGTTGCAAGAAAAGACAAGGAAATGGAAGCGAACGTGACATCAAAATTACAATGGGTAATGGAAAGAGAAGGGAGAGGGGAGCAACGAGAGAGCGTATGCGAAGAAAGAGAAAGGAGCAGCCGTTGAATAAGAAAGATATAAAAATGACACGCCGCGAAGTTGCGACGGTTGGGGCTGTGGGGAGGAGGTGAGAAGAAAAAAAAATGTACAAGAAAAGAAAACGGGAGAAGGTCGAAGGAGGGTAATTTAAGCGAGGCAGGGCATGTTCTCAGTGGGCTGGTGGAACTCGCTGTGGCGATGCATCATCCCGCTGCCGAGGGACTTTGCTCGGGCCTGGTGATACTCGCCATCCTCGTCGTCGCTCAAGGACCCACCATTGTTGCAGTCGATGGGACTACTGGGACCGCTGGAGCTGGAGCCGCTGGACCCGCAACCCTTGCTCGAGACTTTCAAGGAAGGCGAAGACCGCAAGCAACCTCTGGAAGACTTTGAGGAAGAGGACATGACAGCTCTTGGGCTCGAAGACGAAGATCCGCACAAGGTCGACTCGTCGGACGAGAACCCATCCTCAGAGTCTTGTTGATGTTGGCTGTTGAGCATTTGTTGTTGCTCTTGTTGTGCCTGTTGTTGCATGCGCTTATTAAGCTCCTGCTTCCAATCGATGCGGAGCTGCATAAGCTCGGTGGCCTCGGAGAAGGAGAGCTTTGCGGGCTCGAGTGCCGAGCGGTCATATTCGTCGCCTGGGTAGGTGAATGAGATTTTGATGAAGCGCGAGAACTGGACCGATTTACAGCTTGATGATGACAATGGGCGGGCTGCTGCTTGTGCCATGTTGATAGATATATGTTGTTTGTTGAAAGTGGGGAAATAAAGGAAGGCTGGAAGGCAGGATGAAACAGGCCTGCAAATTTATAAGAAATTGGGAAGGATGTTGTTGAAGTAGTTGTTGTGGTTTGAGGTTTGAACAGTAGAGATGATGAAAAGCAGGAGTGGAAAGTGATAGGATGACGATTTTGCTTGAAAGCTGGGTGGGGCGAGGATGGTAGGTTTATAGCTGTGCTTGTGGAATAAAAGGTCGCCAAGTTGAACAGGCAAGATAGGATAGGAATAGGATCGGATGATGATGATGATGATGAGTGCAGAAAGGATGGGCTGAGCGGAAGAGCGGAGCGTTGGACAAAGGGAAGGAAGGGGCTGTTGGCTGATCTGAGAGCTGAGCTGGCTGGCTGGGCGCTTGGTAAAAGGAGCGAGGCTGCTTGTAGGGAGACTAGCGTGGCGGGCAGATTGGCTTCAGTTTAGACTGTGTCTTGGATGCTGCTCGATGACGATCTGGCTTGAGGACTTGGAAAACTAGTCGGTCGGTGGTCGAGGAGGGAACACAGCAAGGGGAATTGGAGAAAAAGGGCGCGGACTAAAATAAAACGAAAGGGAATTGCTTCAGGGAGTGTGTGCACGAAGGACAGTAGGTCAGGGGACAGAGAAAGGGGAAGGAATGCCTGATGATGCTGTTGGTTGGATTGGCTGGCTGGTTTGGTTGGTGGGCTTGCTGGCTGACGAGGAGGATTGGACAGATATAAATAAGGAGAAAAGAAGGTGTCAATCGCAGTAATGAACGAGTGAGAGGGGCTGTGTATGTGTATATGTGTGGTAATGAAAAAGGTGAGAAGAGTAGTAAAAAGGTGGTCAAAGGTAGTCAGGGGAAAAGGGGAGGCAAAGAGATCAACTGTTTGCAAGGGTGAAGGGGATGGATAAGATAATGATTGCGATATGAATGCGTTGAGGTGTTGAAGACGGTGTGAAGAGTGCAAGGGCAAGCCGTGGGTATGTTAGAGATATGAGCGAGAGTGTGCAATGAAGAATGAGAGATGGGTATACAAGAAGGAAAGAAAGAAAGATGCGTTTAAGGAGAAAAAGAAGAAAAGAAGAAAAGAAGAAGGACAGAAAAAACAGAAAAAGTGGGGGAATAAAAGGAAAAGGAGAGGGGTTTAAGTACTCTGACGAGGAGGGGATGTTTGTCACCAGTTGAATCCCATGGCAATACCACAGGGGTACTGTATGTCATGGCAAAGGGGGGATTATTTGCACACAGAACAGGGGCACTCTTTTTTTTGTCCTCAATTCAATTGAGAGGGGAATAGAGTAACAATACGATTGGGAAAGAGAAAGAAACAAACAGCCATGGCTCACATCGACACACATTGATACAAAGAGAAAAAAAATCCCCTTTTCCAACTCTATTCTTCGCTTGAATTGCATTGGCATGGATGATGGACATAGACATGGCACGGCATGGTTTCAACGCGGATAGTCGATAGAGTAAGAGAAAAGAATGCTCTCGTACTCTCTTTTTGCTGCTTGGACTAAAAAAAAAAAAAAAAAAAAAACTCTCCTTTTCCACTCTTGTTTACACACAACACATACAAACACCTTTCACCTTTTTTTCTTCCCTCTGCCAGTTTGCCTGTTTGCCTGTCTCTTGTCCCCTCTGTTGCTCGTTGGCTTGTGCGACCATGAACCTCTCATTCAGTCTCTCTCTTTTTACCCTTTTCTCGCTTCTCATGCACACTACAGCTCATTACTGCAGCAAAAACACAAGTAAACAAACAACAAAACCAACTCACATATCGAGTATTCAGTCGATGTTATTTTTTACTCCCGCCTCCTTTTCCCTTCCCTCTCCTCTCCCTTCCCTGCTTGTGCCATTGCCCATTTTGCCATGAATGCTACCCAAGGGAACAAAATAGACGGCGGGCGGGGCGGACAAAAAAAAAAAAAAAAAAAAAAAAAGAGAGCAATCGAGCTCTGCCATAAACACAAAATATACAAGCGCAAGGTACGCACTCTACTCCATTCCCCCACGTCGATTGCACATCCATGTAAACAAAGAAAAGAGTAAGCCAAATATGAGAAAAAGAGAGAGAGAGAGCTCTCGTCCGTCTGCCAATGAGCAGGGCATTGATAACACTTCAACCAAGATGAGCAATATTCGGTTTTTTTAGTCTATTTTTCAGCTCTAATACACTCATATATATCACTTTTATCATGTTCGTATCGTACCTGTATGCGAAATAGATATTGCGGTTCCTCCTGTTCTATTTCTTTTCGTGAACGATGGGATGGATGACCTTGACGCTCTCTTACGTTTCTTGTTTCGATAGGATGGGAGACCGTTGGGATTGCCGCGTTTCTGCTTAAATTGGTTTCGTGTCCCCTTACTATCGAGAGCAAAATTGTGAAGGTACGGAAAATGGAAAGTAAGAACGTTGGAAAGAACGATGAACAGACGACAGAACAATGGAAAATGAGAAGAAAGGAAAAAATAAAAGAGGGTGCACTTAGTATCGACAGAAGTGAGTGGCCAGCCAAGATTGCAATTTCCGTTCACCCTTCATTCCCTTATTCTTCTTCTCTTTTGAGTTTCTTTTCCTTCACTTTTTCCTGCACTTTGTGTTTGGCGTACTTCTCGACACATCAAAAGGAAACCAAACGATAAACGTATTTTTTTTCCTCCTTATTTTTTTCTTTTTGCCTGGTCTGCCTCCCTTCGCCCGTATGTCTTTTACTCTTACTTTTTTGCCTCCTGTGGAGTCTGAAAAACAAATCAAAAATCCAATGGTGATTTTTCGACTGGGGTGAGAATAGAAGAGAGAAAAGGAGTCTAAGGCTGGGCGGGGTAGGGCGGGGAATGGGAATTGGATCCACAGTGGTACCAGGCAAAGAAAAAGGTATAGTCTACCAAGCAGGAAGCAGGAAAGTAGAAAGGAAAATAGAGAGAACAAAGCGAGAGGCCCCACCCACACGAGCAAAGAAGGAAAAAAAAACGTGCTCTCCCCCTCATTCTCTTTCTCGTTTTGATAATCTCCGTTTTGCGTGCGCTGACTGTGATACAATGGCGAACAAGGTTGAACAACTCATGGTTTAAGTTTCGCTTCGTTTTTGCTTTTTGGTCGTAAAATGACGCGAGAAAGAGAAAGAAAAGCAGCCACAACTCAACTCTCCTCCAGCACGGCAACGCAAAGTGTACACACATTTACTCATAGACAGGACAGAACTCAAGATAACGCTGCGTCCTTTACGTCAAGTCCTAGCCCTCTGTCTCTAACTATTCAATCGCAAAACGCGCCAGAAAAAGTAATCTCACAATCGCCCTGCCGGCGCCCTTCTTCCCGCCTGATCCAACGCTCATCCAACTGTCAGTTCCGACAATCCCTTCCTTAGCCTCCTTTTTTTTTTCTTCACTACAATTGACTCAAACCCTCATAGTCATCATGATATTCCAGGATCGACATCGCTGTTATCGTCAATGTCATTATCGTGTCTCTGTTTCTCTTCCTGGCATGAGTAGAACACCTTCACAACTTCATCATCGTCATAATGGAAGAAACAACTGCAATCGAATTCGCTCCTTGCGCCAACATCGACGTCAATGTCAACGCCTGAGTGTCTTTTTAGTTCTCGCTCCGAGTGTGTCTCTCCATGCCCGCCGGCGTGGCGATGTCTCTCTCCCTTTCGCTTCCTAGTTTTACTCTCACGCTCCTATTCCTTGTTTCTCATTTCTCGCCTCACTCCTTTTTTAGTGTACACGTCCATAGCAACAGGAAACACACTCTGGAGTGGCGTACACCAAAGGAGATTTCCCGCTATGCCTTTTTTTTTCTTTTCGAAAGATGTGATAAGGTTTCCAGCCTTTGTCGTTTTCCTTTGGTCTTCTGGGAAAAGTACGGCACGGTTTCTTACCTTACAGGTTTTGTGTGGGATGGAAATGGGGGGGGGTCTGGGATAGGATGGGAAAGGAAAGGGCAGGATAGGATAGGATGGAATGGGATGGAACGGAGCAGTGGCGAAAAAAGAAACGTGTTTTTTGGTGTCTTGCGATCTCGTGCAAAATGTGTGAGAGGATATGGGAAGTAGATGGAAGAAAGGAAGAAAAAGGAAAGGGTCCGAACGGAGAGACCGAAAGGTGAGAAAAGAGCGAGTTGGCGAGCGGACGTGTTGGTCTCGAGAGGGAATGGTTGTGTAGAGGAAGGTATTTGGGAGTATTGTTGGAGGCAACTGAAGTATGTGTTTGCAGATAACAAGAGAACAGGGCAAGGAAAGGCAAACGAAAAGAACAGGCTAGAAAAGAAAAGAAAAAAGGGATGTTGGAATGCGATCTTTCTGTTGGTTACTACGACCATCCAACAACAGTAACAAACAGTAGAAGCAGGAGCAGGATATGTTCGCTCGCTCGGGACAAGATGGGAGATGGGACCCCATTTTTCAAGAGATGGCGTGAGAGCGAATAAACAACTGCCATTGCCAAAAGGATATAGAATGAAATTGTATCTAGACGGGGTTGGGTTCTCGCTCCATCTCTCTCTCTCTCATACTGACAGACAAAACAGGACAAGGAGTTGAGGAAGCTCTTTGGAATAAACACGAAGAGGACTAGTTGCGATATGTATGTGCATGCAACACAGGGACACGGACATCCACATTGACCCCATTCGCAATTGAAGAATAAAAAGTAAGGGAACAGACAGCAAGGGATGATGGAAGAAGAAGGGATCCCTTTGGTTAGTTGGTCTGTGGCCATATCCCTTCCTTTTTTATTCGCGCACTCGCATCCATACGTGGACCGAGATATTGGTTTATCCAGGAGACAGACATAGAGAGGCAGACATGAACAATACGTGCGTCCAGCCCCGGACCAATCCTAATTCCAAGGAGAGAAGAACAACAGACGAGAACAATGGAAAGTAATAATAGGCATGAAAAGAACTAAGGACTGAAAGAAGATGAGGAGAGAAAGCGAGGCGAGACATTGAAGTCTGTTTCCACAGAGTCTCTCT